GTCCTATGGCTGAAGGAATATGTTGCTCGACGGGATGTTGCTGTCGTTGCTTGACGACGGACTTTTCAGGTCTCGGTCGGTTATCGTAAAAGGTGATCTCTACGCGGACCTCGCCAGCGTACTTGCCTCTAGACTGTAGCTGGTGCCAGTCGTCGCTCTGACCACCGCCGGGAACAATGACGCCTCCGAGATCGACCCATGTTTCGCCAATCAACTCGCTTTTCTTGTCGTCGGTAAGTAGGGACAGCTTGAGCTGGTAGTAATCGGGGGAGTCGTGGACAGTGAATCGGAGCTCCTGGTCCCTGTAACATGGTGGATTGCGTGTTAGACGTGATTGGTGCCCTGGGGGAATATGCAGCAACGTACCATCTGGGGGTCTGGCCGCCGCGGATGTCGGTAGTGGTCTTCTTTGCTTCCTTTCCCAGACGTGCAGCACAGAAGGGGTCCTGCTTGCCAATGGTCTTGAGGTTGGGCAGGTTCTTTGCGCGATCCACGACGAGAACGAGGGTACCGATTTCGGGGCCGTCGGCGGCTGAGTCGGAGTAGAGGGCGCCGCCGGGGATGACAAACGAGTCTTGTACTTTGGTGGGCATCTTGTCGGCGGCGTTTGTAAGTGGTGGTCGTGGAGGTGGTGGTATGGTTACAGTCGCCGACAAGAAGGCTGTCTCATAACCTGATCATATACGTGTGCGAGGATTGTTGGAATGTTTACTTTGGGATGAAGCTTGGTCTTTTCTTTGTGTATTATGGTTTTTTTTGTTGGTTGGCGCGGCGCGGGTGTGCCTCTTTTGGCTTTCTCGTTGTTGCTGTACAAGCTAGGTAGGTAGGTAGGTAGGTAGGTAGGTAGGCGGCTGTTATGGGCTCGAGCTCTCCCTTGCGTCACAACGAGGGAGGAAGGGTCATCTAGCGATCGTTGGTGCCACTGTGATAACGATTGAAGGGCGGCGCAATAGTATGGACAATGGACGAGACCAGCGAATGGAAGTGCGGCGGAAAGTGAAAAAAAAAAAAAAAAGAGCGAAGAGATCAAAAACGAAAGAAGACCGAGGTGAGGGTCAGTCAGTCAGTGGACGTGGGCTTCAAACTTGTTTTGAGAAGACGGACGGACGAGGAGGAGGGGACGACGGTCGGGCACTGCCTTGGCCAAGACGCCAACCAAACAACAACCCACGTCTAGTCTAAAATAGAGTTGTAGTTGCGCGATCCCAGATCGAAGCGTGCAGATAGTCGGTCGAGGGAGGAGTCGGTTCTTGAAGAACAAAGGGAACTGAAGACGACTGTTTGGCTGGAGAGCGACAAAAGTGGAAGCGGACAAGAACGCAACGGCAGAGAGGATCCGCAGCGGGCGGGATGTAAGGTAAGCCCAGACCAGCAGAGCGAGACGGTGGGTCCCTTTTGTCGACCGCCGCCGTCCGGTTTGGGAAAAGAGAGGGGTCCACTACTATCTTCTAGTGCATAAACACTAAAAATCCCCGACCGCCTTTGACTTCCATGCCTGCAGAGTTGCGGTGCAGTCAGGTCGCTCTCTCTCATGAGATTCCTCATCTTTCACTGGTTACTGTATCCAAGTGTACATACACTAGAGATCTGGGCGAGGGAACAAATCCATGCGATGGTTAGGTGGTGGATCTCTCCAACTGCCAACCATTCATCAGAGTTAAACCCAAGCTTACAAGGGCCTCGAGGGCTCACCACAAACAGGCCTTGGTTTCAGATCCTAGCGTTGGTTTTGTTTTGTTGGGGTGGCTGGCAGCATCCGGAAACGGACATGCGACCACAGCATCGTCTTCCGATGCGAATACATTATTACTTCAACAGAGAAAGGAAGTAATGTCACTGCATCCCGCTTCCCGAGATCATCACCACCGATCCCATCTTCTCAACCTGGTTACATACTATCACGTACCTCGGAGGAGATCATCGGATCCTTTCTTCTACACTACATACATGTCAAACGTTGATCATCCATCGCCACGAACCATGACTTACATATATGGACCTGGCTACAGTAGAAACCCCTGCTTTTGCTAACCCCCCCTTTTGCAAATCACCCCCTTTTGCTAAAGATTTCTACTGCCCGCATTCCCTCTGGTGGCTAGGACTGCAAACTGCAATTCGCAACGCTGGCGGCCCGGATTAGCAAAAGCAGGGGTCAGATTTTGGTGGGAGAGAGCACTTATACCCTTGTACCGGGGGGCAGCTGGCTCAAATGACCCACTTTTGTCCCACTTTTTAAGCCTATCAGTGGGCTTCCAATGGCCAAGAGGCTTCTACCTGGTCTGTGCGCAAGCACCCTCTTTTGCAAAACCCCCCCTTTTGCTAGAAAATCTGGCTGCCGGGATTATTAGCAAAAGCAGGGGTTTCTACTGTACTTGTTGTCCAACGTCTACCACTGTGTACTGTCCATGCTACTGGCTACTACCCCTGACGAACAACAAATAACAAAGATGGTGTGGCAACGAACCGAGTGCATGTGTGGCGGGCCTGCGGGCTGCTGTACCTGACATGAGGCTTGTTGACGATCGGATGGAGCATCGGAGAGAACTTCCAGAACCCCTTCAACTTCCCTTGTTGTCTCTTTCATCATTTTCATTCCAGTCTTCAATCCTCAATCATCTTCATTTCTTCCGACTCCAAGGTACATTTTCCCCTTTTCAACATCAGCACCGCACCGCACCGCACAGCACCGCACAGCACCGGACCCTGCATAAAAGCCTCGGAAGCTGTTTCAAGAAGCTCTCCAAACAAGCTGAGCAAGCTGAAAATATGGTCTCCATCCCGTCACTGTCTCCCAAGACCCCACCACCCACCCACCTTCTCAAGAAACAAAACCATCCAAAGCAAGGACATCACATCCCCCGCTTTCTTATTCTTATTCCATACCTCGGCTTCCTTCTTCCGTCCTCAACTCCTCATTGTCATCATCCCCTGTCAGCCTGTCACTGTCCGTCTGTTAGTCTGTCACTCTCCTTCCAAGCGCCGTCATCCAATGTCCCGCCCTGCCCTGCTCAGCCCAGGCTCGCTTCGTTGCCAGGCTTTAGCAAGGCTTCGATGCGCCCGGTCTCAGCACCAATGAGAGATCACGGTTCTTGTAGCGCATCGATCTCGGGGCCGGCCAGGGAAGGACAGACAGGGCTGGCTGGGGGCCCCTTGTCCCCGGAAACCCCGCTACAAATCTACAAGTACAAGTATGTACAATATGTCACCTAGCGAGCCTAGAAAGAAACCCCGGTCAGGTCAGGTCAGGTCAGGTCTTGACGACGTCACACTCACACTCACACTGGACGGACGACCGACGTCGACGACGGTTCCTTACATCATAGTGTAGAGGGAGGGAGGGCCGTTGTTTCCTACAAAGGGACCGTTCAAAGCTCTCTTCTACACTACCTACACTATCGTGACTGTCTAGGTAATTTCCCACCCCCATCACCACTCTCAACCCGCTCCATTTCGTCCTATCTTCTAGGATTCTAGTCTCAAAGACGACCAACTATGTATCGTGAACTGCTGGGACCTGGGTAATTCAGGTACATAGAGAGGTCCATGGAGATAACTCAACTGAATGCAGCGAGCCTTCCTCCACATTACCTACCTTTTGCATGCTACCATAGGACTTGAGTGAAAAACGCTAATAGGCATACATATCTTTACACATGAGGCACAAGAGAAAAAGCTAGGCATAGGGTAGGTACGTACGTACGTACGTACGTACGAGCTACAAGTCAGTGTGTAAAAAAAAAAAAAAAAAAAAAAAAAAAAAAAAAAAAAAAAAAAGTATTATAATTCTTTGGAGACGCAAAATCTCGGATGTGTACCACTAGGTACCATAGACGGGGCTCAACCTGGGCCGCTCCAGTCAGTCAGTCAGTCAGATCAGATCAGATCTGGACTGCATACCTACCTACCTAGGTACCTACCTACCTAAGCACTTGAACGAGGAATCTACACTACTAATCCGTGAAAACAACCGCTAAAAGGAGATTAGATAGATAGGGTCGGTACTAACCTAGGTAGGCTCCAAGTAAAAAAAAAGCCTCACAAGGCCTGACTCAGACCTTGCTTAACAGCGTTTGGGATTATACAGTGGAAATTGTGAAAAAAAGAGAACCGAAAAAAAAAAGAAAGAGAAGTAACAGAGAAAAAAAAAAGAGATAAAAAGAAAACAAAACATACAACACCAGGGATTCGCTGGTCGTCACCGACCCAACTACTAGTCTGGCCCTCACTGGCTTATCTATGGGAGAGCGGACGGGATCCCGAGTTTTCCGGTGGGTATGGTCGTATGTGTTTGTTCGGATGCAAAGTGTAGCTTATGAAGCGGTCGTTGTATTATCCCATATCGAGAGACTCGGAACAAGACCTGTCTACCTGCCTGCTAGGTACATATAGATTCCAGCTATACAGCTTGTTTTTGGAGTTTTAGTAAGCCCAAGATGAAAGAGAGAAAACAGCCATCTACGTCTTTTATTCAGTGTTGCGGACAGCATGGAATGGCCTGGACCGATATTAGAGAAGAGAAGAGATGTGTGTGGTGGGCATCAGCAACATTTGTTTACTTGCCCCTTTTTTACATTCACCATTCTCTTACCACACGAGGTTGCTGCAAGTGCTTGAGCTAGTAAAGTCAACACACATTGGGTATATAACTAGAAACCATGTGCTAGTCAACTCCCCAGATACGATCACTTGGTTTATATAAACCAGCTATATGACTAAACGCAATGCAACGCCCCAACTTTATGAGTTTCCCATGACACCCTCCGATGTATACCTCGAGACAAACACCGACCAAATTTACCAAACTAATCACCCAACTTGAACCCTTTTGAACTCCAACCACAACTCCAGACGCTATGAAAAAGGAAACATGCTAAGTCTACTGCGAGTGAACTTCTTTCTCTTTCTGTGACCTCTCCTCCGCCTCCGTCATGAGCACCAGCTCAAGAGCCTCATCGGGCGTTTTGAAGACCACAGGCTGCGGGACCAGACGTTTATGGCATCTAATCGTCATCAATCTCAATCACTTCCACATTCGACGGTGGTCCAGATCTCCTCGACACCGAACCAGCCACACTGGGCACCGGAGCAGGAGTTGCCGACGCGGTCTTGATCTTCTTCTGCCTGGGCTCCAGATCCTCGCCATCGCTATCATCATCATCGTCATCGTCGTCCTGCACCACAACGGTCCACTTGCCGTCCGCCTCCACGTGCAAAGCTTTACTATACTGAGGCTTTCTTCCCGTGCGCTCCAGCTCCTTACGGACCTTGAGTAAGAAGCCATCGATTTGTAGATCGTACGGGCCTGCTATCTTATCGCAGCCTGACAGCGGACAGGCCCACTTGTCCGGGCTTGTCGGCTGAGGCGGGCATTTACATGCTCTACCCTCATGACCGCAGGGCACCTTGGACACCTGCCTCGTGTTCAGAAAGGTTTCAAGGTCGAAACACTCCAAGTGGGTGCATGCACCACCGCGAACAGGTGTGTGGAACATGACAGACGAGAAAGGATCAGTCAGGTCAATGGACAGGTACGGTACTGCAACCGAAACCTCATCATCGGCGCCGCTCCCGCCAAGTCGATCCTTGATGATTTGCAGAGTCTTTGACTCAGGAATTAGCCGATTCGTCCAAACGTCATTGACGATGGCGGAATGCCTCAAGGTTTCGATCAACTCCACCGCGATGAAGAAGTTGGGACTTGGGGCGTTCTGGATGACAGCCTCAACCTTGTTTTTGCCCATTACGATCATTTCTGTAAGCTCGATAGACAAATCTTTCCCAAAATGGGGTTTTCTCCGAATTTCAAGGGGATTACCGTTGAAGGAAATGAAAATGTCTGGCCAATTCGACTGGGTGGCCCGCCATGTTTCATCCGACACGACGCCTTTCTGGTGGTTATTGATTCGGCAACAGCGAATTCTCCAGCGCAGCGACTGGTGGGGCTGTACGGCAATTGCTACACCGCGCCTGTCCGTCATCACTCTCAACCGATATTGCTCATCAGTTACTTCGAAGGGAACCGTGTAGATACGCACATTTTCCGCCAGCTGGGTGGGCTTTGTGACTAGTTCCTTGACTGCTTGATACATCCGCTCTGATTCTCCATCTACTACGGTTCGTCTGGGACTTCGAGCATGAGCTTGATGCAGTGCCATCAGCAGGGACCTCCTATCAGAAGCCTCGTAGGCATACTCTGACGGATGAATCGTTGTTCCTAGCGGAGGGACTAGCGGTATATCCGGGGTGCGCGCGGGAGCCGGTTCGCGTGGGACCACGTTTTGCGGTCGCTGCTGTGTTTGCGGGTTCTGCTGTGCTTGAATCTGTTGAGGGAGAGTAGGGGCGATGGGGGCGGGGAGGGGCATTGTAGTCTGCAGCTGAAGCTGTTGTTGCGCTTGTGCCCTTGCCGTGTACAGTTGCGCAGCTGAAGCGCCGTTGTTAGCAGCCGCGGTCATCGCAGCCGTAACCCATTGCTGCCTTTGATTCCCTGGTTGCTGTTGCTGCTGTAGCTGCTGTAGCTGATGATGATGCTGATGCGGTTGCTGTTGCTGTTGCTGTTGCTGCTGTATTTGTTGTCGTCGGAGAGCCCCTTCGTGCTGCATTTGCTGCCACAGCTGTGAAGGTATCACCATATTTTGTAGGCCATGCTGTTGAGGCGCATGTGGCGGATATTGTACACCTTGTTGTGGATATAACGGACGTTGCTGGCGCTGTTGCTGTAGTTGTTGCTGCTGCCATTGTGCCGCTGGGTTTGACAGGTCCTGCGGACTTCGAGACGTAGCCATAGACGGGTGAACGCTTGGTGAAGAATGCTGCATAGAGGGCAGATTCTGGTTAGGATAAGCGTTGTGGAATGCCTCCATCCCTGGCGAAAAAACCGGAGAGTATGGATTTGGGGCATTGCTAAATGTGAAAGCTGCCTGATTCGGGGGTGCACTGTTTGGCATCGGCGGACCAGTGGCTGCCGGGGCCGTTGTCTGGATTGACAGTCTCCTGTTTTGAGGGGTTGTAGTGCTGTTGTTGCCAATGGAATTGTTGCCGTTGGCGGCTGCACCAGTACCGGTCCTTACTTGATGGACGCGTGAGCGATAATACGTAATCAGCTCAGCATTTTGGGCTTCTAGCTCTTGTTGGTTTCGCCATGTTTGGTAAAACTGCGGATTCAAGTTGCCTGACTGGTATAGATAAGCATGATTCCTTTGATCGATCATGAAAGCACGGTCGATATCTTGAGCACAGCCGTGGCCGTCCGGAACTCCTATCCTCCTACGACACGCGGTAAATAGAATTAATTGCAAGACGGGAGAGTAGCATTCCCAGTAGCTCAAGAGCTCATCAACCAGGTAAGGGTACCCACGCTGGCTCACCGTAGCCACGAAGGTGCCATAACTAGTCCCGATCAAATGCAGGAACCTGCCTACTTGTCGTATAGCAGCATTATACGCCGTGGGCGGCTCACATAGTTGATTGATAGGCGCTGGGAAGTTTTCGAAAAATTGTCGATGCATGGGCTGAATGGTAAGGTTCTTTTTAAGAAGCCCCTCCATGATCCCAAGGCCTTCATCAATAGTATGAGGGGGGTACTCGGGTAAGATATCGTAGGCATTCTGCGCATACGATGACCACATGCAGTAGATTTGGTGGAGGGCCAGAAAGAAGCCGTCTTCCTTGATACACGCCTGGTCGAGAAGCGAAAATCTAGCAAACTCGGTGCCTGCTTTGATCCGGTCCTTCACAGCCGGTGAATTTGTGTACCGTTGGAGGACATGTCGAAACTCCAGGTACGTCATGGGTGGAAGAGGCTGCGAAGAATCTATCCTCTTCCTCTTGGCCGCTCGTTCACCTGGGTGCGGCGCCAGAGGCAACGGTGGCGAATTGACATGTCCACCCTGGCCCTGGCCTTGGCCATCGCGTCGAGGAGCTCCGTGGGCCAACAGTGACTGGTTCTGAGGCGCAGGAGAATGTGGAATTGATGCTGCAGCATTTGTAGACTGTGGCGGGAGCTGAGGATGCGCTAAGAACGGACTCGCAGAAGGTGGGACCGCAGGAGTTGTTGGGGCCGAGCCATTGTTTCCTGCTCTTGTAAACGTCGACCCTGTATTGTCATCGTCCAGGCTGTGTACAAATCGGGCGGCTACCACGGGGTGATATGAGGGAGCGGGCGCATTGTGGTTTATGCTAGGACTTTCTCTCGAGTTCGACACGGCAGGACTCGGCTCGTCGCTCGGGGCTGGAGACAGAAGGACGGCAGCTGTCTGGGCAGTCCGGCCGGGGCTGTAGACGCGGGATCGAAAGTTAGCAAGGAAAAAGAACATGAGAATCACAGGAGCATGTTTTCAGTATTACCGTTGAGGTGCCTGTTGCGGCTGCACGGACGGTGGCCCTTGACCGTATGTTGGCTGTTGTTGTACTTCTTCCGCCTCCTCTTCTTGTTCGTTCTCGTGTTCGTGTTGGGGTGTGCCGTCGTGGGCGGCGTGTTGTACGTGGGGTAGTCTGCCTGTGTATTTGCGCGGCCGGCCGCGTGGACGGCCTGTTCCTCTGAACGGAGCGGACGCGCCTGCATGAGGGGTCATCACCTCCCCGGATGCCGACTCTGCCGCCGGGGGTACCGCCGATGCTGGGGCTTGTGCTGTCGGAGGCCGTGGACTGAAATCGACGGCGGTGCCGGTCCAGGCTGGCTGTCGATGGTTGAGGAAGGCGCTGATGGAGGATGCGAGGCGAGGGTCGTTGTAGTTGGCAGAATTATTTACGGGAACCCCGTTAGGGGCTCGCACAGGTAGTCCCGGCATGGGTTATGGCGGTTCGGAGTTCGCCCCGGCAACTGCACGTGAAGCGGCGGTCGGACACTGCACCGGGATCGTTGCTGCGGCAGCGGGAACAAGCAAGATATGTACGTAAAGATAAGTAACAAACGGCTGATCAATGCAGGAGGATTTGCGCGCGCTTTAGTTTTCTATTTTTTTTTTCGTCAAAGTCGCATCGCCGAAAGCGATGGCGGTGCCACGTGGACGAGGGCTTGTGCTTGGTGGGAAGTCAGAAATCAGAGTCGTGATTATTTGGGTGTATTTTCTTCTCTGTTGTCGCGCGCCAGTTGCTGGGCAGCGCCGACATACCATGAGGTGAAGAAGGACAGCAGAGATGAATGGCAAGTACTGTAGCGAGCTGGGTGGGACTGAGGGTAGGTAGAGGTAGAGGTAGTATTGGGTGATGGAAAGAGAAGATGGAAGGATGAACTGGAGGTTTATATCTTCCACTTGCTCCGAGTGGCAACAACAACTCATCATCGACACTTGTTTGGTAATCACGCGATGAGATGAGATGAGCAACAACCTAAGGACCGCACTGAGGTGCCCTTTCTCCTTTTCGTTGTGATGAAGTAGGTAGAAGAGAAGAGATGGAAGGAAGGAAACAGCAATCGAGTAATGCAGTGTAATCTGAGATATCAGATTCTTTTTCCTCTTTGCTTTTCCCGCCAAGCAGTGGTAGTGAGTGTATAACATGAATCGGATGGAGGAGGGCAGGTGCAGCCACTCAAGATGACCACTTGATAGTCCGCCAGCGTCGAGTTGGCATCACTCCAGGTTGACGGGCCACTGCCAACGACTGCAGGGAGGGACATTGGACAACCAACAAACGGAAAGTTGGTGAGTGGGAAGTTCGGACGGACGGGTGAAAGGGCAATGACTAGGTAGTCAGGTAGAATGAGAGTCTAGTAGAGTCGTTGGGCATTTAGCGAAAGTACTGATACAGGAATAAGTAAGTATAGAGTGAGAAAAACTGTGACGATTCAGATAGATGGCGAGAAAAAGTCAAGAAAAATAAGAAGTCACTAGAAGAAGAATGGGACTCCAAGTTATGTAAGTACGTTTTGTATTTCCCGGCTGTGGTGTCCCGGAATTTGGGTAGCAATGGCCCACAGCAGTTAGACAGTGAGACCCAAACGGTCCACGCACGCATTGATAGGCTACTTAGCCGGCCTGGGTACCTACTTATATATGTATGTACAATCTGGGCTGTGCCGCGTAGGTACCTATCATGATGTAGTGTACAATCTAACCCTGGTTTGTTTGTTAGTTTGGTACAGAAAACGCCCACTTCCACTCTCAGGCTACTAGAATGGAAAAGTGTTCGGGTTTTGAGCGGACGGGTGCCGTCGGGGACTACTATCTTATATCTTTTTAGTCTTTGAAGGCCTTAGAAGAAGACGGAGAGAGGCATAAGAAGGCTTATATAGCGTTTTCAACCCTGGCTATTGTCCCATAACGCTTCAAACGGAGGCCAATTTTCTCTTTGGGAGACCAATGAGAGGTTTAGATTTTCCCTGTTCAACCCATGGCCGAGGAACCAAACTAACAAACAAACCAGTATTGAATTGTAGACCTAGGACTTGGCAATGTACACTTCTTCACGACAGCATAGACTAAGTAGTTCTACAGTAGTATATAGAACCCCCTCCTCTCCCACATCCCTCTCTCAGTCCCTCTTTCGCATCTTCATCTCCATGCTTGGCTCAACTCCTGCTCCCTCATCTACAGCCCGCTAGCCCCAATGTCGCCCGCGCTCCGATGCCCATTTTGCCAGCTCTTTGACGTTCCCTAACCCGCCTGCCGTCGCGTCGCCAATCGAGACATTCTCAGCAAACTTGACCCTGTACGCAAAAGACACCGAGTTGCCGTGTTGAATACATACGCCTGATGCTAGTTGCGAACCCGCCTGTCTCGTCTCAGTCCAGCGATCCCGAATGAGCCTAGCCGGTGTGCGCCACATCCTTCCCGTCTACACAAGAGCTCTTCGACAACTGCCCTAGCTGCGGATAGCTCTCTTCCTCTGTGATAGAGTTTAGATCACCCACCGCCGAGACTCCTCTCGGTGAACCCTGCGCAATGGATGCATGGATGCACCCCTGCCGCAAGCAACGGACCAGCATTGTTGAGCCACGAGGTTCCCCACTCCCCGTAGGTGGACGGGGCCGGCAACCGGGAACACGGGGAAGATCGCCCCGGACACGTCCCAACGCGTGCCTATCAAACAGTGGCTGAGTGGCTACAGGAGTCGGCGCCGCTGGTTTCGACGGTGGAAGCTTTCTCTCATTGCGACCAGTTCCTGGTATGGGCGGTTAGCGCAAGGACACCAAGCGATTATTTTATTGCTCCGAAAGAACGGCGCCGGTGGACGCGAAGAAGTCCATGAAACGAAACTGATCATTCAGCCTGAGCCAGCATGTTCTTACAGACAAGCTGGCCTGTACTGCGCTTTTTCAAATTATACTAAGAGTATGGGATCGTCAACGAGATCCATTGATTGCTATGGAGTGGAGTGGAGAGGAGAAGAGAGAGACTGGCGGAGTCTTGAAGGCTAGAAACGGTGCGGTCTATGAATAGGTCGCTCGCATTGGCGCTTCGAGCATCTGAATAGCATCTACCAGCTGTTCAGGGATGCTCAGAAAAGGGCAGTGGCCTGATTCAAGCGTAACGGCTTTGGCCTCTGGTCCTAACTGCGCCGCCATTTCCTGCTGGACGACAAATGGTAGCGCATGATCCTCCGCACAAAAGATGCAAGCACAAGGTATCATCCCATTTTTCCAAGGCTCGTAGCCACTGGGCGTTGCGAAAAGCGCGGCTGACGTGTGCGTCATCTCGGTCATCCATCTCTTTTGTTCTTCGGCGTTGAGGTCGTTGAACATAACGTCAGCCAACATTTCTTGACGCCCGAAAACCCGGTCGCCCTTTTGATCAGTTAGCAATAGTTGCAGCTGACGTGAGACTCACACACAATGGCGGACCGACTTACCTTGTATTCCATCCACGGGAGAGGTTTTCCACCCAGCAAATCGAGCAAAGCCTTGCCGCGAGGGATCACGAAGGCGGCCATATGGATCATGCCTATGACATTGTCCTGGTCTTTTATCGCGTTGCTGCCAATTAGGCCACCGGCGGAATGACCCAACAACAAGGCTTTCTTGCCCTGGAGCGCAAGCTCGCCGAGCACGGATTGCACCGCTGTAACGTCGTCGGTTAGACCGTGGAGGGGCGTCGTTGTGCTACCAACGGTACGCAGTTCGACGTGGATAGCCTCGAAGCCTGCTGTGTGTAGTTGTTGTACAACGTCATGCCAAACGACGGGCTTGTGCCACGCACCTGGCACAATGACGATAACCGGCTTGGACATGACGCAATGGTGGATAAGGAGACAGTTGTGAAAAAAGCATCACGGTGTACTCTTTGAGAGGGGTTTCTAGGCTTGAGGATAAATAGGTGAGTGTGGGAGATACATCATTAAAGGTACGGGTTTCCTCTTCTTTTATCTACAAATAGTTTGGGAGGTCGGTATGGCGCTACATCCCTATACTATCGGCATTCCGAGTATACCCTTTTCCGAGATCCCTATACTATCGACATCCTGGACAAGTATATGTGATATCGCGCTGGTATATAAGCCTCAGAGGCATGTCACCATACCCCGTCGACATGAAGACCAGAATTTCAACCGCCAACCTGCTCCAGTTGCTGGTTCTTTTCCTTCCAACTCGGACTGTTCAGTGCCCTAGCGTAACACGTGCGCCCGCCCCTGAAAACATGGCTACTCAACGAATTGACGTTCACCACCATTTTGTCCCGGAGTTTTATGCACAAGGTGCGTCTAAGGCGGTTTGCATCCGTTCTTTTTCTTTTCCATGTAAGTGCTAACGTTGCCATAGCCTTACGAGCTAACGGTGGTGACCCCTCGGGATGGTCCATCCCGGACTGGAGCCTGGAGAAGGACCTGTCCTTCAATGACGAGCAACGCATATCCTTTGCCTTTCTTACCATCACTGCTCCCGGTGCTGAAATTCTCCCCCTCGTCGAGCAGGCTGGCTTTTGTCGACAAGCTAACCAAGCGGCCGCCGAGATCTGTGCGGCCCAGCCAGCCCGCTACGGCTTTTTCGCTACTATTCCGTCCCTGCTTGACCCCGAGGCTGCCCATACAGAGATCATCCACGCGCTGGATGAGTTGCAGGCCGACGGCATCATCTTGTATACTCGCTACGGATCGGACAACCATTATCTAGGCCACCCGGACTTCCGCTCCACCTGGGACCTGCTCAACAAACGCCGCGCCACCGTCTTCGTGCACCCCACGCACCCCGTGGACATCCACTGGGTCAACCCCTCGCTTCCGCAGCCCATGATTGACTATCCTCACGAAACTACCCGTACCGCCGTCGACCTGATTATCTCGGGCATTATGCGTGACTACACCGACGTGAAGATCATCCTCTCTCACGCCGGCGGCACCTTGCCCTACCTGGCGCTGCGTCCAGCCGCGGTACTGCCGTACCTTCCCCCTTCGATTGCGCCCCCCGTTGCAGCAGCAGCACAGGAGGGCCACCCGACTGACGTTACCAACCAGTTCATGGAGGACGCCAAGCGGTTCTACTTTGATACAGCATTGTCGGCGGGCTCCCATACTCTGTCGCTATTGAAAGAGTTTGCGAAGCCGGACCACGTGCTGTATGGTAGCGATTTCCCTTATGCGCCGTCACCCGCTATTGCAGATATGAACGCAAGACTGGATAGCTACGGCGCAAAAGACGAGGCGTTTGTCCAGTCCGTTGCGTCGGAGGCTGCGTTGAAGTTGTTCCCTCGTTTGAGTAACATCTTAGCGAAGAATCGCCACGCTTAGTACTCACATAGTATTTCGCTGTTAAAAATATACATGTCTCTGTCCGCTAATTGTGTATCTATCATATCAGTCGTGATGTGAACCTCCAGACTTAGGTCTCGAAGAGTATAAGTGGGAGTGCCTCTCGCCATCTTGCGATAATGGCACAGTGTGTAATGAGGTCATGTTAGTCTGTTGATACCCACGGTCTCCTTATAGAAAACAGCAAATGTGTAACTTTGACAACTTGAACACTTTGTTGCCTGGGACTTGATTGTGTTTTGGTCAATATCTCGTATGTACGTAAGTACCTAGCAACGTTGGTTTTAGGTTGACGTGGGAAAAGAAGGTAAGACGAGAACCAACCACGACTGAAGAAATCCATCCGCTTAGCAACCGAGTTGCAAACGGCCCAGTCCTGCCAAAGAGATTGATAATGTGATCGGATGAATATTGCTTTCTCCATCGCGACGAGCAGCCAGCGCGTTTGAGTGATCCGACGTTTGATCTTTTGGTTTCTTTTTTCATCTCTTTTCTATTTTATTTTATCTTCATCTCCAAGTCACGAGTAAAAGCAACCTGCGAGTAGCCGGCTTGTGATTTGATGTTGGTGTTGCACAGACCGTTCGTTGTCAGTTTCATACGAGTTGTCCAGGCACTTGTTAACCGAGTAGAGTACATGGCAGTAAGTAATAACTTGTAATTGATATTTTCTTCACCCATAACTTATGTACACAGGGGCTCTATGGATGAAGATATCTCACTAGATAGAATACACAACTCAACATCAATACGAAGGTTGTTGTGAGGAACAAGTCACTAACTGAACTCACTACCATTCGATGCCCATGCTCCAATGACATCTAATACAGGCGACACTTACACTACCTACAATCATGGCGGGGATGCAGCACGATAAGATAACACCAAACATTGCCTGCCAAAAAATTGCAGCTTTGGCAGGCGGAAGAATGCTCCGTGCACAGGGCAGCCAGACATGTACCAATCAAAGAACGACTTTTCGAATGGACCCTGGAAAGCTTGGCGTTTCTGGCCTGGGGCTGGTCGCTGCGCAGGTAAACTTTATCGGCTTGGCGGGGCCTCCAATCGATGGCTCCAACCAATGCTTTTTGCATCGCATCGCCGTCAAAAAAATAAAATTCCCACTTGGAGATTTCAACAATTCGTGAACTTTGGGCCCCGCAAAGTCACCATCATCACCACCACCACCTCAAGACCTCGACGCCTGCCTCCCCCAATCCGATTCCGATCGATCGACCTAGTCGAATTCCTCCGATTTCGATAACCGAGTACCCTCTTTTCAACACTAGGTACCCAAACCAAACGGAACGAACATACCCATAACCAATCCGCAACCATGGCAGCCGAAGTGCAGCCGCTGGCGACGCTCAAGTTGCCCACGGTCGTCAGCCCCATCACGGCCGAGCAGCGCTACTGGAAGTCCTTCAAGAACCAGAAATCACACACCTCAACGGCAGCATGGCCTATCTCGCACATCAGCTTCCCCGGCTCCAGCAACGGCTCGGCCGCCTCGCACTCCCTCGTCACCGCCGCCAAGACCAACGACCTCTTCGCCGTCACCTCGGGTCCCCGCGTCGACATCTTTTCCATCCGCAAGCGCGAGCTGCTCAAGACCATCGGCCGCTTCGACTCTCAGGCCCACAGCGGTGAGATCCGCGCCGACGGCCGCGTTCTCGTAGCCGGCGAGGACTCCGGCAAGATGCAGGTCTTCGACGTCGGCACCGGCACCCGCGCCGTCATCCTCAAGACCTGGCACGTCCACAAGCAGCCCGTCTGGGTTACCAAGTGGTCGCCCGCCGAGCTGACGACGCTCATGTCCTGCTCCGACGACAAGACGGTCCGCTTGTGGGACCTGCCCTCCAACGCGCCCTCGCGCCTGTTCGCCGGCCACCAGGACTACGTCCGCAGCGGCGCCTTCATGCCCGACCGCAACAACCTCCTCGTGTCCGGCTCCTACGACTCGACCGTCCGCGTCTGGGACGCCCGCGCCCCCGCCGGCTCCGTGCTGACCTTCAAGCACGCCGACCCCATCGAGGAAGTCCTCCCCTTGCCCGGCGGCACCACCCTGCTGGCCGCCACCGGCTCCGCCATCTCCGTCCTCGACCTCGTGGCCGCCAAACCTCTACGCCTCATTACCAACCACCAAAAGACCGTCACGTCACTCAGCCTCGCCTCCAACGGCCGCCGCGTCGTCTCCGGCTCGCTCGACGGGCACGTCAAAGTCTTTGAAACCACCAACTGGAACGTCGTTTCCGGCTCCAAGTACCCCTCGCCCATCCTCTCTCTCTCCGTCATCGCCGCCGGCGCCGGCCACGAAGACCGCCACCTAGCAGTCGGCATGCAATCCGGCGTTTTGTCCTTGCGCACCCGTTTGTCAGGCGCCACCGCCGAGAAAGCCCGCGCCCGCGCCGCCGAAGACGCGCTCATGGTCTCGGGCGCCACCAGCAAGCTCGCCAAGATCGACTCGGCAAAAGCCAAGCGCAAGCGCAACGCCGCCTCCAACAAATCCATGGCCCTCCTAGGCGAGAACGTCGACGTGATCATCCCCACCGACGCGACCAACTCCGCCGGAGGCCGCAAGCGCCGCGTCAAGCTCAAGCCGTGGCAGCGCGACTTTCGCGAGGGCCGGTACGCCGCCTGTCTGGATGCCGTGCTCGACTTGTCTTCGCCCGAGTACCAGCCCGTGACTGCCCTGTCCGTGTTGGTGGCGCTGCGCCACCGGTCTGCCCTCCGCGAAGCCCTGGAAGGTAGAGACGAAGTCACTGTTTTGCCTTTGTTGAAGTGGGTCATCAAGTACATCTCCGATCCGCGGTACGCGACTGTGTGCGTGGACGTGGCGTTCCAGCTGTTTGATATCTACAGCGAGTACGTGGGCGGCAGCTCGGAGCTGGCGGATCAGTTTGCTGTGATGACGGGTAAGGTGAGCAGGGAGGTGGAGAAGGCGCAGATGGCGATTATCACGAATGGTATGGTGGAGAGTTTGATGATTGGTGGTGCCGAGGCTTAGGAAGCTGAGCCAGCATCGGACAAGGCCCTCGAGACTACTCCTTGATCAGAAGAAAGTGGTGGTTGGAAGGGGATGGGAAGAGATGGATGAGCTGTGTGGACGGATGGAATAAGAAAGATGTAAAGAACGGACGAGATTTGTTATACCACAAAGCAGGAAGGACGGGGAAGGGAAAAAAAAGGAGGGGGTAAAGGATCCCGGATGTGTTGGTTCGGTTTGGTTCGGTTAGGTATCATGGTTTTTTCTTGATATCAAGCCCTGCATGGCGTCGGCGTTCAAACATCCTTTTTGGCTTTTTGTACTAATCTGGGCTCACAAAAGTATACATACGGTTACACAAAATAAGGGGTTGGGACTAGATACCTCGAGATAGATACCTTAGGAGAATCAGTAAAAGCCATTCCAAATATTAGGCTTGTTGCGTGACATTGGACTCTTCTGGACGACGCCACCACGATCAAGAGCTTTGTTGCAGCGTCAACACTCAGCGTATCCAATAGAATTATGACTATAAATGACAACGTAAACATCTCGCTCCAAAGTCCTCGCTGAAGATCGCTTCAACTTTCCACTTAGTCGTAATCCTCCCTCCTGACTAGGAGAATAGAATAAGATACAGAAAGAGTCTCTCCGGTGAGCCCCTCACCACCCTCTGGTATCTGGCCAGACATCAAAAAGAACTCCCGGTCTGCCTTTGACGCCTGCTCTTCCAAGCGCCTTCCCAGGGCTGACTGTTGACAGCCCGACCAAAACTGCTGTCCCACTCTGTCATTGAAGACCGCCTCAATGGCACGCCGTTCCCTTCTCGGGGGGTTCCAGCAAGAAACACCATGCCGTCGTCTTTGCTGTTTCTTCGCAGCCAAGGCATCAACCCAAGATGCGTTTGATCATCAGATGCTTGCTGGATCCGGCGTTTCGTTCTCAATATCGTATATACAAAGTTTTCGTCCTTCTGTCATTGCTTACATGCCACCAAGCTCGGCCTCCAGGCCGCCGTTGTACGCGCCATACTCATGTGGCCTAGGATCTTCGGCAGTCCATTGTTGGCTGTGCACATCAGTAGGCATGGGCACCTGAGCGGGAGCCTGGGGTTGAGCGCCGCCCTGTCCTTGACCACCGGGCACGGTGCGCACAAGCTGCCTGAACCTGAAGACTTCATCGAGAATCATCTTGCGCATCTCGCCGACATCATCGACAACCTCAAAGTCGAAGTTGAAGGGGGTAGGGCAGTCGGGCTCGTCGCTGGCATCGTGCCAGATGGCGAGGTAGGGGTGCTTGAGAGCATCCTCAACGCTGATACGGCTGGTAGGATCGAAGGCGAGCATGCGGTCGAGGAGATCGAGGGCGTCGGGGTTGGCCTGGGGGAAGAGCTGCTGGAAGGACTTCTTGGGCATGGGAGGCAGGTTGCGGACGTATTCCTGAGCTCTGGGAGAGCCGATACGGGAGAGGGTCTCCTCATTCGGTGTGCCGAGGATGTGCAGGATCTGGTTCAGCTGATCGACGTAATCTCTACCCTTGAAGAATGGGCGGCCACCGAGGAGCTCGGCAAGGATACAGCCAACGGACCATACATCAACTAAGGAATGAGTGTTAGCCTGAAAACGATACCGAGGAGACAGCTTGAGGGAAAGACATACTGGCTTTGGTATAGTTCTGGAAGGACAACATGATTTCGGGGGCACGATACCATCTCGTGGCAACGTACTCCGTCATGTAACCCGCGTTCTCCTCAGGATCAACAGAGAAACCACGCGCAAGACCAAAGTCGCAGATCTTGAGCTCGCAGTCGGCATTAACCAGCAGGTTACCGGGCTTGAGATCACGGTGCAGAACGTTTGCCGAGTGAATGTACTTGAGACCGCAAAGAATCTGGTAGATGAAGGACTGGAAGTGGGCATCTGTAAGTGGCTGACCGGACCTAATGATAGCAGCAAGATCGCACTCCATCAACTCTGTAAAAGGACCCCCAGGTTAGTATGTTGGCCCATCTTCTCTTGAGGCCTGAGCCATGACGTACCCTCGTAGAGATAGGTCTCGTTGAACATCTCTGGCCGGGGAATGTCCATATCGTAGAGGCAGGTAATCTAAAGAACCAGAAATCGTCACGGTCAGCTACCATGCATCGATTGCAATATATGTATTTGAGCAACCTACGTTACGGTGGCCCCTGAAGTGCTGGAGGAGCTTGATCTCGCGCAAGGCGCGCTTGGCCAGGATCTTTTTGCTGAAGACATTGGTGACCTTCTTGATGGCGACTCCCTCGTTCGTCTGGGTGTTTACGGCGGCGCTGTTTAGGAGGAAAGGGAGGTTAGCTTGAATCATGGAAATATGGCATGACACATGTAGATGCGCCGCGGCCCAGAAGCACAAGCGGCTAAGCAGGAACGGGAGCAGGAGCAGGTGGACGTACCAGACAATGCCATAAGCTCCCTGACCGAGCTCCTTGGTGACGGTGTAGCGCTCGTCGACAATGAAGTCCTGGTTGAAGACCTTGAAGATCTTGCGACCCACGAGATCAGCCATGGCGAATGTGTGTGTGTGGTGTTTCGGGGACGGTTCGTAGCTTGAGGAGAGAGGTGGTTCGGGTGGCCTTTAGGCGCAAGTTTGGTAACGGCCTGGAGGTGGTATCGTGGGTATGTAAGCTCAAGCGCGATCAACGTCTTTGTATTTGGGAAATGTCGAGGAGGAGTATACGGGACAAAAGTAAGAAGTAGATTGAAAAGACGGGAGCGAGGCAATAGGCAACCGGCTAATGTAGTATTGAAGGAAGGCAGCGATGGAGAGAAAGAAAGAAAGAAAGAGGAAAAAAGTGGTGATGATCAAAGAGGTTTGCAGAGAGTAGGGTGGTCCTTGGCACAAGTACTGTACACTACTGAAGAGTCGGAAGCCCCTGGGATAGTAGTGTGTGATGGCAATGTGAGTGCTGACTGGGCCGGAGCAACTTGCGCTTTGGCTTCAACTGCTATTGATTGCTAGTTTACGGTTGGCGTATCTTTAGAGAAGCAATATGATGGCGATTCGAGCAGCTTGTTCAAATCGACGATATCATTGAAAGTGGAAAACGAGCAGTGAGGAGAGCGGGAGCTTCCTGAAGAGAAGCTCGGGTTTAGCGAAGTCAAGGACCTGCTTGGCCGTGGACCTCAATGGTGCAGTGGCTCCCCTGGGCTCGAAGCGGACAATGGTGAGGAGAGGAAAGAGGGGCGCCGAGGGACCCCGACCATGCGACCACTGCGCTGATCCCGGCACCAGAACGGGACCTGAGCGAGGGGCTGTCTGTGAGGCAACGCGGGGTCCGCTTCCCAAGAGGCCAATGTCAGCGGGCGCAAAAGTGCAACAAGCCGACGTGACGAATGGCGGCTTGTCGGTTCCTGACGAATGATGGCCGTTTTCAGGCTTGTCGCTGGTTGCCTCTTTTCCTTCTTTCCACTTTCCCATCCGTCATTGCCCAGGGGTACTACAGTACTCATTGCTGAACGTTTAACTCGTCCAAGACTTAGGTTCCATTGCTCACAATGGCGGCCTAACTTCAGACTTGAATGCAATGAATTCTACCTAGGGGCGTGAGCATCGCATTAACAACTAAACACTACCTATAAAGCCATAAAAAACCACCCCCCATCGAAACAGAACAAGGCCATTACCATAATGCTTGCCGCCTTGAAACAAAACAAAAACACACCGAGAAATCAAACAGAGGGATCGCCTGGCTTGGGGGCGCCTGTTTTGCGCGGCGGTCTCCCCTTGCCCAGCCAAAACGGAAGTCACTGCAAAGTCACTCCACAGCGGAAATCACAAGGGAACGGTACCTGATTCTACCCCACCCGCTGCGTCCCCGCTGTGATTTGCAACCCTCCTCCCGCGGCCATCTTTGGTGCTTCACCTTTTTTTTGGCGCGCGACTACGGCCGCCTCCCCACTGGCCGGCGTCAAAAAGATTCGCAATCATCAATACCATCATCTCGATGAGTTCGAAGGGGGGACGCATTGTTTACGGATCGTTGCTTGTTGCTTGAGCGAGGTGAAATATCATCAAGTTTGATTGTCCATGTACACGTTGCCTCGGCAGATCTTGGCTTTAACTGAGGGCGTCAAGGTGAAGGTTTGCGGACAACACCGAATTGAAAGACCTGGGAGTGCTTACCTCTGGGCCCGGGCAAGAAAGTTCCGGGGCTGAGCTTCATCCGTGATCCGGCGGCCGTCTGGACGGCGGCCCTCTCCGAAACCTGACCTTGAATTATTTTCTCCCAACAGTCTTTTTTCATGGTGACCTGCCGTCAACCAGTATTGGAGGATTTTCGAAAGGACAGGATCCCAGTTTTCCCCTGACCCAATCGGCCGGCTGATGCCGACAACATGTGGCCGCACTGACTCCCTGGTCGTTCCTGGACTTCCCCAGTGCCGTAGGGCTGATGCAGTTCTAGATGCAGACTTGGTCGCCAGAATAGGCCGCGATGTCGTCGCTCTCGCCGAGATGAGCTTCGTACTACCTCGGCATCATCGTAGATAGACCACTCAAAGTAGCAGACCGTTCTCGACGTCGTGAAATCCGAAATACAAACACCGAGCTCCCTCCGTTCGTGGCGACGAGGTTATAAGCCGCTCTTGACCCAGTCGAAGTGATGTCCATGATCTAGATCAACTCGCTCTCGCAATGACAACACGTAACGAAGCTCGACGGCAGCTACCTCGATATGATGGGGAGAAATCCGACCAAAAGGAAACGTGCACAAACGACAACGTCTACATGACTGGTATCTATCTTCGGTCTACAACAGCAGCAACAGTCTAACCCAACGCCTCAACGCCTGCCTTCTAGTTTTTGGTCGACGAAAGCTCATCTTCTACTCTCTACTCGGCCTTGACATCCGGAAAGACATCGCCCAAAAAGTTCTTGGAAAACCTCGTGGCCTGCTCATACGCCTTCTCGAACCCGGACTTGCCGCCGTAGTACGGATCCTGGATGACCTCGGCCTTACCGGTGCCCGAGTACTCGCCAAAGAGCATCACCTTGGCCTTTCCCGGATGACGTTGCTGCAGGCGCTGGAGGTCGGCCAAGTTGGCCCGGTCCATGGCGAAGATGTAGTCGAACTTGTCAAAGTCGGAGGTATTGACCTTTTAATCGTGGAACAACAGTTAGACATCGAAGGAGGGATTCGAGGATGAGGACTAGTAGGATGTCTGTCAGCCACCAGCAGCTGATGGAGGAAAGCGTACCTTGCGCGCGGCATGGATGTAATCGGTTATTCCGTGCTCTTGGAGTGTCTCCATCGTTCGGTCGTCGGGACCTTCGCCAACGTGGTAGGCACCTGGAAATGAGGGGAAAGGTTAGCATGGGAAATGGGCCTGACAGCAAAGGCCAATGGTCCTTGGAAAGGCATACCAGTTCCGCACGAATCAATCTTGGAAATACGACCCTTGTATTCGGGCTTCTTGGCCATCGACTGGAAGACACCTTCGGCCATCGTGGAGCGGCAAATGTTGCCGAGGCAGACGAAGAGGACGGAGATCGGTTCGGACATTTTGGCCGGTGGTTATGACGTTCGACGAGCTCGCTTGAAGAACAGAATAATCAGTGTGGTTGACAAGCGAAACTAGGAAGAGACAGGTTGGAATCGCAAACGAGTTCGACAAGACAACTTTGGCTTCAACAACACTGGCAGCCACCACGAATCATGGAGGGGCGAAGCCGATAAGCGCCCGATAAGGCTCAGCTTCAAGGATCCCCTCTGTCAAAGAAGGGTCAGGGGTCCAGGTCATTGTGATTTGTGAGGGAAGATGACTCGGCAGACAGATCTAGAACTTGGGGCACATCGATCGATGCGATCGTTAGCATCCACGGCCGACATTCTCAATGTCCTTTTCCGATGTTCGACGACAACCCTCAGCAACTCCAACGAAGGCGCGACCTTCACTTGCTGTTTGACATTCACACTTGTCACGTATCAGCCGACTGGCAGAACAGTCCGGCAACACTCCGACACGACCCTGCGGCCGCCAGCAACTGCACAAAATTGCAGACGCGCACGTACCACTGGCGCAGTTTGCACTCGTGCACAGGCCATCCCACAGTAGCCTATTTAATCATGGGTCCCCCTCCGATTTCTTTGAACTTTCTTCTCCTCTTTTTTTTCTTCATACTTACCTTGATTGACTGCGCGGAGATCAAGAAAACCGCGTAGTACGGTGGAGAGCCTGCATTGCACATCGTGGTGCTAGCCATCGTGAATTGCCCTTCGGGGCCGTTCCGGTCGTAATTTTTGATGTCGAAAACCATTCAATTGCGAAAGCAAAACCTTTTCAACTTTTTCACTATGTTGCCTCTGCCTGCGCGGTAGGGCCATGGAGAAGAATGATATGCCGGGCTGTGCTTGTTTCTGTACGACGTTTGTGGTGGTGGTGGCGGTGGTGGTGGTGGTGGTGGTGCCGTACTATCAAGCCCACCGCCGCAATAACCGTTATCTTGTTCCAATCTGGATCCCAACATGCCGCGCCGCGTACGACGCGCAAGCTGTCATCGATTTATTTGTCTTGGACCCTGAGATGGTGTACTAGTAGTGGTGATGTCGATGTTGATGGTGTGGCCGGCTTACGTGATTTTCGTCGTCGTCAACATCGACTCTTCGATTGATGCCGATGAGATGAGATGTTCACAAACCTTCCGTCAACCTAGATTCCCGCACTGGCTGACATCGATAAGTATCGAGGAAGAAGTTGGCAGCAATGACCACTTGACGGTGAATGGTGGAGCATCATAGCGTCTTTCCAAATGAAAGAACTGCCAAGCAACTTGGTCGTTGCTTGGCGCCCTCCTTGACTCTCTTGGCCAAGACCCCAAATCCATCTTCCCTCGCGATACACAGCATGAAGAGGACATGGAAGGGTACCTTTTCTTTTTGTCTCCCCGCCTTTCTTTGGCAATTGGATGCGAGACACTCAGCATTAGGTTGGCGGTGTATGCGTTATTGGGAGTCCTGAACCCCAAAGTCGTCCGACCAGTCTGCCTTGCAATGGCTGCTGAAAATGCTGAACGTGGAGGTGGAAGTGTTGAAGACAAACTTAACCGACATGTCAGTCACTCAAGCACGTATTCCGACCCATGTCGAGCGCAAATGCTGAGCCGCACCGACGCGACTCCACCGCGGCCCGATCAACGGAAAAGACGGGCTGCCTCGATGTCCTCTTGCGGTTAGAAAGATTCGGAGCAGGACCTCGGCGCGGGGCCATCATGAACACCGGTTCCCCAAACCACTGCAAACTGTTATCTCTCCCACATGGATATTCGACACCATCCCGACATATATGTACCGTGTAGTGGTGTAGTGTACCTACACCATCATCATGACAGGACACTTGGCCCTTTCGGATCCCAGCGCCTTGTCAGATAATCAATGACACGAGGCGGGTGCTTATCAATATAGTAGATCGGCTCTCCATGTGCTCACCACACTGAACCCCGGGATCGAATCTCCATCTTGCTCAATCGGTACATTCGCCGAACATGAAGCTGGATAATGAAAGCAAGTGAAAGGAAAGGTACGGAAGTCTTGTACACCGCCAGGCTGCCGTCCTACCGTATCTGAGACCTTGTCCGGATGCGAACATTTGATCCTCGTCATTGAACCATGTGGGGGAGATGGCAGTGTTCTAGTGGTCCAAATGTTCCAAAACTATCGAACGAACGAGTCCTTACAACGAGGTATGATGGTACCTAACAAAAGTTGGGCCTGCAATCACGCAACTACCGGCAACTTTACGCAAGATGCAAAGCGACACTGGCCGCATATTCAATGCTTCACGTCCGACGGCAGTGTTGCACATTCTGGGGTCAATTGATAATCTGCACTGCATATACCCCAATATATCTAAACAGCATGAATTGAATGCGCCGAAGCCTCTTTTGAGCGTGGGAAGCGTGTCGAGGATACGGTCCCTTGGACTCGACGGACTGGGCTGTGAGACTATGGTTTGTTTCGATCGAAACAGATTACAAAATGGGAAGGACGTTGCCTACCTCTACCTTCGGTTGCTCGCCCCGCCAAGTCAATTTCAAACTGGATGAATGAATTGTGATTCGGAGCACTTGTCCTGATATCATTCCTTCCACATTGGGATCTGAGATGTCGAAGAAAAAAGAAGAAAAGAATTGAGACAGACGACATCAACACCCACGGCTCCAGGGGGGTTCGTGGTTGGTCGATGCTCCAGCCCCGATAATGAGGTTTGGTTGCTCAGATCGCCTATGGACTTGGGGAACGGATCGCGGCTTCTTCGAGGCCCGGGGGAGGGATCTGCGACTGGCGCCAACGTCCATGTCATGAAGACGACATGTCATTGGTCGATCTCTGTTTGAATCGATACCCAGACTCGATTTTTATTTTTCTGTGAACGGGCTCCCATGAGTTTGGGAGAGATGCAGGGTCTTCAGTATCTCTCCAACTTATTACAAATCTGGGAACGGAAAGTCATTGCGGGATCGTACACTACAAGCAAGACACTCACTCAGTCTCCCATCGATGAGTGCGATCGATAATATTTCCGGTTATAACATCTTATCTTTCCCTCCATCCGCTCCTAGTCGCTTGTGCATTTGCAGCCTCCTTCCTCTTCGCCATCTCCATATCACATCCATCCTCACCTGCACGTCCTCTTCCCATCCCATCTCCCAAAAACCATACCTTGTTGTATCTTTACCATTAAAATCAACTCTTTACTGTTCGCAAGTCGAGACCTTTGAACCATCAAGTCTGTGTGTTCTGTACCAGTTCGCGCGCAAAGGCACAATCGCACACGAAAACGCATTAAACTGCATTACGCCGCGAGCTTCACATTCCAACGACATCCTCGAGCACCATTGACCACAAGACCAGAGCTTACTTGGACAATTCGACGGACTCTGTCAACAAATTTGTGACAGCTCAGAGAAAAGTCGACGCTGTCCTTGGCAAGTTGCAGTGCTTCTTCCTTCGCTCCGATCTTCGCCTCTAGCCGATATCTCCGAATCTCGATATCTGCTGCGATTGATATCTTCCAGATTTGAGACGACTTTCCACACCAGCCGAGATCTCATTTTTTCTGTCTGGTCTACACAGCGATCGGTTCCAATACCACGGATCAGGAAACGAAGGGATCCGCATATTGACAAGACGGAACTTTGGACATCCGAGCTGTGATCACTGCAGTCCCTCCTCCATAAGTATCGGCGCATACGATCGGTCCCTCAAGGTACTTACATATAGTACTTCCTCACGGACCCCCAACCCACGGCCAAACAGACAGCGACCGACAAGTTCCTTTGCAAATCGCAACCATGGTTGAACATGGGCCTGTCCACAACAGCGAGGTTTACGTCCTCAGCCAGACGCCTTTTCCGAACCACCTCCACCGCGGCGGCCGTCCCTCCCCGCCGTCGCCCATCACCCCGGCCGAAGACGACTTCTGCTGCTCGCCCATCGACAAGCTCCCGCTGCACAACTTTGTCGAGCCCGCCATTGCAGCATGTGAAGAGCAGCTCGCCGTCGAGTCGCGCCTCTCGGGCGCCGTGCACCTGCTCAACACGGCTTCCACTGCGCTCTCGTGCATCACCGACCTGTACTTGTCCGACCGCATCGCGCGCGACGGGTTTCACCGCGCCGTCGACGCCATTGTCCGGCGGCAGGGCGATCATGGGCGCAATGGCAAGCTGGTCATCATCGGCGTGGGCAAGTCCGGGCACATTGCCAAGAAGCTAGTCGCTACCTTCAACTCGCTCGCCATCCAGGCTGTCTTCCTGCACCCAACAGAAGCGCTGCACGGCGATCTGGGCCAGATCAACAGCCGGAACGACACCCTTATGCTGATCACCTTCTCGGGCAAGACGCCCGAGCTACTTCTCCTCCTCCCTCACCTGGACCAGTCACTACCACTCATCCTACTCACGAGCCACACCCGCCCAGAGACATGCGAGATTGTTCGCCAGCGACCAGACACCATCCTCCTCCCAGCCCCAATCCACGAACCCGAGACCAAATCCTTTGGCGTCAGCGCACCCACGACTTCCACGACCGTTGCACTCTCAGTCGGCGACGCCCTAGCTATGGTGGCCAGCCATGAACTGCACCCTTCTGTATCCAAGGTCTTTGCCAAAAACCACCCTGGAGGCGCTATCGGCGCCGCTTTGCGCGGCTCTTCCGTCTCGCCTTCCCCCTCCATTAGCTCCTCAGCCTCGGGCACCACACCATCTTCTTCCCGCACCACATCCTCCATGTCCATCTCCTCTCAACCACCATCACCACCTTCACCACCACCAGCACGCCACTCCCTCCGCGACCTAGCCATTCCCCTCCACGAAATCCCTTGCCTCGAGACTCCTCTTCACAACCAACCGGGTCACGACCCATCAACACCCACCCTCACAGCCGCCGACCTCCTTCTCGCCGCTTACGCCTCCCCCTCCGGCTGGGTACGGCTTTCCCACGGAGGAGGTGTCGTTTCCCCCAGTAGAATCAAACGCCTCACCCCCTCCCAACTCTCCCTTTCTTTATCTGATCCACGTCTCAGCTGGCTCGTCACGCCCCAAACCGAGTTTTTGTCCTTGACGGCCGATACGGAGGTGCGCAACGCGGCGGAGTGGATCAAAGCCATGCGCACCGTTCGGGCGACGGGGGTAGTAACGACGACGACGACGATGAGGACGAGGACGAGGGTGGTGACTGTGGGAGAGGCGGAAGCAGAGAAACAAGAAGAGGAAAAAGAAGAGGAAGCAGAAACAGAGATGGATTTCGGGGATGAGTGTGTGGTTGGTGTTATGGAGGGAGGGCCAGATCATGGGGGGGGTGTGGTGGGGGTGGTGGAGGTGGGGGGGTTACTGGATTTTGTTGTTCAGTCTGGTCAAAAGCCATCATAAATGAGGTTGGAAGACAGAACTAGAGGTGGGATATAACCAGAGAGGATGATTGCATATACATATGATGATACCTACATAGCAAGTTGGTCGGGGGGCTTTTTGGGGGCTTTTTTTTTTTTTTTTTGTTTTTTTTTTTTTTTTTTGGATTCAGCCAGCAAGCAAGCATGCAAGCAAGTATGATTGATCATTGGATCATACCGCACAGCGAGGGATCATGAAAAAGGAGGGTTTTTCTGCGCGTAGCAGTTTTATTTTAGTTTTTATTTGGATATCCGGGATGGCGTTGGGAGGCAATCACTTTGGTTTAGATGTAATAACTAAGTTTTGATTCATCTTATGCTACGATACCTCTCTTCTTTATATCCATTATAATGAATGACATGCACTCTACATTTACCTCTTGTATGCGATAAAACATTCGCGGGCGGTTTTCTGATTCTGTTTGATACGATTTACCTACGTACCCCTCACATTCACATCCCGTCTGTCACATGGTGAATGTCGTGCATGAAGCTTGTTCTTGTTGAGGAAAAGTGGGATGTATGTATGGTTGGAGGTGATTGATTGGTTTCCTCGAAACTCTTTTACGATTCTCATTCCATACGTACTCAATAATGTATGTGAACATGCGAATCAACAGTATTTATCCTTACAACCACCCTAAAAACCAAGAATGTACAGAAAAGCTTTTTACTCTAACCCCAACCGAACATACGTCTAAACAAGAATAAATAACTCCTCTAAATTACAGAAATCAAGCTCAGTCGCTGTCGCTGTCGCTGCTTTCCGAGCTATCGCTCTTCTCGTTTTCCGACTCAGAAGACTCCGCCTCTGAGCTCGAAGACGACGACGATGAGGAGGATGAGGAAGTGCTGGTGGTGGCTGTCTTGGCTCCCGCATCGGCCATCTCCTCGTCCGAGTCAGAATCGGAGTCACTGCTATCACTGTCCGAAGAGTCCGAGCTCTCGCTGTCGCTGATGTCCGTACGCTTGTTACGTAACCTGCGGCGCTTAGCGGGATGTTGACCGTCTGTCGAGGCCCTGGCGGTCTGTGGTTGAGAAGCAGGCGCGGCGGCAGCGGCGGCGGTGGAGGCAGAAGCAGAGGTAGAAGTGGTGGTGGTAGCAGTGGTGGAAGTAGCGTCCTCAGAGTCCGCCAGCTCCTCCAGCACCATCTCGGCACGAATCCGCTTGATCAAGCGCTCCTTGACATCCTTGTCCACCGCACCCTCCTTGTCGTTCGTCTCCTCCTTCTTCTTCTTGTCCTTCTTCTCCTTCTTGCCGCTGCCGCTGCCGCTGCCGCCGGGCGCTATCCTCAAGACAAACTCGACCTCGTCAAAGCTGCGCTTCTTGCTCTTCTCTTGCATCCGTTCCTTCTGATCGTCCAAGAACCTTGCAATCGCATCCTCATACTGCTTCTGCCTCTCCTCGTTCTTCTCCTTCGCCTTGTCCCCACCGGGGAACGCGCTAGCGCCAGCCTCCATATCCTTCTTCTTGATCTCCTGCGCCTGCTCCCGCAGCCGCGTGCGCACAAAGCCCTTCAGGTCGCGGATGTATTGGTAGAAGAGGGGCACGTCGGCCGAGGGGATCTTGTCGGACTCGAACACGTACTTGATCAGCAGCGTCTGGTGGTTCTTGTTGAACTTCCACTGGTCGCGGGCCGAGTGCCACTGGCGCAGGTAGGCGAGGGAGGGCTCGAGGTTGGTGTCGGACTTTGATTTCTTGGACTGTTCGGCGGACTTTTTGGAGGCCTGCTTGGCCTTTTTGGCCTTCTTCTTCTCGCGCTTCTTCTCCTTGGCGGCGGCGTCGGTGGTGGAGGTGGTCTTGGTTTCTTGGGAGAAGGAGACGGACTTTCTCTGTGCTGCTGGTGCGTTATCGGAACGGAATCGCTTGTTTTGTGCAGGGTAGTTGTTCTGGTTGTTGAAGGACTGTTGCTGGGATGGCAGTTTCCTCTTGAGTGCGCTGGTCGCGGGAGCTGGCTGACGGGTGGCGGATGGCGTGCTTGTTGTCGTCGAGGGGGCGGCCGCAGGACTGTCACCAGCAGATCCTTTGAGCTTGAGACCCAATCGCTTCCAGGCCGGGACGGCGGACATGATGGGCGAGAGGAAGGAGGAGAAGGATTAAGAGAGGAGGGAGAAAGAAGGGGTATAATATGGAGAATGTATGTCGGATACGACTGTGACTGCGACTATGCTGTATGCAGTGTGCCCTGAATTTGGTCTGGTCTGGTTTGATGCGATGTGATGTGGTGTGTCGGATCGGAATCGGTACGCGACAGGAAGCGTCGAGTGACGTGGGCGACCACTACAGACGGTGGAATCACACGAGGGACCGGGAGTTACTTGGGGAAAAAGGAACTCAATTGACGATGGCGAGAGTACGAAACAGGTATGCAGCCAAGACCCAGTTCGTAAGTTGGTCGGCTCAAAGCTCCCTGTGCTTGATTGCGGTGCGACGGGGAATTGGAGATGTTATTGGTGGTGTCGCTGCTTTGAATTGCAATTGAAGAACTGCCTGCGACTGCCATTCCCGTTTCCTCCAAATCGCAAATTTCTGTCCGCGAAAGCTTATCGGCGCCCTACAGCAGGGGTCCCGGTCGTGATAAGAGATGCAAATAAAGTGGGGTTTTGGTCTGGGGAATCTGGACGACGAGACGGGAGCTCGGGCGGCAGGCAAAGTGGATTGAAGCTGTCAGTTCGAGTGGGGTCATCTCGAGCTACCTACGGGAATCGTGTGGGGTTGGGTTTCCGTTGGCCTGGCGGGCGATGGACTGGTCCAGGCGGCTGGCCGTCACCTGGTACCCGTCCTTGGCCTATCAGATTGTTACCTAGCCTTCCTCCAGGCAATCCCGCCGTAACGCGTTCGATGGGCGGGCGCTGGAGCAGCAGCTGTCCATCCACTGCCCTGGGCTGGAGTTGCTGGACATCGTCACTGCAATCCGGGCATCCATCCCGCCCGCCGCCTTGACCAACGACGAAGCTCCCTTCTGCCTGCCACCACCAACTCGACCCATCCATTTCCAGACGTCAACAAACAAACACCACGACTGTTCTCCCAACCGAAGCCGGCGATCTCTTCATTTCGTATCCCAAGTACACATAGACCGGTCCATTTAATCAAATATTCAAAATGTCGGGTACGTCAAGTCAGAGCTTGGGTTCAACCACCACCTGGACTGCCCGCTCCACCCACTTACTGAAGCTCCCCCAAGCTATCACCATGCTATGATGTAGGCGCCATGGCTAACATACATCCCCCACGACAGGCAGCGCTGGCTACGACAGACACATTACAATCTTCTCCGAGCAGGGAAGATTGTACCAAGTTGGTATGTCTGCATCGCCCCGTTCGAATGGCGTACCACGACCCTCGACCCTCGACCCCTCTACGACCCGATCCCAGACACGGAAACGCAAAGGCGACCGACGATGGTGGACTAGATGGATAACAGAGGTGCTGACGACGGAGGACCGTGATAGAATATGCCTTCAAGGCCATCACAGCTGCCAACATTATGTCGCTCGGCGTCAGGGGGAAGGACTGCGCCGTAGTTCTGTCCCAGAAGAAGGTTCCCGTATGTTGTCCTGGGTAATAGGAGGCTTCCACCGGCACTGTGATATGCTGACGGTCATGCGACAACAGGATAAGCTCATCGACCCCTCCTCCGTCTCCCACATCTTCCAGATCTCGCCCTCGGTTGGCTGCGTCATCACTGGATCCATCGCCGATGCGCGCGCCTTCGCACAACGCGCCCAGGGAGAGGCTGCCGAGTTCCGATACAAGTTTGGCTACGAGATGCCATGCGACGCCTTGGCCAAGCGCATTGCCAACATCAGCCAGGTCTACACTCAGCGCGTAAGCTATCTTCAGCTGCCCCCGCGACCGGTCACTAGTCTCTAAAAAGAGGAAGAGGATGATATACTAACGAGAGACTCTTCTTTCCAACTGCAGGCTTTCATGCGCCCATACGGCGTCGCCGTCACCCTCATATCGGTCGACTCGGAGTTCGGCCCCCAGCTGTTCAAGTGCGACCCGGCAGGCTACTACACAGGCTACAAGGGCACCGCGGCGGGTCCCAAGCAGCAGGAGGCCCTCAACCACCTGGAGAAGAAGCTCAAGAACAAGGATCACGCACCCGGTGATTGGAAGGAGGTGGTGGAATTGGCCATCACCACGCTCAGCACGGTGCTAAGCATGGACTTCAAGAAGACCGAGATCGAGATTGGTATCGTCGGTGGACCCAGGCCGGACGGAAAGGAGGGCACATATCCCGGCTTCAGGACATTGACCGAGGACGAGATTGATGAGAGGCTACAAGCTATTGCCGAAAAGGACTAAGGGAGGCAAGTAGACAGACGGAGACTATGTGGTGGTGATGCTGTGACGTGGTCTATCTGGAAGATGAATGAGGAAAGGGATGCTACCCTGGAGGCAGCTGGGAAATCATCGATCATCGACAGATGGACTCACGGAGAATCCGAAGAGGATGTGTGTCTAAGAGAGCTGAAAGCAAACAATGAAATGATAATGGCCCATGAGGAAGATAGTGGGAAGAGAATGGTATGGTGATTGATTGCATACGCAGAGAACTTTATTCGCACCTCAGCACACCAATATCGTTCAATATCTTCTAGCCCAATTACTAGCACAAGGCTCCTACATGCCGGCAGTTGGTTTGTTTCTGTACGTGACATGGAGTAAGCATTATCACAGCCTCACAGTACACAAGAGTCTAGCTATATGCTATACTAACTGTACAGAAGGAGAATCCAAAAAGGAAGGAAGCCAAGTCATAATCCAGCCTTGCAGCCGTGCTAGGGACGGGAGACCAGAGCTGAAGGCCGAAACGAGCCTGACGCTTTCTCAGTTCACTTAAGAGAATCGAGGGAGTAGTGTGTGTTGGGTACCAACCAATATGACTGGAAGAGAAAGAAAAAAAAAAAAAAAAAGAAAAGAAAGAAAGAAGGAGGGTAAAGCGACAAGCAAGATAATCAGAAGAAGCAAAGTGATTGAATGTTGTTGTGACTTCAAGTTCGGAGAACCGGTGGGGACTAGAACTAGGTATCATGGACCGTACCGAGAGAATGGAGCGGTGCTTGCTTTGTTGCAATCTTTTTTTTATATATATTTATACAAATTTGCCACGTTGGACGTGGGGAAACGATGAAAAGGGGGGGTGGAAAGATAATTTTCGATGTTGAGATGTTGAGATGTGGCCAGGGTGGTGGTGATGGTCAGTCAGGGTCTGTCGTCGTCGTCCCAGGATGTTGTTGGATGTGGATGTGGATGTGGTGGGTGGTGGTGGTGTTGAAGGATGAATGGCGCGGCGCTAGTGGTGGTGGCCTCCCGATATGGTGGTGGTTGGATGCATGGTTGGGTTGCAGCCAATGGGGTACGTACCTTTTTTTTTGGTGAACACTACAAGTGTATACACTACATACGTATACTAGTAAGGGCTGTGATGTACGTAGGGACATGACATGACATGACATGGGATGGGGGCATCACATTACCTCCCGGCATGCGGTCCGGACGTGGAGTGTGGACGGATGGCGCCAAAGTGTAGATGCGTAATGTAAGTAAGTACCTTGGTAGAAAGATCGAAGTTGAGGGGAGTCAACCTCACGATATCAGATCAAAGTGAACTTCGAGTGGTAACTGAGATGTCACTTTGTTGCAGTATTCTGATCAAGGTTCAAGTTCGAACAAACAACCTTGTTGGGTCTTCTACAAGCAGGCTTGTCTACATACACCATGTACATACCTTCATCATCGTCGCCGACCTCACACCTCATATCTCCACAACACAATGAGGCTCTTCAAAGGCGGCCGCCTCAACAGGCCCGCTCACCACGTAATCCCCCCCCCCCCCCCCATCTAGTCCGTCCGCATGCACTTCGGGTTCGGCTATAAGGCACAGGGGGTGACGGGGCAACTGAAGTCGACGACCACTCGGCACGGCACGGGCAATCAAACGAACTATTCTAACGATTTCAAGACATGCCCCTGGAAATCTCGAAATGCAACAAATAGGAAGAGAAGGAAGCAAGTCCCTGGAGGAAATGGTGATGGGGCCTCCAGATAAGAATGAAATGGACAAATCGAAATCGAAAGCAGGGAAAGCAAACACCGGACCAAGAGTGAAGACGTTGAAGCTAGTGCTGTAAGTCTCAAAGCGGAAAGGGAAGGAAGAAAAAGGAATGCGGAATGGGAAGCATGCATTGCAAGTCACATGCAACCCCTTCCTTCCTTCTTTCTTCCTTGGCCCTTGGAATATACTCACTAGTTGGGATGAGTAAAATTTACTGAAGAAGGCTGCCTCTTCTCCCGGGATGAATGCAGCTATACCGTGGATACGGTTCCGTGTTTCCCGAGACTATGGGATCGGTGTTGTGTTTGATGGAGAACTGCTACACGTGTAAGGTATGTACTGCACGCAGGTTCGGACAGAAAGAGACTAACCATGTAATGTTAGCAATGACGAGGGGAACTAGCAGAGATTCGGAACGGTTCCGTTTGTGCATGAGATGCTTGACGAATGGGAATGGATGTTTCAGGATTCGGGCAAAAGGCCGAGAACGCCATGGACTTGTGAGATTTTCCAAGGGAAAGTATCTCATGGAAGAGTTGGGAACGGGGTACAAAGGGGGGAGTGACTGAGCTGGATGGAGATGATTGCAGATACTGGAAATGGTAAGAGAAGGGGGCTTGGTAACCGAATTGATGGATATGACTGGAGCTTGGAGAACATCACAGCTCCGAACTGGAAAGAGAATCATTCCTAACGTGGAAAGCTACATGATGTTTCGGGCTTTGCTTTGAAGAAGTTCTGACTCTAAAGTTGAACAAAATGTGGAAACACCATGAGGTCACTGACCGAGAGAGGGTCTCGATGCAACCCTACCTATTCAACGGTACACCAACCCACGAGAGATCTGCCGGAGCCGAGTGGGAGAACAGAACAAACTGTCGGTTTCAAGAATGTGCTAAAGAAAGCTCAAACCAGATTCGCTGCCTCAGCTCAGCCCAGGAACATGTTCTTTTGGGTTAGAACTGTTAGAGTTTGGGGGATGTGATTGGTCGTGTTGACACCTGAGGTTGTCCTGAGCCACCGATGATGTTGATTTGATATTGGGCTGCCTCTCTGTTGCTGCGGATACCGCCAAGATCGCCATATCGGAGCCAAGAGGCGGCTGGAAATCGTCTGTGGCGCCGCTGAAGGGCTCGTCTATCTTTCCTAATCGGGACTTGCTGGGCTGCCAAGACGACCAAGAGGCTGCTAGAAACTCCACATTTCACGACTTTATCCTTTTTTTCTTCTGTTGTTTCTGGGTTTGTGTCACCGTCACTTGGTCATGATGAGCAACAACAAAGAGCCTCCTTTTTGGCGTCCTCCTTGGCTTGAAGGCGCTTACGAGCTGGACATGGCTGGATGTACTGGGTTGTGGTTGGAGAGATGACAAGAGTGACGGAGCACGAGGGCACACAAGGACTGTTTACCGCTCAGTTTTCCAACTTGATATCGAGGCTTGAACAAGGCCCTGATGACAAACTCGTCCGAGGCTCCGACCCGGGAGTGAGGCAGGGTCACCACGCCAACCCCATACCGCTCCAAAGATCTGGCATCGGACCCAAACACGATGAGGCTTACCACGATATTCCCACTTCTCCTGCATGCACCGGCTCCCATTTCCAGGTGGACTAGGATCATGAACTTTGTTGACCCGTATAGTAATCAAAACATGGTCTCCCTAGCCTTACACTAGTCACTCGTGCCGAACTTCACAGCCTGTGGAGTAAGGCCGTTGTGGTCGTCGTGACATGCTCCATACAGTCCCCAACATCCACGCTAGACTCTTTGTACCTGCGTTGGGAATATCCATGGCCTTATCGGATGCCCGATTCGCAACCTGTATGGCCCTCTTCGTGACTCTTCACGCCGGAGTTCATGCAGCTTTACAGCTTGGTAGGGGTTCTTTGCTAGTCATGGATCCAACTGCCGCGAGCCATTGTACATCACGAACTAGCCTCTATCCCTTCCTTGGGTGGAACGACACATCCCAACCCAAGGGTATAGGTTGAGCGGCTGATGAACATTCATCTCCATCTCGTCAACGCTAGTGGACGATGCGGCCCGGCGTGAGCCTTGGGCTCCGGGAACACTAGAGAGAAGTGAGGGATGAGGCCATGAGGTGTTGATCGGGAATAGTCGTGATGGCTTCTTTGTCCGACTGGACATGAACTTGTGGGAATACGTACCACTTACAGACACACACACAATCCATGATCGGTTTACCTCCACGGTTCTAGTCAGGGGGGAATGCCGTTCAACTCCTCCACCACTCCTCCACATGGCTTTCAACGGTTTTGTTTTCTTTTTTCCATGATGACGGGAACGATTTTCTACAAAAGGTCTCAAACATCGCCTCCCAAGTTGCCATCACGACCCATCATTCAGCAGCATCGAGCCATCTGAATACGACACTCCGGTCTTCAGTTGTCCAGGGATTCACGATCACGATCTGAACCGACGCCGCCGCCAATCTCTTCCTTTTTCTAGACTTGCCAATTCATCACAGCACGCATTGACTTGCAGTTGCCTTGGTTTTCTCAGCTATACCAGCCATCCCTTCACCGAATTCGCTTCACACCTCAGCGACACTCTTCTTGTTTCTTCCTTTCTTCCCGTTTCCACTACCAAAAAGTGTCACGAGCTTTTGCCTTTGAAAGGTTTTTGTCGAATTCCCATCTCCACCAAGGATCCATCTTCTCAGATACCCATCCCACAACAACCGCAACCATGTCTGACGGCCGTAAGTACCTCGTCTATGTCACTTTTCATTTCCCCATCCCCACTCTACTCACTTGCCGTCTGCCGGGCCTACCAAAGCTGTGGGTTCTATCCACACACACTGGCATACGTAACCCCCCTTTGACCTCCCTATAGGGATTACCCAACCCTTTTCACGCACTCATCCACTGCCGTTCACACCACTGTTTCACACCTTTCCACCCACCCACAACCACTCATACCCTTCCGAGACCCATACACATACCCATGGAAGAGGTTCAGGTGCGTACTAGGGACGCCACCACCACCAAACTTTTCCCAAACAGGAACATGGGCAAGGCTTCGCACATATCCAGAACCAAGGAACGACGGAAAGTCCCATGTCTTGATAGACTATCATCATCATAACATTGCAAACGATGCTTCCCAACCAAGGAACAACTTACCCCGTCACTCTATCACTCCTTTCCCCCTGACCTCAAATATTACCAAGCAAAACCAAGCAAGAACCACTCCCCCTAGCCCCTATCTAGGTACCTAGAGGTAGCACACCGATCTGAACATTACCACCAACAACAAACCATCCCCCTACCCCTACCTCCATTCCCTCTCCCAACACCCCCAACCCTCATTTCAAGTCCCCCAACCCTATTAACACTAACCCCATTCACACGAATAGTAAACCCCCTCCGCGAAGCCCGCGTAGCCGAACTGCTCTCCGACTTCCGCACCCTCCAGTACTTAATCGCCGCCGTCCCCACCTCCCCCAGCAACCCAGACGACTACTACACCGAAGGCTGGGCCGCCCTCCGCCAGTGCGCGCTAGACGGGCAACACATCTTGAACTGCGCAGCCGACATTTCGATTCCGTGTGCATCTGGCCCGGGACCCGATGAGCAGGCGAAAGCGGAACTCAAGCAGGTGTTGCTGGATGCGTATGCGAGACGACATGAGGGACAAAAGATTTATCTGAGGCAGGCGGCGGCGCAGAGGTGGGTGGGGTGGAGGGAGAGTGTTGTTAACGGGGGAGGGGGGATGGAGGGGGTGGATGGGCAGTTGAGGGCTGTGAGTACTTCCCATCCTATCCTTGACTGTGTGATAGAAATATGGGGGATGGTTCGCTGATGATGGGGGGAAAAAAAAAAACAGGAACTAGCAAACATCACCGACGAAGCAATCTACGCCGAACTCCAAGCGAACGACATCAGGATTGGCCGCTGGGTAGACGAGGATCCGAGTCTGAGAGAGGTTCAGAGGTGGATTCGCTCGAGGAGTCAGTGCTAAGTCCACCACACTCTCGATTGGGTTTCTCGACGATATGTCCTCCAGTCCTCTCTCCTCTTCTCTCCTCCTCTCTTCGACCCCTTCGACCCTTCGACGAACCACAACCACATCCACAAACCACAGACACTCTGACAAGGGGGTATCAACATTCGACAACAACACCTCATCTTCTAGTCCGTTACGGCGACCTCTTTTTTTTTAAAAAAAAAAAAAAAAAAAAAAAGGGGGGGAATCACAACACGAACTGGACGACCACGACACTTTTCGCTTCTTCTCGCTGCTGGCTGGTCAAACTTTTTTTTTTCTCTTTTTTTCTTTTTTTTTTTTTTTTTTCCTCTGAATTCTGTTCTTTTGCATCAATTGCATCACCGTTATACAAAATAGGGGAGGTTCAAGTTTAGAGGAGGCTTTCTTCGTTGTTCTGTTCTTGCTTGGATTCTGTTTGTTTGGTGCATGGGAAAGCATACGAAGGGGGGCATAAAAATGGTTTTTTTTTTTTTTTTCTTTTCTTTTTTTATCTTTCTCAGCATTCTGGCTGCTTTCTTTCCCGTTGCTCTGGTTTTCTTTTTCGGTTTCTTTTCTTTTTCTTTGTCCCTTCTCTGTTTCTGTTTGTCTTCTTCTTCTTCTTCGTCGAAAAAAAAAAACTTGCGCATGTACATAATTGCTTGCTTTCTTTTTTGTTTTTGGTCTTTGGGCACACAGGGCGTCTGGTTACGCTCTTTGGGAAGTCTTTTTGGACGAACGTCTGTCAGGCCTGCTCAAGTATGGTGGGGAGACCTATGGTAGGAGTTGGTATTGGATGGATGGAAATTACCTAGGTACTACCTGGGAAACTGCCTGGCGCAGGGGACATATTGGGAACACCTACCCACCTACTACATAGGAGAGAGAAAAGAGGATTATATTTATTCACTACAAATGCTTCTCCATTCCAAACAGTCATGACATGATTGGTACGCTCGCACAACCGCCGTCGTTGGCGCAGCGTTTGCTCACGTTAGGGCGCAACCAAATTCGAGTCAGCGGCGCGATATCCACTGCCGCGCGTATAAAGTGCCGAATACGAACCTGAGTGATTGCCAAGAGCAGTAGTTATCGGCTTGACTGGGAACATGCAAGTAATAGGTAACATGTGAATATATTCAAGGGGAGAGAATTGAGACTAGAGATGATATGAAGCGCATTCTGTCCGATATGGCCTTGAAGTTGACTGTGTCGATCTATCATATCATGCATTTGGTCATCTCCATGATAATGCAGTTACGGAAGAGGAAAAAAACCTCGAAAACTCCAAGGGAAGTAGACCTCCAAAGAATCATCAACCGTACGCCTAGCCATACAGGAAAACACATCTATCCCAAAACTACCTAGACATCCAATTCTCTAAAACGTCAACGCTCACACGTTCTTGCTCTGAACACAAAGCGCAATACCGCCCAAACACAAGAGCATTCCCAGCATTGTATCTACGTACTCGTCTCCCGTTAGCAAACCCCTCTTCCCTTCTTCCCATCCAAGAAAGCAGACAGACAGACACAGAAAAGTACTCACCACGACTGATAACCTTACCCTCCACCCACCACTCGCCAATAACCGTAAACAAAAAAGCCGTCGTGTTGACAATCGGCACCGTCAAACTCAACTCTGTTTTTTATGCTTCTCATTAGCATCTCCTTCATCACCCTCATATTCCCCCGCATGTATACTTGTCCCCTTTATGAACCGAACCCGGTAGAGAGAGAGAGAGAGAGAGAAAGAGAGCGTACATACCTGACCCCCCAACCAACAGAAAGAACCACAAACTTCCACTCAAATTAATCCCCAACGGCAACGCATACCTCCAGTTCTTGATCAGGTCCGTCACCGCAAACCAAACCCCCAGTGTGCTTCTCTTCACCACGCTCCTTTGCACTGATTCTCGCTCCAGAAGCGGGTGAGGTGGGGGGTTATGCGTCTTGGCGGCCCGCCGCAGGAAGGGGGTAGTGAAACCCCAGGCGAGCCCGACGAGGAGGAAGGAGAGGATGTAGTTGAGGAGGGGGGGTTGTGTTGGTGTGCCGGGGGAGGGTAGAGGGGTGTCCGATGTGTTCAGGGGGGTTAGGGTGTCCATGGTGCCGGCGTGGGAGAAAGCAGTGTGCTGGGATATCGGATAGATAACAAGGCGCTATCCAAATTTCGGTTTCGAGTCGAGCGGCAGGGGGAGGGAAGATCCGAAATGTGAAACTCCCGAAAAAAAATCGAAAACGGGCCGTGATGGTGCTCTAGGGGACCCACGCAGTTTGTGGTGGGTAAGGTGTACGGTGGCTTTTCCTGAACGGTTGGAGATGCAGGTGGATTATGTGAGATTGCACAGTGTCTGTCCTTTCGAAAGTATCTCTGCGGAAGAATCTTTCTGTTGTTCGGACTGGCGTAACGTACTTGGCAATGGTATACCCAAGAATCTGATCTCGGCCGATTCTTCAAGTAGGAGATACCCGTACCGTCTGGGACCGAAAACTTCAGAGTCCTGACCGTTTTGCTCGCTGAAAGAAGTCGAACACCAAGGAGGCCTCAGTTCTCAAGTTTCCTGAGCCACAAAAAAAAAAAAAAAAAGGTGATTTTCTTGTGCTGGTATTGGCGGCTTTACCGAGACAGACGAGGCAGTGACGGACCCGGCCGAGGGCGGAGCTGCAATAGATGGTCGTTGATAAACTCCGAATATGTACCGGAAAGCGGGGGCACCGAGCGGGGGCCGAACGTCGGCTTCCTGGCTTTCACAACGTCGGAAGGGGACGGGAGTGGAGATGTTGAGATCGCCGTACGCGGAAATTTCCGTTGTCACCACGACGCAACCTGGCGAAACTCTCGGCAGTCACTGTAATCTCTTAAGCAGAGACAACGGAAGCTAGCGAGCCGTTGGAAGCCGGTTCGGAGGAGCCAAATAGTGTAGAGAGCGAAGGCGGAGTCAACCGACGATCAGAAAGTCTCTTCACTTTCTTTTCCGAGACGAGGCCGGGTGTCTTTGCTTGATCGCCGGTATGAGCAGATCCGTAGTATGGAGGGAGCTAGGGACCAACGGGACCATGGGCAACTGTTAAGGCGGTACAAGATGTATAGACGAATTAAGTAAACAAACCCCTGATACAGGTCGTGCAGGAGGCTGATGATTAAGGCTGGGGCTGTGATATGGAGATTTGGAGATCTGGGATGAACTGGTTTGTCAACAAAGTCAGTGTGAGTCGTGACGAAACGCCACGGTGTGGGTTTTGCGGCTGATGGACACAGTGAACAGTGTGAGTGGACTTGGAAGTGTGGCTGAGGACCCTGACCATGTTACCTACAGAGTCCTTTGTTGGACAAGGTGAGCAAGGTGAACAGGCCGAAGCCACGCACGGGCCATATCACGTTAACCCCTGAGCCGTCCCCGACGACATCTGTGTCTCTGACTCCTACACAGACACTCTCTCGTCAATTGTGGTATAGGTGGCCGCCTCTCCTATAAAAGGATGCTCTACAATCTTTGTGAGGAGTTTTCGAAGTTCTGCGAGTTTCGGACTTTGCAGGAGGAAGAAGGCTTGGCGCATACCGTGAACGTGGCGTGCATAGCGTTGTAGAGTAACCGAAGGAAGTTATTCGTAAAAGTTTATCACCGAAGGCGCTCGGAGAAATGTGTCCGGATGTGAAGTATCTGGTCATAAACCTGGTAAACATCGATATCCATCACGGTTTTCCGGGTTGGGAGACGCGATCTAGGGCGTGACGGGGCACTTGAAATGAGGGTTCAGAAGTGAGAAGATGTGAGCTTGATCATAGGAAAACATCTTTAATGGCGTCTTGGTTGTAGAGTAAACAATGGCGTGTCTGGCCCTCGTCAAATGCTACAAGAAAGGAAAGCTGAATGTTGTGCTCCAAGTCTTTGTTTTCCAGGTATCATTCCCCGACAGCTTGAAAGGTTTCCAGGCGAACATTTGGACATTCCCAAAACTCCGAGTCTGTGAAAGAATTCTACAACAACGCCAATGACCAGATTCGATCAGAAAGTTATGGTGAGTGACTAATGTCTGTCCCAAGCCGTTCTGCGATAAAAGAAAAAAAAAGTATCTGCATTGCTGCAGCGCCGTGCGTCAACCACAAATCGTGAGTCTTGATGCAGGTGAGCGCAGTCCAACGTGGCAACCTCTCTAGTTTCCTATATAATAACTCTCGTCCCCCCTTCATTCCCCTCTCTCTTTCTTTCTTTTTTTTTTTTTTTTTTTTTTTTTTTTTTTTTTTTTTTTCCTCAGCCTCGCAGTTGCCTTCGTTTTTTGACACAAACTGCTCATTTCTCACATACACTTTGAACACAATGGCACCAACAAAACCGACTGCTGGCAAGCGCCGGTACGTTCCTCATGTCTTTGACATGGGATCTCTGCTTGCTGCTTTGAAATCATCCGACCTTGACGAACATCAGAGCGAGGCGAAGGGGAAGGTCAAGTCTCCCAAAGCGAAGACTCTGCGAGTGCCTGCCTCATCCCGACCTTTGGGAACAAGGGGAAGGAAGTTGCAGAAACCCTCAGAGGCCTTCGGGCTTCCTTCCGATTCGAAACCTCGCTCTGTGGCCGCTTCACGTCAACTTGAGTCGTTTTTGAAGCAGCAAAAGGGGGGACCATGGAAGAAGACGGCGGGAGTGTGCAAGGTGGCGAGCAAGAAGTCGGAGGGGAGGAAGAGGAGGGAAAGGGAGAGGAAGCAGCGGAGGAAGGCAGAGAAGGCTGCAAAGTCTGCTTCTGCCTGATCCTGCTGACAATCAAAAAATCATAGGAGATAAAAAGGGCTGAAGAATCAGTACCTTTTTTCTGCTTTTTTTTGGGCCTTTGGTCGTTTTTTTCGCGCTTTTTTCGTCGTGATCTCTGGCTATGGCCTGGGGATGCGAGGAAGAAAGCTGAGCTTTGCTCTTGTTTCTTGGTACGTTTCAGACAAAAATGACCCGAAGATACTTGATGCCAATGTTCTGTCGGTGAATGACAAGACCCAGTTGAAGATCAAGTCGGTTCATGCGCTGGGCGAAGGTTTCAGTGGGTTGGAAAGGGGGACATGAGCCTACTTGGGCGGAAGCATCGCGAACGACATCCCGACGAAGCATCACCACGACGAAGCATTGCCACAACGAAACATACACCAAGCTCATAGAACCAAGCATATCGTGCTGTTTGACCGACGTATCCTGAACACATCGCTGCTCCGAGGAAGAATGAACCGTCATCCGCCACCGAGCATCCTACCATCCACAACGCCGTGATCAAGACCAAAAAAACCGATGGTACAATCCTTGAGACGTATCTAGCCGGGCTATCGTCCTTTTCTACAGCTACAGGGATTTTTTTTTTTTTTCTCGTTTTGTACCCTGCCTTCATCACGGTCGTTACCTCCGTGGCCAGTCCCGGTGGGCTCGCAGTCCAAAAGCCGCTGACCGCCGTCGCAGGTCCGCGGATATTCTCCCCTGACGGGACTGCTTCCCACAGTAGCTATCGTTTTCCGAACTTTCACCGGAGTCCCGTCGCCGGGGCTCTCGAACGGGCTGCCCGAATTTACGAAACTTGCCCGGAGCTGCAAGTGACGTATCGTATCTTACTGCTGTAGCTGCTATAGCGCATATTGTTAGTGGTATCTTGAAAGTCAATGAGGATTGTTAGTGCCAGTGCCTTTTCGATTGGTTTGTAGTAGCATTCTCTGGCCAATAGTTGCTCCGATGTGGCAGTAAGCGGGGCCACTGCATTAACACTTCCCAAACACGGACTAACACATGAACATTCTTTCCGTTTTGGACAGAACATGAAGCTGTCCACCATGGACACTCGCATAGTTCGCCGCCTCGTCTATGTCCGACTTTCGTAAATCTCTGGCAGTCAATGGTATTTCGTACTCCGGAATCATGACTCTTGCTTCGTGATGCCAATACACACCATTGCCCGAAGAAGAGGGCCGCAATCCAGGGCATGGAGCATGTCGGCGTCTTCAGCAAACATCGAGTTGCGCGGAGCTTCATTAATCTTCTTTCTTTCTTTCTTTCTTTCTTTCTTTCTTTCTTTCTTTCTTTCTTTCTTTTCTTCTTTGGTTTTCTTTCCTGCAGTTACCAAACGTACAAGCAAAACGATTCCGAACCTGCGAACCGATTACCCTACGCGAGACACCACCAGATTGACACCTCCCGTCCGTGTCGACGCAAAATCCCGACATCATGTACGCTCGGCATTCAATCACGACGTGATCCTCAAGCTTCGAACAGTCTTCCCCTCCTCCTCAGTATCTCGAAGACATAACTTCCATCGTTACCTCTAAATACATCGAGCCTCAACGACAGTCTTCAACAGATGTCCGATCTACCCCCAACCCTTCCAGCCCACCATCTGCCACGCCACAATCGCCACCTATCTACAAGGCTAAACTACTCGATGCTCTATGGCTTGCACGACATGAAGTTGTACCGCTGCCCTACACTCTAGAAAATTTCGACTGTTGTGCTTGTCTCTTTTCGATCTGACCAAGATCGATCCCGTGAAGTTCCGTCTCCTTTACTCAAAACGCGAGAAACGACCGTACTGTACGGCGACGAAAGACACCGAACCGAACCGAACCGAAACGACCCGGGGAAGAGACACAGGCGGAAGCTGTCAAGCACTGTGCAATGTATGCCATAGAGGTTCAAGTTCCAATCGAATATCCCCCGCTGCAGGATAAGATGGATACACCCTCAGAGCGGCGAGGGTATTCGCTTGGATAATCGTTTTGCGTGGAGTTACCTTGAGGAAAAGGACAGAGCTGCGTTGGTTTTGATCATGTGGTTCTCCCTTTTTTTTTTCTTCTTGGATATCCCCTCGGTAAACGATTCCCATTGCATCCTTTGGACCATCCGCGATTCTCTCTTCATCTTCGCACTCCGTAGGTGGTATTATTACACGTACCAGATACTGAGAGCTACTAAAACCCAGCCCATCCCGCCCAATTCTCGGAACGACTACCGTGGTGCCTAAAAACCTCTCAGACCGCTTCAGAACAATACCTCATGCAGCCGCATGCAGCGACATGCATTGCATCTTGAGTGCGTCGGGCTTTACGCCCTCCGAGACCAAGAAACCTACCTCTGAACACCGAAGTCCTCTGCCATGCTGCTGGTAAAACACGCACAGGGACAAACCCCCTCCGCATCACCCACGAACCCCCTCACAGCAGTCCAACCCCCTCAGATACTGCACCTTTCCAACTTAGGTTGCCACAGCCCACAAGCCCCCCTAGGTTCCCCAAGCCACACTCCGCGGCACCAGCACCACAAGATCTCCCGTCCTGTCCCTACCTCCAAATTCCATTTCTTCCCTTTACATCAAACTTGTGCTCTTGTTCCAAACAACCACCACAACAACACAAACAAAGCTCAAGTCTTTCTTGCAATCGCACGCAAACAACATCATCAAAACCAGCTAAGTTCACCACCCACTCTCAAATCAATCCAATCATCATGTCTCCGACATCAAACAAAGAAGATACTGACTTTCTGGCGACAGTGGGCGTTCCAACTGCTGCTGCTCCTCCGCCAGGTGGATATCTAGCTAGTTTTCTTAGAATGTATCCTATCCCAACAAATAGCGAAACAAATAGCGAAACGAATAGCGATCATGTACATAGCGACAGCAGTAGCAGCAGGGGAGTGAAGAGGAAGAGGCAGGAGGAGGAGGAGGAGGAGGAGGAGGAGGCGGAGAGTCTGGAGGATTTCCTGAGCAAGGTGTGTGAGAGAGTGTGGCGGGAGGTGCAGGAGGAGGAGCAGCAGCGGCGGCAGCAGGAGGAGCTGGACAGGGAGATTGAGGAGCAGGAGAGGTATGTGGAGCAGCTGGAGAGGGAGTACGAGGAGGAGTATTTGGAGGATGAGTATGCGGAGTGGCAGGAGTGGCGGGAGCGGGTGAGGAAGGCGGCGGAGGATGAGAAGGCTGGGAAGAAGAAGAGGAGGGAGGTGAAGAAGCGGAGGGTGGGGTGTTGTAAGCATGTCGGTACTAGATTTGGTCGTTTCTTGCTTGGTTGATTTGGGTTTGGTTTTGGATTTGGATTGGGTTTGGTTGGTTCTTCGGGCCTGTAAAGTAAACCGGGTACCTTTTCCCCACTGGGGTTTTTAACGGCCCGTAGAATCCGCCAAATACAAGCGTTTGAAAGCGAAAGTTGGTTTGCTTTTGCGATGTTCGTGTACTTTGGCTAGTTGTGCCTGTTGAGAGAGGTATTCGGGACAGGTTGCTCGCTCGCTCGCTCGGCGCCTGGACGTCTTCGTGGGAGCTTCCGATGCTGGCCTGGCGATGGCGGAGCGTCTCTGCATTTTGTTGGAGGAAGGGCGGCCGGATCAAGGACGGGCGCGTCGGGCGGCCGCAGAGGAATCAAGTGTCGTGCCTCGGAACGATGGCAAGGTTAACCAAGAGGAAGCCAAACAAACGCGGGTATACGGAGACACTGCGGCTCCGGTGCCATGGCATAGCGGAGGGTTGCTGTATGGGGGATTTTGAAGTTATCAAGTATTCCAGTTCCATCCTTGGCTATGCCTCGGCGCCGGAACACCTCCGTTGCTGTGTACGTGAACACTCGACCGCGAGCTATTCCCATCAGAAAGCTCAGTTCAAAGACGACGGCACACACTGCCCTTCTGTTCGAAAGCTCTGCCTCTGATGGAATCGATTCGATAGAGAAGAGTGTAACCTTCTTGTTCTTGTCCTCCTCAGTAAAGCCAGCAACCTCGGAAGCAGTTCGGTCGAAGCCGACATGAAAGCCGCTCTCGGTGGTGGTGGTGGTGGCGGTTGCGGCGGCGGACACGTATACAGGATATAAGCTGTATAACAGTATACTACGTCCACGGGCCCGCAAGGTGTTTATCTAGACCTGGAACGAGTAATTGGCTGACCTCGCCGCATATCCGCATATGATTCCCGACTTCCCCGTTGCCCCTGTTGTCACTAGAAGCAGCGCTACTTTGCTCTTCTTCGTTTGCCAATGGCAAGGAAGAGAGGGAGGGATTTCGGCAGTGGCTTGGGTGTTGTATGTCGAAGTCTGGGAGAAGATTAGACTCGAAATGGAGGCGCCTCCGGCACCGTCGGACAACCCAGGAAGAGCCGGAAGGGTGTTGTTTTATTGGATTGATCGAGTGGTTGGGCTGCTGTTAACGGGAGCGACGGGAGCGGCTGTTCTGGTGTTTCTCTCGATGGAGACGCCGCGATGGCACGGGTGTTGAGACCTTTCGAGGCCGTTTAGGCTATGGGTGTTGGGTGCGGAGGATGGAGGTGGAAGTATGGAAAAGAGAAAGAACTGAAGGACAAGAACGGCGACTCGAGTTATCCTATGGTTCAAAGTTGTGCTTTCCGAAATATCCCCAGTTGCGGTCTAGGCCTTTTCTTTTTTGGGAAGACAGCTTGCTCTCCTGTACTCTCCTTTCCCTCCGGCGACTTGATCTTGTCGGTGGGTTGCTGACCGCTCCCCGGCCCATGGTACTGCTATGAAAGACATCTCAGTGCGGTAGGCCTGGTATTGTCAGCAATTGCTTCTCAGCAACGTTTGAACAACGTGATAAAGAAGAGAACGATATCCGACGCTGAAGCAATCCAAGCAAAGAATGATTATGGTTCGATTCCTGGCAAAAGTGGCAGCCAGATTCATTGGCTTATATGATTGTCCAAATCCTAGCATCAACATCAATGGTATTTCCACGACAAATGGAACAAAACAAAGAATTGTTAAAAACAACATTTTCCTAACCCCCAAAAACGCCCCGTACGCCAATGATTTCTGTGCTTGTTTGCAATAATAACACGCGTCTAAGAGAAGTGGATACCCTCCTCGTGGAAAGCTGTCAGGGGTGTTAGCGAGGTTGTCCAGCAGGAGGGCAAACCGGGTGAAACAAAGAAAAAACCTACCAAGCAACAACTTGAGGAAATCGTTCTGATCACACTGCCTAGCTCTCTTGTCCGCCAACCCGGTGCTCGTAAGCACCTTGTTCAGCTTGGCCTTGACTATCAGGGCCACTTTGGACTTGGGGTTCTTGCTGGGTGTCTTGGCGTCCTTAGCGTTGGCGTCGTTTTGCTCCTTGAAAAAGACGGGCATGTCCTCGTCCTCATCCTCCTCCATAGCCTCGTCGTCGTCGTTGTTCTCCTCATTATCGTTGTCTTCATTGTCGTCGTCCATCTCGACGTCCATGGCATCGTTGGTGGCCCCGGCGGCGGCAAGGTCAGCGGCGGAGGCGAGGGACTCGTCTATGGGGATGTTGTTTAGGGTGCAGTAGACTTTGTAGTTCTGGAAAGGAAGTGGTCAATAAGAGTTGGAGCTTGTGAACACATGGGAAAAGACATACCCTTTCGCACATGTTAAGGACCTCCTTCTGGTTGAAGCCGGCATAAAGGGTCTTGTTCTTGCGGTTGAAAGCAATGCGAAGGAGACCGTCGAACTCCTCGAAAGCAATGTTGGGGCGCGCCGAGCCAACAAGGGGCTCAATTCTGACGACGTCGGACTCGACCTTGGGAGGAGGCTTGAAATTCTGCTTGCCGACCTTCATGATGTGCTTGCATGTGGCCCAGAAGTTGACGTTGACACTCAATCTTGAGTAGAGAGCATCACCCGGCCGAGCCACCAGTCGCTTTGCGAATTCTCTTTGGAACATGAGTACGGCGACGCGGGGCGGGTTGGGCATGGCCAACATCTTGAAGATGAGAGGACTGGAAATCTGGTAGGGAGTGTTGGAGATGAGAGCGTCGCATGGAGGCATTTCGGGCATCTTGATGACATCGCCGAGAATGACTTCGAGCTTCTTGGCTAGCGGAGTGCCCTGGACACGCTTGGTAACTTCGGCACCCATACGAGGATCGAGTTCGATGGCGATGACCTTCTTTGCCTTTTCGAGGGCGCGGACCGTGATGTTACCGGTACCGGGACCGACTTCGACGACGACATCGGTAGGCTTGAGGAAGGCCTTGTCGACAATGGCATCCGAGATACCGGGGTTCTTGAGGATATGTTGGCCAAAGTCCTTGTCGAACTTGAAGATGTTTGTGTTGGTAGCCTTGCCGCCGCCGCCGCCCCCCTTGCGATCGTAGGGGTTGCCGCCCCCCGACTTCTTGGACGCCTTCGCTGCCTTGGGCATGGTGTAGTCTAGTCAATGCTGTTGTGGGTAGGTGTGTGGAGGAAGACGACTCGGAATCGAGGTCGGACGAGAAGGTTGGGATCGATGGGGGGTTTCGTCGTTTCGGTCAATCTCTGTCCGGGTCGAGACTCGGTTCGTTCTCAAGTCACGGCAGTCGCGCAATGGCTGTACGTATGTACTGTGAGACGGACGGAGGTACCGCAGCTCCTTGTGCCTGCGCCGAACCCCGGCCGACATCTTTTTTTGAGTGGACCAGGCGGCAGAAAAAAAGATGCCCCGCCAGACATGTGGCTGATAAGATAAGCAAAACGCTGACCGCTTTCCCCATTGAGACACCATGCGGGCGGCGGCGGCGGCCCAGCCCACTGGAAACATCAGTGGAATCCAGGCACCTCGGCCACTTCCGACCGATGATTCCCCGTCTGACGTAACAGCGGAGGCCGCCCTAAACATGTGCGGCGGGTTCAAATGGCTACCCAGCACTTAAACGGCAAATCCTCCGGTCTTTGAGTGAGGGTCTTCCCCGTCATCACCTAACTGCCGTGTGAAGCTGATCACATCGAAGCAGACAGGCAGTGGCTTTGAATTTTCATCTACCTACCTATAATACCAATCCCCTCCCAAGGTTCGAGGAAATCGAATATCAAAAAAAAAAAATAACAGATTCTTTTCCATCATCATCTTCTCCTTGGCTCATACCTGGGCGTGTGACCCACTGGTTATTCCTTGTTGTTTTGGTTCATGTGGTGATAGCCTCATTTCTCTGTTGGAGTTAACGATAATTAATCGCAACCATGTCGATACGGATCGCCCTCGAAAACCCCCCCGAGTTCTACACGAACCTGGACATTATCCGCGGCCAGGTCGTCCTCACTCTCAGTCGTCCCGAACAGATCGGAGGTATCATCGTCAAACTCGAGGGTGAAGCCAAGTCGGCCTTGGGAGTACCCGCCGATGGCTCAGGGACCGGCATCGCTCAGAGGGAGCGCACTCCAACGGGCGATGTCATCTACGAGAACCACAAGATTCTATACAAAGTCACCCAGGCCTTCCCCGACGAGAAGACCAACGCCTTGCCACAGCCCTATGTCCTAGCCGCCGGCCAACACAGATTCCCCTTCCAGTTCAAGTTTCCCTTTAACAATGCTTGCGGTGATCCTGTCGCCATGGCCAAACTAGGAGGCCTTTCCGGTGCCGGTGGAATAGCATCGGGTTCTGGCTTGTTCGGTCTCGGTGGCATTCGTGTTATGGACGGCACCAAGCAGCTGATGTACTCCCATGTCACAAAGACGCTCCCGCCCAGTTTCACCGGATTCCCAGGCCAGTGCGAGATCCGATACTATGTCAAGGTTACCATTCAGAGACCGGGCTTTTTCAAGGAGAACTGGAGGATGCAGACCGGCTTGAAATTTCTTCCCATCGAGCCTCCAAGGCCGCCCAAGACGAACCATGAAGCCTATGCCAGACGACCCTTTGCATTCCGTCCACGAAGCCCAAGAACAAACGCGTCTTCCAAGAAACGGGCTTCTTTCTTCAGCGGGTGGACTGGGAGTAGCAACGCAGGGTCAACTTCAGCCCCAACAACAACGGCTGATGGGAAGCTTGCAACAGAGCCCGAAGTCCCTCCGTCGATAGAGATGTCCGCTCGACTTCCTCACCCTGCCATCATCACTTGCAACCAACCGATTCCACTTCGTCTCATTGCAAAGAAGCTTGCGGGATCGGACGCAGAGATCTTCCTAACAGCCATCCAGATCGACCTGATTGGCCAGACCGAGGTCAGATGTCACGACCTGATCAACACAGAGACTAGTCGCTGGGTGATTGTATCACGACAGGGACTCAGCATTCCCGTTTCGAGACTAGGAGACCCTGCAGGGACAGAAGTTGTCCTGCCCAACGACATCTGGTGCAACCAACCTTTACCAAACACCGTCATGCCGAGCTTTGTCACATGTAACCTCAGGTAATTTCTCCTTTCCTTCCGAGCATCCCTCCAGAACTCTACTGACTCCAACCTTCTTCACAAAGCCGTGAATACCAACTCGAAGTCAAACTCGGTCTCTCCTGGGGCAAACCCGTCGCCTCTATCTCCCACGCCACCACCGCCTCTTCCATTTTCGGCCGCAACAAGAACGAAGGCACCGATCTCGCCCAAGAAATCCACCTCCCACTGCACTTTTCTTCCGTAGAAGTCTACTCCGGCATCGCCCCGCCCGCCGCCCTCATCGAGGCCATGAAGCAAGGCAAGAACAAACGTACTCAGTCTCAGCGTCCACCATCGCAATCAGCGCGTCCTACCACCTCCTCCTCCTCTGCCGAAACCGGTCCTTCAACAGCGCCACAGCAACAGCCGCCAGCTCTACCCCCACGAACCAACACCGCTCAGCCACCCACTGCTGCAGGGACGGTTGCGGGAGTGGTGGTACCGCCACCCGCAGACCCCTTGTACCCACCGCAACTGGCGCCAGGAGAGATGGAGCCGCCGTATGACGACGCGCCGCCGAGCTACGACGAGGCAATGGCGGAGATTATGAGTGGGCCAGTGATTCCCGATGGGGTGCCCAGGCCGGCGTACAGTGGGGTGACGAATGAGAATGAGCCGAGTACGTTGCCTGCTGGTGGGAATGAGAAGAGTTAGTGAGGGAATGGGGTAGATGATCAGGTGTGATTTTACTGGAAGTGAGGGAGAGATATGACAGGGGGTGAGAGGGGATGGATGCGAGAGGATGAGGGCTAGAGAGAGGGTGGTCAGGAAGAAAGGTTGACGGGAAGGGAAAGAGGCGGGTGAAAATGGGAGGGGTTTTTTTCTATTTGATGGCATGATATCCAACTTTTTGTAATGGGCTTAGAGCGGTGAACATACGCAACGCGACTGATTCTGAGAGTGTAAATTTAGAGATATGGCACGTAATAAGATCTTGTAGCATATCACTCCAGGATTTGTTGCCCCATCGATGTCAGATGAAGTTCGTCCTAGCGCGCATACATATTTCGTGAACTTTGTCAAAAGCAATGAACAAGTGCAAGATACACATCGAGATAGTGAAAATGAATATCTGGTAATTTAATGACAACTTTCCTAAGGCTCTTTAACAATGCAAACAATGGTCAACAATGTCGTATTGTTCGACCGGAAATGCTGTTAGTATGTGCGGCCATTATTTGGCAGCATTGTACAGCAGGTATATAGGCATACCATCAAGCGCCAGCTTCCAACCAACTACGACAGCTGATCTAACAGTTGTACATCTTCCGTAGTATAGTGGTCAGTATGTGAGCTTGTCAAGCTTGAACATCACAGTTCGATTCGCTCGAGACCCGGGTTCAATTCCCGGCGGGAGAGACCATCTTTTTTTTGAAATTTCTTTTTGTCGTTTGTTTTCACATCCCCACCTACCAAAATTGTCTTTTCTTGTCTTGTCTTGTCGTGTCTTGCTTCCCAGGCTATGCACATCTATCGGGTTGTTTTCTTTACATTGCTTGTTAAAGTTGTGAATTGGTTTGGGTTACCTTCGGTTACAGAGAAAATTATGCATCGGTGTAGAGGAACGCTCTCAATTCTTTGGGAGAAAAGCAAAAAAAAAAAAACAATATCATCAATGTCAATCACCTACCGCTAGTGACTATCAAGAGAACCGTCAAGAGAACTGTTAGAAGAAAACTGTCCATAATGCATCTTTACCTGTCCCTACACTGTAGACTGCTTGCTGTACACATTTTAAATTTCCCCGCCTCTCCTCCTCCTCTCTTCTTTTCTCTGATGTTGTTTCATGCGACATCCCCCCCCTCCTTATGCCTCATCTCACTCTCGTCCTCCCCTTCCTCTCCTAAACATAGGTAAAAGGGACTTGATGTTATCCATCAGGCAGGTAGGTAGGCAGGCAGCCATATTGTCTAGGTGGACCCAAACCTTATCACCAGTCACTACCTAAGTAGCTATCTTCTTCACCTCTGAACAGTCCAGCGTCCAGTAGCCACTTTCATACATGTATTGTCTAATCAAAGAGTAGGCCTATGTTCATGTCCATGTCCTGACCTGCTCTGACCTATCCTGCGCTACTTGTCCTGCCCTGATCCATCCTGCCCTGATCCATCCTGCTCTCTCTGACCTACCTAGACACCCTACTTACTACATCTACAAATTCTCACACACACTCTCTCCCCTGTGTCCCCTCTCCGCATTTCCCCTTCCCCTTCCCCTTCCCCTTTCTATACCCTTTCCATCCCCATCCCCTACCTAATCACCACCACCACCATCCTTTGGCGGCACAACCCCAATCAACTTGCCCCAGAAGGCATTATACGCCTCTGTATTATTTCCATTATTCTCATTATTTTTATCATCATTATTCTTATCATCATCATTCTCCTTGCTTTTGTCGTCGTCGTCGGGTGCAACCCCAATCAACTTCCCCCAAAAGGCATTATACGCTTCTGTATTGTTATTGCTATTATTATTCTCCTTGCTTTTTTTGTCGTTGTCGGGTGTCGTCTTGCCGAGTGGAAGAAGTCTTTTGGACTGAGGTTTGGTCATGTCCGTTTTTGTCTCCAAAGCAGCAGCAGCGGGAGCGGGAGCGGAAGTGGAAGTGGAAGTAGTTTCCATTGGCTGGGTAGAAGCACGAGGGAAGGGGTGGTCCGGTTTGGAATCCTCTGCGTTGAGGGGTTGCGTGATGGGTTTGGTGGTTGTGGTGGCGGTGGGGTCCATTTGGATTGATGTTGCTGAGGGAGCTCCTCTGAGATGGTGGGGATTTGTATTTGTTTGTTGTTGGACGGTGGACGATGGGCAGTGGGCAGTGATGCCAGCGCCGGTGATATGGTGATGTTTGAGTCTTGGTGGTTTGAGACTGAGTTCGAGGAGGAGTGGTTCTGGTCCTGGGACTGGGAACTAGGAGGTACAGTTGGAAGGGAGGAAGGAGGGGTGAAAGAGCAGATGAAGAAGGATGGAAGGATGGAAGGATGGGCACTGGATATTCTTCCGAGTGAGCGCCCTGGGTTTGGCGTGGTATGATGGCCCGGGTTCGAAATATATCTTGGGGATATCTCGACGGGCAGGATTGACCTAGGCTGGCTGAGGGGAGAAGAAGTATGCAGAGACTGCGTATTTCAGCAAGCAAACGAGGATGACTGAATCGTGAGTATTGTTCGCCTTGATCACTACCAGCTACTCGTTGCTCGGAGTACGAGGGAATGAGAGCAAGGTGCTGGTGCAGAAAGCCATAAAAGGAGCGGAGGACCCGAGATAGATAAAAGGTTAAAAGCCTATTTATCGTACAATCATGGAAGGTCAGAGAGAACTCAACCAAAAAGAAAGAGTACCTACCTAGATGAGGAACTCTCGCACACATCCCGCGCACCAAATCCCCCAATTTCCACATGTCCAATATTCCCATAACATTCCTACGACATTCCTACCCATGTACACTTACACAACTGAATCCCACCACCATCCCGTGTCGTCCGTCCGTCCGTCCGTCCGTCTACCCCTTTTACCTTGCCCACAAAGCCACAAAGCCACAAAGCTCCTTTTAATCCTTGTAAAAAAAATCCCAGTCCGTATCCAAGCAAGTCAGCCCTGCCTGCCTGCCTGAATGATCCCCCCTCCCCCCTCCCGCTCCCGCTTCCTATGCTTCCCATGATCCATCCATCCCTCCCTCCCTCCCGCCCGCTTTCCATGTGCTATCCACGTGGCAACGCCATCCCCCCCTCCCCCCCTGGTTATGGCGTATCCCGGCACGTCCAGTCCAGGTCCTGCCGCTCTTCAATATTTACGCAGTATATATATGTGTCAAGGGAATGTGGAAGAAGCAAACATACATGACTTTGGGTAACACAAAAAGAGAAGAACCCTCGTCTCCAGCCTTCTTTGGGAGGGAGGGAGGGAGGGAGGAGGTATTTCTGTTCTTACTGTTTGCTCTCTGTTCTGAAGCCTGTACGGTTTTATTTGTAACTTTCTGTATTATCAGGCGTGTACCTGTTGTTGAGATATGGGTGGGTGTATGGATGGATATATGATGTATGCCCCGTTTACTCGTACCAGTATATAGAGCTAGTCGGCGCCGTTCGGCTTCGTAGGTCTGGTGAGCAAGTATGATAGGTATCGACTGAGCTTGTTGGGGAATATGCTTGCTTGCTGCCCGGTGTGGTTTTTGAAAAATCTCAGTTAGTGACTCGGTGGCTCAGTGACTTGGAGGTGAAGTGAGAAGTTATCACACAGCATCCATCATATCATTCAAAACACCCATTGGAGTCGAGGGGGAAAAGAAAAAAAAAGAAAGAAACTCGGTATAGAGCTAGATTGGAAGTGGCTCAATTCAATTCAATTCAGTTGCCTGTATTACGTCCTTGGCTCCATTTGTCTCTTTCGATAGTTCTCCGCAAGTGAGCTTTTACCTACCTACTCAATTGCCTGGGAAGGCGTATCCTCCTTACCCCCCCCCCCCCCCCCCCCCCGGCCCCGGCTTCCCACACATCGATGAATTCCCAATTTGTTTCGCCAGGTATTACCGTACCTCCAGTCTACTCTTCAGTCCGCCAAAGTAAGAAGAGATGAGATGATATCTGCCCATCTCACGGTTACTCCTTCCGCAGGTACATATTCTCATTCCTCTTTTTGTCTTGAACACCTGTACGGGTAATCCTCCTTCTTTTTTTTTTGTCCTTTCCGTGTGTGTCCCATTCCATTGGTTTCCCCCCCTCTCCGTCTTATCCCTAGTATTTTGTTCTCCACTTCTTGATTCCCGTCAAGTTCCTCCTCTTTATCTTTGTGTAGTTTCCTCGTTCATTCCCCTTCTAGGTAGTAATTTCCCTTACCTGCCGTCCCCAGCAGGCAAGCAAACCGGTCCCCGAATATAATCGAAAAAAAAACAAAAGACAGCGGAAAAAGGCCCCTGTGGTTGGTTTGGTCATCACTTTCCCAAGTTTACTCCGCTAGCAAATAGACAATTCATAACATCACCATCATCACCATCATCACCATCATCATCACCAACGCACAAAAACACGCTGAGAAACAAGATAAAAGAAATAACATACATACATACATACAGCCCGTATCACAGATGATGCCCCGATGCTATGCAGTTTGAACGACGCTCGGAGAGAAATATACAGGGAGGAAGTGATCATGACCTCAGGAGTTAAAAGAGGAAGGGTAAGGGTGCCTGCTTGCTTGCTTGCTTGCTTGCTTGCTTGCTTGCCTGCCTGTGCCTGCTTGCCTCAATAAAAATATTCCGACAAAGGAAAATGTGTAGCAACCTGCGTCGAGCAGCGGTGTAGTGTAAGTGTAGTGTATAGTGGGTATTGATTTTTGTTTATCAAAAAAACCAGTAAAAAAATATTCGTAAAGGAGTTCGTCTCGTGTCATGGTATTGTTCCTGTGTGCAGGGATGGGGACTTTGTTCTCTACCATGTTATCCCTCTCTTTCAGAAACTCATTGTTCAGAAACTCATTGGAAGGAAATAGAAACGTCATTGTCGTGGTCGTTATCATCACCTCCTGTTCTCCCACCGCTGCCTCCGCCGACATCCTCTATCGGCTTCGCCTCCTCCGGCGGCTTCCTTAAATCCCGATCATTGGCCGCATTCGCCTTGACCGTGGTCTTGCCCGAAATTGCAGCCGTTCTGACCCTCTGGCTCAGCGGCAGGGTATATTTTAGCACACCCTTGATGATGAGTTGGAAGTCATCTGCTATGATGCGCTCCCATCTCTCGGTTCCGCCCACTGTTACGTTGCCGGGGTTCTTGAGACGGACTTCACCCATGGACGTGGACAGGCCCTGGTGGAAGAAGGAGCCCTCAAAGGTAAGAGCGCTGTTGAAACCCGTGATGGTGCCGAGGCGCATATTGGGAGATGATTCCTCAGGCGGTTGGTCGTTCGGCGGGTCGTCTAGGATCTTGGCTAAATCTCCTGATCTGCTTATTCGTACCTCTTCCTTGTGGCTCTCCAGAGGCGGCATGTCACCAGGGTGAGTGCGATACCATTCCGAGTCGGTACCAGCATGCGGTGACTTGGCAAAGACCTCGATATCCGCCGCATCCACCACCACAACTACCACGTTGGGGTTCTTGGCCCTAATCGTCAGGTCGAGCATCAACTCCTGCTCGCTCGCGACCACATGATCCATCGATATCAGCTCGATATCGGTAAGCGGTTGTGACGTCGCAAACATGAACCCAATGGCTCCCGAAACGACAAGTAATAGCATCACTGTCAAGACCAGGCAACTGGCGAACCGATTCAAGAAGGACGGCGGTTGTCGATATGTACCCGATTCCATGGACCGTAGCGAGTGCAAGCCGTTCCTCCGACTTCGTGCTGATCTTGATGACCGTACTGTCCCAGACTGTATCAACGGCGTGGTTTCGTCATCGGCGCCAGTAGCATTGTCGTCGAGATCGTAACCAACCGATAGATGCGTTCCCCGACTGCTCTTAGCATGGGGGCCGCTCCGGCTCAAGTATCGAGGGCTATTAACACCTGATGACGGTCGTGAGTTGTTGTTTCCCGAGTTAGCTCCGCTGAAGGGTGATTGTTCGGCGAATAGCGACGCATGCCCGTTTCCTCCCCCATTACGGCCCCATCGGCCATAGTGATGATGTCGCCCAGATGTCCCCCTGGCTGACCCTGCTGTGCTCCTCCCGGTTGTGCTCTTGCCGTCGTCTTCGGCGCCAACGCTTTCATTAATGCTGGGGTTGTAAGAGTTCACAAACTTCATGCTTCGCTTTACCCCGATAGGCTGTTCAACGTTCATCATGGCAGAATGAATGGAGCGCATATCGGCACGGTTCATCTGGCTGACCATGGATGCCGCGCTCGGTGTCCTAGAGTGATAACGGGGTGGTCTGGGATGGTCGGGAGGGTTGGAGTCGTAGACGAATGTTTCGTCCGAATCTGACGAGTTAGTTTCCTCAATTGCGCTTGCTACCTTTGCCTCGAAGATGTCGGCCTTGGAGGATGCTGGACGATGTCTAGTCAGTAAGTTGCTCACTTGGTGAATTACAAAACTCTGGCTCCGTGGTTCGGGAGACCGAGAAGGAAATATGTGCCTGCTGGCGGCTTCATCAGGCGGCGGAGGACCATGGTAATACTTCGTTGGCGAAGTACACATCTCGGTAGCCGAGGAAACTGATCTCGTAGCTTGATGATGCCGAAGCCGTGGCTGCAAAATGAACAGAGTTGTCTCACCAGTGCCAGCTGTCATGTTGGGCTGCTTCCGTGCCGTCCTCTTCTTTTCTTTCTTGGGGGGCCGGATCGTCTCCGTGCTGGGTTTTGTGCGCAGACTGAGACTTGAAGGCTGCACTCCTCCTCCTGGCGCGAGGGCGACCTGGGGAATCGAGGTGACCGTTTCGGCTTCTACCGTCATGCTCTGTTGAGAAGCCTCGCCGGGCTTGCCCTTGGCAGGGGGTCGGACTGACAAGCTCGACTGCCTTGACGTCAGGGGCGGCGCACTGGTCGATCCGCTTCGGCGGACCGCCTCGATGGGGGTCGCATCTTCGGCTCCGCTTTCCGTCATGATTGAATTCGACCTTCCCGCTAGCTCTTTTTGGCGAAAGAAATCACCGGCTTCTGAGGGCACGGTCGCTTCGGACATGAGCCTGTGTCCCAGTCTTTCCTCCATTGACTGGTCAAAGACTCGCGGAGAACCAAAAGGACTGACTTCTTGGACAGTCTCAAGGACGGAGGTGCTCCCTCCCGCAGCACGAGCGGGAGTTCTGGCCCCGGGCTGGGTTGGAGTGAGGTCGTCCGCGTCTGTGTCCGACTGAGATTCCGAGGCGTAAAAGGACGATGTCTGTCGTGGAAGGGCGGTGGAAGGAGAGATGTCTGGAGTCTGATCCTGTCGTCTGGGCGGACCGAGGATGGGCGGCTTGGTGACGATGGGTGGAGGAGACCGCAGTCTGGAGGACACGGGCCACTTCAAAGGATCCTGGCCACCAGTCGGATGGGGATGAGCAGCAGACGAGTTGGCAGTTGGCGATTTGGACGGGGGTGCGGGCGCATTGACGTTCCGATCCGTCGCAGCGGGGAGGAAGGTGGGCGTCGTGGCCGACGACAGCGTTCTTGAGCCGGCCGTCGACAAGGATACGCTGCCTGGTTTCGTGGATCTCGAGGGATCCTGGAAGCTGTTCTTGCGCGATCGAGGTGCAGCACCGCCAGCAGCAGGACCGCGTGAGGGCGCTCGTGACGATGCAGCGGTGGGATTACGGGTGGTGGGGGCTCGGTTGGCAGGTCTCGTGGGAGAGGATTCGCGCGAGGCAAAGGGCGAGGGAGCTACGGACGAAGCACGGGAGACGGAGGAGGAGGATGGTGCTGCTGCTGCAGACGTGGCCGAGGTGGTCTGCGAAGTCAGCTTGTTGGAAGAAGGCCATGGATCGGACCTGGGATTGACGGTCGCCGCGGAGCTGGAAGTGGATTCGCGGGCCAGCGTGGGGAGTGGATTCGACGGTGTCTGTGCCTGCGCATGCGCCTGCTGGCCGGCGTGGGTCACGGTCCTTTGGGGATTAGTAGTCGGGATCTGGGAGCGCTTGGGAGGAGAGGGCGAAGAGGCCGACGCCGTTATATTTGGTGATTTGTCCATGTTTGCACTGACGGCGGGCAGCCGGCTGCTGCTGCTGCTGCTGCGAGGCAGAGGGAGACCGACGACGGAAGGGATGGGGACTGTTTTGGATCACACATGCCAAGCAAGCCAGGAACAGAGGCGGTCCGTTGTTTGATGAGTGTTCCGAGATGTGTGTGATATTGCTTAGCTACAATTGCTAGGGAGAAGGACGAGGCGTCATGTCCGGGTCAACAGAGGTGTGATTGAGTCGTGGTATCGATTTTGGGATTACCAGATGGCGGTGGTGGTGGTTGTGTGTGGTGTTGTTGTCGTTGTTGTCGTTGGGCAGGGCGGGAGAGAAGCAGCGAGGACAGTCCCGTCGCTCGGTTATCGATGATGCTGGGGGGGGAGTTAGCTGCTAGGGAGCTAGCGATGGTGCGTTGGATGGACCACCAGTAGGTGGAGGAACCGGGACCTCTGAACGGCCTTCCGCTTGTTGATGTAACCAAACGATCCAGGCAATGATGGGCGGCGCATGCACAAAGAACAAAAGAGTTTAAGCTCGGCGCAGATGAGAGAGAACCCAACAAGGTTTTTATTGATGTTATCGCTGACTGTTTTTTTCCCCTAGAGGTGTTGTTGTTATTGCTCAATTGGCATATGACAAGCGCACAGTCTGGATCCTGAACTCAACATGGGATGACTGACACTGGCAAGCAAAGGACTGGAAAGAGACAACTGCAGTGAACTTGAACAAGGTGACGCTCGGGAGACGGAGAAACTCGAGACGGGACTTGGTTGGAAAGAGCAGGTACACTACTGTATGTAGTAGGTATATGATGGCAAGAGCAGCTACCAGCAACCAGAGGACAGACACTCCGTCCGTCTCGCTGCGCAGGACTTCAGTTCGTCCACTTCAAACAAAGGTTACGATCGGCTAACTATTCCCGTCACTTACTCACTACCTTCCTACTGGCACTGTCCATCTACCTAGCCATTCCATTTCCCAGTCCATATCCGATTCACACAACTCAACTTAGTCTCGTCACCATCACGAATGAATTGTTGGGCTACCAGGCCGTGACCAGACAACTAATAACCAACACCCGTGACGGTGGCCCAGACCACAAAGCACTACACCACATACTACCTACGTCCCCAATTACCTAATAAATGTAGAGACCGCCACAATGTGTTGATAGCGACTGCATTGCCATGAGTTGTTTGCGGCCTTACCTTATGCGACAAATGAAACAAGCCAATCAGGGACGGCAAAGCACATCCTGCAAACGTCTTGTCCACGCACGCAACGCACCTCTGTTAGGCATTGCTAGGCAGCTCTTGGTTAGCGCTATCTAATGGTACAACCAACAGTAGGGCCGCTACCCTCTTCCAACCTGTTTGGTCGTGCGTCGTGGTGCATCATCCCCCTGCCCTGTTGGTCCATTCATTGTCAGTGAAAAAAATCTCTTTGATTCACATATCATTTTCAAGAGCGAATTCTTGGATGACTGATTTTGCCGAGTTTTTCACTCTTGTGAGTGTACTTGTAAGCTAAGGTAACTACTGCCAACGAGCATTGTGCTGCTTCTTTCACTTGACATGTGCACATGCACAAGAGTTATGCGGGGACCACTCCAGAATACATGCGCATAAGTAGATACTTATCCTTCCTGATTAATGGGACAGTGAAAGAGCAACAAATGTGTCATGTTCATGGCGACACAAAATATCAAACACATGAACGAGAATAGAATATGCGAGAAGCAAGCTAGGGGCGGGAATACCGCCAGCTCTTCCTTGTCTGGTCTTCGGACTAGTGCATGAAAAAAAAGGGAAAACTCAAAAAGATCTTTTGCGGCGTGTGCATGTTCAGGTCCCGCCGCCGCCGGAACGGATGGCAACTCCCGTCTGACGATGCCTCTGTCGTCTTTTTTTTTTTTTTTTTTTTTTTTTTTTTTTTTTTTTTTTTTTTTTTTTTTTTTTTTTTTCCTTTCCCTCTCAAGAGGTTGCCTTCGTTGCCACTTTCACTTTGGTGCCTGACTGGAGCTGATCTAATTCTCCGGATAAGCACAGCCAGATCGGATACCCATTTCCATCTACACAGTAAAGGTTACCTTCCAGAGTTGGCAAACCTTCCAGCCCATCTGGATTTCGATTTCCTTGATCTACCGCCATCACAAAAACCAGAAATATCGCAAATGCCTCCTTCCATCATAAATCGGAAACCGGTAACACCCGAGTGAAAAAAAAAAAAAAAAAAAAAAAAAAAAAAAGAGTGAAAAAAAAAATCTTTTCCAGATGGACCGAGTTTCCATTTCCACTCCTCCTTCGTTCTTTCCCAGCACTAGACTAACCAGGGCCTAGCAATGGAGCCAACTTAACCGTCCATTATCCGTCATCTAATGTATGTCAGATGTGCGTGCAGGACACGGTACATCCGGAGCGCGAGTGGGTACCGCGGGAGCCGGATAATTTTGTTGGATTCGCTGCTAGAAAGTGATGGCAGGAGCGGCGTGTCAGGTACCCACCAGCCTGCCACAGGTGACTGTACATAGGTAGCGATCCCCACCCACCTCATAAACAGGTGTCGATTATTACGCTTAGAACCCACTCACACCTGTAGGGACAGACACCCTTACTAGTCAGCTTTTCTTTCCTTGTCCTTGTGGCGGACTGTAGCTCGTACTATATATATATAACTCGAAATAGTTAAGGTTTACGCGTTCATTCTTTCCTCTTCTTAGTAGTATCTTGGACGCGAAGTTCGTGTTCGTGTTGTGAAAAAAAATTGGGGTAGGTAAGATAAGATGTAGATAAGGATATTGATAAGATAAGAGTGGTGATGAATGATAAGGATAAGATTTTGAGAAGATAAGAGGTGGAGTAGGTAAGATAAAATGTAGATAAGGATATTGATAAGATAAGAGTGGTGATGAATAATAAGGATAAGATTTTGAGAAGATAAGAGGTGGAGAGAGGTTGGTGAAGATGGTGAAAGAAGGGAGGTATATAGATAAGATAAGTGATAAAACTTTTCAATAGCTGTAGTATAGTAGTTAATATGCTGGCTATTTGGTGTTGAGGTTATGGGTTCGATTTACGTTATGGCTTTTTTTTTTATTCTTTTTTTTAAAATGTATTTAGATTTTTATTATTTTAGAGTTATATATAAGTATATTACAATTATATTCCTTTTTCGTATACTTTATTTTTTACTAAATTATATAAAATATTAAAAAAAAAGCTATATAAGTTTGTAATGTAAATTCTTTTAATAATAATAAACAATAGTTTAAAAAGTTTTAATAAATAAACTTTCTTCCTTATTTTTATATACTTCCAATCTATATTACTTACTTTTATATAAAAGTACTTAAAGAAGTTTATAATATTTTATATATTTATATAGCTATAGAAAAGCTCGCTAACTTGGCCGAGAGAAAGTGCCTTACCTACCCTATATTCAAATTAATTATTATACTACTTATATATATAAAGAAAGCTGGCCAACTTGGCCGAGAGAAAGTGCCTTACCTACCCTGCATTCAAATTAACTACTATACTACTTATATATATAAAGAAAGCTAGCCAACTTGGCCGGGAGAAAGTGCCTTACCTACCCTACATTCCCTACCCTATATTTAAATGAACTACTATACTACTTATATATATAAGAAAAGCTGGCCAACTTGGCCGAGAGAAAGTGCCTTACCTACCCTGCATTCCCTACCCTACATTTAAATGAACTACTATACTACTTATATATATAAAAAAAGCTAGCCAATTTAGCCGAAAGAAAGTGCCTTACCTACCCTATATTCAAATTAACTACTATACTACTTATATATATAAGAAAAGCTAGCCAACTTGGCCAAGAGAAAGTGCCTTACCTACCTTATATTCGAAATTAATATTTTATTTATTAGTAAAAATAGCTAATATAGCTAAAGAAATAGTCTTTTACTTACCCGGTACTTATTTCAAAAAGGTTCTATAGTAGAGTTAAGTTTAGTAGCTGTAAATTGATTTTTAAAATTTCCTATACTAAATAATTTCGCGGGAATTAAAAAGTCGCGACTTAGCTCGTTTACCCGTACCTTCCCTAAATCCGAGGTCGCAGGGTATATAAGAGAAAGCAAGAGCGACCGGTTAAAGTAAGAGCGATTAGCTAAAGTAAGAGCGATTAGTTAAGGTAGGCGCGACTGTGTATAGGGTTGCTTAGTAGGATTCTTATAGAGGGTTATACGCTTATGGCCGTTTGCGACCGTATATAGGGGGGTTCTTATAGAGGATTATGTGCCTGTAGCCGGGTTTGCGACTGTGTATAGGGTCGCTTAGTGGGATTCTTACAGAGGGTTATACGCCTGTAGCCGTCTGCGACTGTATATGGGGGGGTTTTTACAGAGGGTTATATACTTGTAGCCGGGTTTGCGACTATATATAGGGTCGCTTAGTGGGATTCTTATAGAGGGTTATACGCCTGTAGCCGTCTACGACTATATATAAGGGGGTTCTTATAGAGGGTTATATACCTATAGCCGGGTTTGCGACCGTGTATAGGGTCGTTTAGTAGGATTCTTACAAAGGGTTATACGCTTGTAGCCGTCTGTGACCGTATATGGGGGGGTTCTTATAGAGGGTTATGTGCTTGTAGTTAAGTATATAGTTGTATATAGAGTTAAAGTACTATTACGAAAGAGCTGTTTGGATTTTCCTAGATATTCTTTTATAGAATTTAAGTTGAATTTAAATAATATTAAGCTTATATACTAATAAATTCAAATTAATTCCACATTCTACTAGGGGGCTACTAAGGCTTTTGAGCCTAGGCACCCCTAAGTAGAATATTATCCTCGGTTTTAAATTTTGGGTGTAGCAATATATAGATTATTAAGACTTTAATTAGTACCCTATAATATACTAGGCGTAGGAGGAACGTTTATTTTAATATAAAAATTAATTTATACTATTGAATAATAATAATACTACGACTTCCTTTATTATTTTTAAATAATAGAGCGTCCCTATTAGATATCCCGATCTAATAATAGTAGGTTAGTTTATATAAGAGTATTATAATTTAATTTATTAATTAACCTGCGTAGGAATTTTTGGGGTTAACTTATTCAATACTATTTTTAATTGTAATTTAGGGATATTTAGGGGTATAAGTATTTAATAAATAGAAGTGAAAATTTAATTTATTAGAAACTAACTATTGTAAAAGTATTTACTAAGGATATTTTTATTAATTAAAAGTAGTAAACTATTATAAAAACATTTACTTAAGATATATTTATTAATAATTGGAACGATGGGAAATAGTCCAATGGGGAATATAAAGAGTATCCTACAAAGGAAATTTAATCTCATTTTTTAAAGTAATTTAGCGCGTAGTTACCCTACGGTCTACCGGGGTATTAACACTTTATACACTCAAACCCCCTTAACTTTAATTAAATTCTATTTAATTAATAATTTAAAAAGAATCGTTTTATACTAGGGAGTACCCTATAAGTATTAATAGTTAGCCTATCGACTTAGAATATAATTAACAACTATATTAGACCGTTATTAGAGACTATCGTAGTTAGCCTATCAACTTAGAATATAGTTAATAATTATATTAGACCGCTATTAGAGACCGTCGTAATTGGCCTATTGACTTAGAATATAGTTAATAACTATATTAGACCGCTATTGGATTTTTTAGGTAGGATAAAAACCGCTATTAAATAAAATAAATAGTTATTTTAGAGCTTACAATTCCAGTCTTATTAACGAATAGACTAGAATTGTAAAATCTAATTTAATTAGGGATTAACTTTTTAAAACCTAAATCTATCAACGGGTAGTAAAGGGTTTAAAAAAGTTAATCCCTTAATTTAACCTATTTCTACCTTATTACTTTAGGGGTACTTATATCCCTAGAATAAATTTCTAACTATTATTTTTATATATTTTACGCTACTGGGTTTTTATCCTGTTAGGGGTTCTCTCTAGTAGGGTTTTTTTCTAGATGTAAGTAGTTTTTTAATAAAAAGTGTATCCTAATTACTACGTTAGTACATTAAGAAATTTCGAACCTAGAAGGAGTAAAAAGGTAGTTCCCCTACGCTATTAAAATGATAGTTTGCGAGTTATTACTTGACGGCGCGGGGGGTTACTAACACCCCTATAAAAAATTAAATATTTATATTTATATAAGTTATTTTATCTTTACTTTATTATTATTTCTTTATAATTATACTTTTTACTTAAATTTTTTTTACTATTATATTTTTTTACTATAATTACTTCTTTTTATTATCGCTTCTTTATTATTATTTATTTCTATTTATAATTCTTTATTATTTCTTTATTATTATTTTCTTAATACTCTTTTATATTAAAATTTTTTTCAAATTGTATTTTCTTTTCTTTATTATTATTATTCTTACTTTCTCTTATTCAAAAGATTTTAATACTAACGTTTAATATCTATAAGTAACAAAAACACTATATGAAATTTTATTTTAAGTTGGGTAGGCGGGACTAGAAGTTTGGAGCTGGGGTTGGCCGGGTAGTAAGTAATGGAGCTACAGCCGGCCGGGTAGTAGGTCGCCGGTTTAAATCCGGTACGGGTCTTTCTTTTCTATGTTTTTTCTATTACTATCTTCTAATAATAGTTTTATACCTCCTAGAAACAGTTTAATATCTTCTAGAAACGGTAAAGAAGACGAGATTAAGAAACTTAAAAAAAAACTTAGTAAATTCAAAAATTAAGAAGCGAAAATATTGTAGCGGATTATAGGGAAGCTGTAAATAGCGTAATAATAACCCTATTAATAGCGATAATAATAGCGACGAATATAGTTCGAATTCCGAAGTGTCCGATTTAAGCAATAAAGAAAACTCTAACCCTAAAGCCGGCGAAGAGAAAAAACTATTAATAGTACTAACTATCGACGGAAAGGTATATTTTCTAGTACTTCGGGTCCTCGAGACTTTAATATAAAGTTTATTAAACCTATTTATACGCCATTAAATACTACTTAGGAACGAACCTTCCAGCGCCGTCTTCCTACAATAACATTCTAATAAACTTTACTAAATCTATTAAATTATTATTCGAAACCTTCTATAAAGAGGCAATAATTCGAATTTAATAATACGCAAACAATTACCACAAGATCAATATATTATATTAGTAATTCTAAACCTATTGCTAGAAGGTCTCTAAACTATTCAATATACTAAATACTATCGTTTAAAAATAATAAAGTACTAATAATAATGTAATTAACTTAACCGAAGCCTAAATTCGAATCTTATTAGAGTTTAACCCCCCTAAATTCCAATAATAACTAAGGGAGAATTCAACTAGAAATACGCCGAACCTATTAGTACGAATTTATATACTAATAGTATTAATGTATAAAAAAAGCTTGTTAAAGAATGTTTATAAATTTTTAAAGCTATTATTGTACTAAAAGTGAATAGGAAAGATATCCAAGTCCTAATTAACGAACTTCTATAAAAAAGGGAGTTCATCCTTACTATCTAAATAATTAAAGTCCAGCGAAATACTTACCGAAAATACTTAGAGACTATATAGCGGAATAAGGGAAATAATCTTTATTGTACCGTCTACGTTTAGGTTCGGCGTATTTTTAGTTGAACTCTCCCATACTACTTATATTATATAGAACTTTTACGGACTAAAAAATTCTAGTTCATAATAGAGTAATACTGAGAATTAAATAAGTAAATAATTTAAATTTTAATTTAGTTAAATTTAGAAAATTTTAAACGGATTACTTCGCCTATAGTTAAAACCCTCCCTTATTAATTTAAAGTACTAAATATTAATTTCCTCTATACGTATTAAACTAGCGTTATATAATTGAATAACTTATTATTAAAATTCGTAGAAGTAATTTAGTTCTACCTCTATAATTTTACGAACTACTTGCTTAGTATTTCGTATAAATTATAGTTCCTCGGGAATAACTAGTATCCTTTACCTCTCCCTTATTTCGTATATTTCGAAGCTAGCCAGCTGCTACTTATTTAACTACCGTATTAACCGGCCTATTAATAAAGTTCGACTATTATTAAAAAAATAGTAATATTAAAAATATTTATAAAGTAGCTACTACTAATAGTAAAACCTATACTTATATTCGGCTTCCTCCTAATTGTATATTCGTATACTATTTAGTAATTAGATAATAATAACCTTAAATAAATTAGAAAAGTTACGAACTAAATACTCTCCTATAATGTATAGCCGCTTATTATTACGAGCTTTAAGTAATAACAGCCTTTATACTGGCTTAGGGAAGCGGTTAAGGCCTAGAAAATTAGTAATAATATAAATAGAATAACGAAAATCGTTCTTCACCTTAGCTACCTTATTGAAATATCGGCTATTAACTACTACTACGTATTTAATAATACTAAGTAGTAAAAACTATTATAAAATAGGCTTATTTTAGTACTTTAAAGTAGAATAGTAGCCTTTAAGAGGGTTGGTTATTATTACTTATTATTTAAAAGAGGTTAGTAAAAGTATATATTAAAAAAGGCGCTTAAGGGTTAATATTACCTATAATAAGAGAGGCGAATACTTACGAGCGTAATTCGCCTATTACTTCTTATATAATACCTAATACTTATTAATATACCCTCGTACAGTATTAATTGTAGGTAAGCTAGTAAGAGCGGCATTTATTAATTTATTGCAAATCGCTTTAGATCGCCGATATTTAATAGTTTTAAGTATATATTATAGATAGGTTTTATATTTATTACTAGCCAATTTATACCTTAGTATCCATTCTACGTAGACGTAGTATAGAAGGTAATTAATTTTTAAGTTAGGAAAGGCTATTCTAATAGCCTTTTATTTAATAGCGGAGTTATTAATAAGAAAATAATAAAGTAGCTATGGACAATCCTCTCTATAATATTTAATTACCTATCTATATAGTATAGACAACGTAATAGCTACAATATTACCGTTAGACTTCGCTATTAAAAAGTGGCTATAAGGAAGCTAATAATTGTATTTATTTCTTATAAAAATTATATATAGAAGCTACCCAAATTAATTAATATAGTGCGTAGCGTCTATAAGTATAAGGTAGCTACACTAATAAAGTGTTTCGAATTAGCCTAAGGAGGTAAAAACGAAATTACAAAATATAATTTAATTAACCTTATAATTAACCTTAATTGTTTTATAGAACTAAGAGACGTCTTATCCCTCATTTACTATAATTATAGTCCTTTAAATTAAATGCTTTGAAACTTCGTTAACTTAATAGTTAAGTAAAAAAATAGTACCAACTCTCTATAAATTAGGGTACTACTACTAATATACTTTACTAACATTAATTATATTTTATTGAGTAAACTAACAACCGCCGGTAATATATACATCTCTCCCTATATTAATATTATAATTATTATTACTACGAAAAAACTGTAGAATTATTGCTAAAGGGTAACTTCGCGCAATCTTACTAATAGCTAATTGTATTAGCGCTTTAAACTTCTTTATTTAATTGCAAATATTAAAAGTATAAGAATAACGACGCCTAGGGTCTACAAACTTAAAAACAATAGTACTATTAGGGTGCTAAATGCGCTTTATTGTAACCGGATAATTATAATATTTATACGTCGATTTTATACGTATGTTCTTGGATTTGTACTTTTACTTTTGTAGTTTTAAAGGCTATAACCGATAGTGCAAATATTAATAAGAATCCCTGTTTAATTACCCAATAAAAGGGTTGCGATAGTAATATATAATGTTATTAGAAGTATAAATATTACTAAAGAAATTGTTATAGCGAGACTATAGATAAGTTTTGTCGAATATTATAATAATAGTAGTATTGAAGAAGAGGCGACGCTTTTTAGCTAAATCTGCTAGTACTAAGAAGAGGGCAGGCGCTGGTTCTTGCGCGTAGGGCTTAGTAGTAACGGGCTTAGTAGTAACGGGCTCAGTAGTACCGGGCTTAGTGGTAACGGGTTTAGCGGTAACGGGCTCAGCGGCAACGGGCTTAGTGGTAATAGGCTTAGCGGTACCGGGCTCAGCGGTACCAAGTTTAGCGGCACCGGGCTCAGCGGCACCGGGCTTAGCGGTACCGGGCTCAACGGCACCAAGCTTAGCGGCACCGGGCTTAGCGGCACCGGGCTCAGCGGCACCGGGCTTAGCGGCACCGGGCTTAGCGGCACCGGGCTTAGCGGCAACGGGCTTAACGGCAATGGGCTTAGCGGTAATGGGTTCGGCGGCAACGGACTTTATAGTAATAAGAATTTATTAGAACTAGTAAATTCGGAAAATAAAAGTCTATACCGTATTCAAATCCCAAGGCTTCTACAAACTCCTAAATATCTTCAATAACTACGTTAAACATATCTTCATTATCGACTTACACTTCGCCAAGAAGCGCATTACCTCCTCCTAATTTATATTCGAATAAGAGCTTATTGAAAAAATCATTATCGAAACCATCCTCCCAATTTAGTAGTACGAATTTAAAAAGCCGGTCGTAGTTATTATTAGTAATATTATTAGTAATATCGATAGTAAAATAACCATTATTAATAGGAACGTTATTAATACGGTTAATAATAAAACTTTGATCTTTTTATATAGGATCTATTGTAAATTAAAACGATATTAATACCAATAGGGATTATTATAGTTTATATTAGTATAATAGAATGCATCTTCGTATTGTAGTTAGTGAATTGGAGATAAAATTAAACGTATTTCTTGTATTGTAATAGAAATTAGTTAAATGCGTAGTGTCCGTGTTTATTGGTTTAAATAATTGTTTTTTTAGTATAGGTACACTATCGTTATTATTAGGCTAATTTGTGTGGCGTACACTTAATAAAAATAAGCGCTAGAATTTGTAATATCCGTAATTATACTAAACCTAAAGCAATTTAATTATATTCAATACTAATTATATAGTTTGAGTATCTTCTATTCGTAGTTAAATTTGTATTAATTTCTATAGTAGAATAGTAGTGCTATTGTATTGTATTTCTAGTAGCCGCAATATTCTGGTAGTACATTGCATTTTGGTGCGCGTCGCTAACACAGCGCATGTCATCTGACATTTTTTCGATTTTTTTCTTTCCCCTAGTCCAAGAGCCCCCTTGTCGGAACCCATGCGAGTGTGAGTGGGTTCTAAGCGTAATAAGCGATTCCCATGAACACCGACCCCAAGTTGCCCCTGGCCGTTTTTTTTCGTTCGGCTCTTCCGTCGACTTGACGATTGACGGCTCGCTCCTCCTTCGTTCCTCCCCTCCTTCCATCTTCTCTGCTTGCTTCCTTGCGCCCCTTCCTTCCTCTCTCGCCCGCCTGTTTCTTTTTGTCATCGCAGGCACGGACAGGCTTTTCCCTTCTTCGGCTGCCTTTTTTTTTATTTTTTTTTTTTTTTCGTTGCCTTCTTCCTCGGGTCGGTTGTTTTTCTTTCTCCCTTGGTTCGATCGATGACTCTTTATTTCTTCCCCCATCCATCCCTTCCGACAGGCCGGACTCCAGTGGGTTTGTCCTCCATTTGTTCCCTGCGACCTTGTGCCTGCCTGCTTTGCCCTGATTGATATTGGTGATTTTGGTGAGAGGGTGTCGTCGTTTCTTCGAAACTTGTTGCCAGCACGCTACCTTTAGGTCCGTCTGCCATAACATCCGGCACCACCCAACCTTCTTTTTATGATCGGATTTTCCATTTGCTGGTTTTCTCATCTTGGGAAACATGTCCCTCCCTGTTGTGCTCCCTCAAGCTGCTCACCGGAGACTTGACCGTTGATTTGGGCCAGATCGGATCAGGTTCCGCATTGGCCGAGGCACGATAGGTATTGTTGCTCAAATGCAGACACTCTTCCCTTCGCTTCCGATGCTGTGCCTCTGCGGGCGGCAACATGATTTTCTCTCTGGTCGGTCCACACAAACATTCGAACCCAAGCGGAATATCCTCTCCGGGGTTGTCACCTTCTCTGACAAACTAGGACGGATTCAGACACGACATCCCTTGAACTTGATCACGGACGGTTGACGCCGGCACTTCTTGTCTGTCAGTGCTGGGATGGGCAACACAAAGGGACAGGGCCAAGGCCGGGTGCCTGGCCTGGCGTGGTCTGACGATTGCTTGACGTCGAACCCAGTGTTGCGGTACGGGTAGGGTAAACTCGACGCAGTGTGCTGATCTCTTGAACCACGCGGGTTGATGCTGATGTCAAAGACATGAAGCGGCCGTTGCTTTCCCCGATCAACGCTCATCTGAGACCTGGTTACATCATCTTGAACGGCCATCGCAGCTTACAAGTCAAATCAGGGTCTTAAAGGGTTCTTGCACAACTACTCCCTGATCCAGTCCAGCTTCACCCAGCTTTGGGCACCGACAACACCATAGCACTACTTGCACCGTAAACTACCTAGCACCCGAGACAACACAAGACATCAATAACACTGCCAAGTACTCCCTTAGCACATCGGTAATGGTAGGCTGGTGTGTCTGGTGGTCCAGGAAACGCGGCGTAGAAGAAAGAGGTTAGCCTCTCACAGCCGGCCAAGTGGACGGTCGTACACCCTCTCGCGTTACTCTGCACGCCACCACCCCATTCCCTTGGGTTGCTTCCCCACGGGCCTATTTTCTTTTTTCTACATGGGACGGACTTTCTATTCGAGGGCTTTCGGCTTTTCCCCCCCTCGCGTTCCTTTGTTGGCTTGGCAAGGCTGTATAGTTCACGCCGCAAAGGATTGGCTCCTAGCCGGTCTGCGTTGAAGCTGACGACATATTCTCGCCGTGTAACGCCCTCGGTGGGTAACCAAGAGTCAAGAGTGAGATTTTAGAGGGCTCAGGCAGAAGGAATGGACCGCTCCGTACCTGAAACCGCCGCGTCCCCAAGTAAGCTGGACCAAGAAAACGAGTGGACAAAGGGCACACAACTGCAGTTCGTTCGCTTCAGACGTCACCTCTTGGTCGATGGCTAAGGGCACAGGTACTCAAGCATTTGTAAAATATCGTCTTTTGTCTGCAGTGATTAGTATCCCTTTTGCGGCTTTCTACGGCTCATTTCGGCGCTCTCTTTCTTTTTCCCCAACACGTAATCCTCAACTGCGAGCTTGCCGAGCGAGACGCTCTCTCTCTCTCCTTTGACGAGAGCCAAGACCGACCTTGCAGCGAACATCCAGACCACCTCCTCACCGTTTGAGGAAAGGAGCACATTTCTTTTTTCAGCTGCCGGATACATATCTAGAAATCTCAGAGAGAACTGAACCGAACCCCGCCTCTTTGAGTTCCATTCCTACGTAGTTTTGCCAACGGTTCTTTGACACGTGGTGAAAAAGGTGGTGGGAAGAGATTTTCACTTCAATGTCTCCTAATTTGCAACTTTTATTCAACAAGCGTTCGTGTCATGGGGTCCAGTCGACCCGCCGCCTTGTCATATGAACTTGATTGAACACTTGCACATTCGATAGGTTAGGTAGGTACTAGGGATCTCCCTACATACATATAACGACACTGCTTATGTCTATCCAATCCCGACCGATCCTGCCCAATCCCGTCCGTCGTCCAAAGGTTCGCCTCTAGTATAGCATTCCTGTTCCGTTCGTTTCCTCCACCCTCCCCCTCCTCCACTCACATACATATGTAACTGTTCCCCAAGGGAATGAACGCCTCCTATTGTTCGACGACGACGACGACGACGAACTGTGGAACCTCAACGCCTCCACGGCTGCTGCATATGTATGTATGTCCTGTCGGTCCACTGCTGCCCTTTTGGGGGGGGGGCTGCGTCTGCTGCGTCTGCTGCGGCGTCTGCTGCTCGTCATGTATGTACATATCAGCAGCAGCAGCAGAGTTACATACATATCTGTCTCTAACCACCGATTCGCCCTGCTTCTGCGATATAATCATATGCGCAGGAACCCGTCCTTTTCACTGGCTGTTGGGTCGTTCGTTCGTTTGAGAACTGGTGTGTGCTTGCTGATTCTGATTCTGAAGAAAACTTTAAGGGGGGGGTATCGGTTGGTAGATAGGCGAATATGCGTAATGCCCGCTGTCTAGTGTGATAGCTCCAGTGGGATGATATAGTTGCTGGTTTATTGAAGGCCGACCTTGATATAATTCCCCACGCATTTTCTTTGGTGGTCTATCTTGATTCAGGTCCGGGTGTTGAAATGGTTGCTATGGATATGTGTGATCGTCGGATGAGATATGAATTGAAGAGGTCGATTATTGAAGGCATGTGCTGTCCTCTATCTATTGTCAGAGCGTGGAAGATTGAGATCGGTACAGGTAGACGTGTAAGTTGCCGAGTTCTCAAATCAGTGTAAGAATGAAAAAAATGGGAAGGTTGAATTGGACGTTATGACCATGACCGTGGACTTTACTTAGACAGACGCCCATCCATCCGCTTGTCAACATGCTTGGAGACAAGTTAGATTCATGACGGATGTGTTGAGACACTCCCCGAAGATGGAATGCTACCTACGTATGTTGTAAAAGACAAAAAAAGAGTGACGAACAGAGAGAGACCAGTCAACTGACAGCGATGGTGTTCTTGTTTTCTGTTTTTAAAGAAAGAAAAAGAGTATAGTCCCACGTGACACTACATATCCTGAGCAAAGGTAACCAAGTTATCACAGAAAACCCTCAACGAACCTCTACGTTCAATGACCAGATATATCAGGTACTGTTATTGTAACGCATATCATCATAACATAAAGGTTCTCACCTACTTTTACATCATACCTCTAGTCCAGTTCATACTTGACATCCACGTAGGTAGGTAGGTAGGCAAAACACAGATTTTAACTCACAAGTCGAACTGACTGCCTCACGCTTCTACTCTTTACAAGAAAGCTTGCAAGCAAGGCGGGTAGGTAGTGAGCAGGAAGCACAAGTACCTAATAGATAAATGTCAAGTACCTAGGTATGTGCACACTCAATCCATCCATCCGCTGTCACCTCCAGTCTAATAACAATCTCAAGTCCTAAAGACACGACGTGCTGTTAACGCGGAACTCAATACCCAGAAAGCTACGGTAGCAAGTAAAAAGACCAAAAGGGAAACAACAAAAAAAAAAAAAAATAAGAGGACGGAGCTGGAGCTAGGACGAAATTTCCTTATGGACGACATTTTTTTATTGTTCAACACCTACCTACAAGCAGAACAAGTAAGTACTATGATTAGGTACCTATGAGAGCCACCACAGAGTTCTTAAGATACCTACCTACAGATAATAACGTTACCCATTATTAGCATAAAGGAAGGGATTATTGAAGAGGTAGGTACTAAACTAAGCAGACATAATGCATGTGTGTATGTATACTTTGGAAGATGGAGACTTCCATCGTTGACTTGTGTAGGTAGGTAGGTAGGTAGGTAGGTGTGCTAGGTAGGTAATTAATACCTGCTGAATTCACTATTATGAAGAAAAGAAAGAAAGAAAGAAAGAAAGAACGGGTATTCTTGGATCTGCTATAAAACTAAAAGTGCCAATTTTGCATACCTGCATACACTCAGGTAGGTAGGCTGAAGTGATTCTTACTTGCTATTTATTACTACCTAGTCCAAAGGTCGAGTGAGGTAAAGACTGGATTGTAGCTACTGTCGTTATATAGACGTATGAGCATGGTGAGTTCAAACTTGGCGTGGTATGATATTGAATGCGCTATATTACTTAGTTTTTGTTTATTTGGAGGTATGTAAGGTAGAAATGTAGGTAGGTAGGTAGGTAGGTAGGTAGGTAGGTAGGTAGGTAGATGCTGTTAAGGCTTCGACGTGGGAGAAACAAATTAATCTAGTTTAGTCTAGTCCTCAACGGCCCTTTTCGCCCCGTACACACACACACACACACACACACTGGTAGTTTATCATCTATCCATCCATCCATCCATTCAATATAATAGCAGTAGCATATAATGCCTAAAACACACAAAGTTTTCTATCTCAGTAGGATAATACTTGTGTACATCTTTCCTTTATAAAAGTTAGAATAGTTATAACCAACGTCATTAATCTTTCCCAGTTATCTTGATTCTTTTGATATCTTTCTCTTTCTCTTTCTCTTTCCCTTTCTCTTTTCTCTCTCTTGTCATTCCTTCTTCTCGTACATCCCACCCCATCCCCTTTCTACTATCCTGGAACCACCCTACTTAGACCAGCAACTCCCAAGTCCTAGTAATGATAAGGTTGTAGGTATAGTTAAGATAGAAAGGCATTCCCCGTCCCGTCCCGTCTCGTCTCCTACACTTTCAACACCAACACCAAGCTCTCACCCGACTGACGCTTGGAGGAAAAAAGCTCAAATCATAAATATCTAATCCAACTCGCATAAATCACAAGCCAGATAGATTCAAAAAAGAAGTCAAAATCGGGTCGTCTACTCCCTAATAACCTCCCCGCCCATGGCCCCCTCCACCGCCACACTATCCTTCCTTCCACCCGCACCTCCACCACCGCCAAACGCCCACCCGATCCAGCTCGTCCTCTTATTCTGCTGCGCCTGCTGCTGTCTCGCCGCCTCCTCCGCCGCTGCGTTTTCCTGCACCAGTCTGAGCGGGCGCGGCTTATTCCCCGCAAACGTCGTCGCGGGTTTCTCATGGTGGCTCCTCGGCGGGCTGTGGCTGGGCGTCGACATGTCCTCTCTCCCGTATCCCGTGATCGAAGACCGGATGGACTGCGTATCGGACGAGGTCTCGCTGTTACGGACGGTTCCCGGGAAGGTCGAGGTCGAAGAGCGGTTGGGGTTAGAGTTGAAGAAGGAGCCGCCCGAGGTGCGCATGGTGGGGGACAACGGGGAGGCGGCTTCGTCCCGCGAGTATTGACTGGCGGAGGAAGGGGCGACACCGGTGTTCTTGTTGTACATGGCGCTGGCGACGCTGGCACCGGGGCCGAATTGCTCGCTTAGCGGGCGGCCGCGACGAGAACCGGCTCCGCTGACGGAGCGGCCGAGACCGATGGGGATGGAGGGCGCCGTGTCCGGGTTGGTGGTGATGGGGCTAGGGGCGCCGAACCCTCCGCCGGCTTGGGGCATGAAGGACATGGGGCGAGGGCGGACTCGCGCGGCGACGGTAGAGCCAATGGGACCGCCGCCTGTGGCGGTGGACTTGGGGCGCTGGATGAGGTTGCCGCTGGCGCCACCGGCGGGGGCAGGGGGCAGCTCCTTGTTGGTGTTGGGTTTCGCCGCGGAAGATGGTGACTTGAAGTCGTTGGACTGGTCGAGGATGTGCTCAAATTCCTGGTGCGACAGGAGACGCTCGATGATCTTGTTGATGTACAAGGTCAGAGCCTTATTCTGGTCCTTGACGGTCTTGAGCTCGCCTTCGAGACGCTTCTGGGCTTCGTTGTCGACTTCTTGAATGGGCTCGTGATCGACGGCATCCGAGAGCTCATCGGCCAGGCTGGTGGGGCCGGTGGTTGTTGACCTGCCCTCGAGAGCGGCAAGGGCGTCCTGGTTCGCGGTGCTGCCCATGTAGCTGAAGTCGCTGGTGCCGAAGTCGCCCTTCAGTGTCCTCTCCTGGAGGAGGAGCTGGTAACTTTCGTTGTCTTCCATCAGCCGAGCGTTGGCCATGCGCGCTTCCATTAGTTGCCTTTCAACCTCGCGCAGACGCCCTCCCCCTTGGTTTTCGGACTCGACAAGTTTGATCTGTGCCTCGGCCAATTCGAGCCTGAGCGATTCAATCAGCTTATCTTTCTGGAGCAACAGCTTCGAGTTGTTTTGTGAATTGCTGCGGTGGATCGAGGAAGGCGGCGCAAAGCTTCCGTTGTCGAGGTTCTGCGAACTACTTGTGGTAGCGATTGCTGGAGCAAAATAAGTTAGCGGATACGGTTCAGATGCAGAAAGGGGTAATGTTTGCAAACTTACAAGGTCGCCTCGCGTGCCTCACGCCCTCTTCATCCCTCTGCGCCAGACTGTCCTTGAGTCTCTGGATAACGGTCTGCATCTCCTCCTCGCGGTTGGCCATCTCGTCCTTCTCCTTCATCATGGCGCTACGCTCAGCCTCGTAGATGCTCTCCATCTCGCGCATCTGACGGGAGATCTCGCGCTTCTCGTTCTTGAGTGCCTCGATCTGCTCCTCGTTTTCGTGCACCTTCTCCTCCAGCTTGGCCTGTTCCCTGGTCGCGTCGTCTAACCTGCTCTGCAGGATGTCCATCTGGCGCTTGTGGGATTCTGACGAGGCCTCGGCCTTGGATAGCCTCTCCTTGAGATCTTCTATGATGGCCAGGGTTTCGGCGCGGGCGGCCTCCTCGCGCTCGAGGTCTGCCGATGACGGCTCCTTGGTGATATTGTTGGTGCCATTGCCGAGAAGGGACTCGCGTCTTGACGAGACGGCAGCGCGGGCTGAGACTAGGGTTCCTGATCGTATGGAGCGTGTGCGCGCGGCGCTGGAGGCAGTGGGAGCAGACGAGGGCGTAGAGGCTCTGGCGGCTGGGCGCGTGGATCCCGTTGGTGTTTCCCGGCCTGATGACGCTGGCGGCTTCTTGACGACGGTTGCCATTTTGTGCTAGTGTAGGTTGTGGTGAAAGTGTTGTTCCCGGTAGACGGGAGTAACTGCGATTTCGAGGGTATAGATGTGGTGGTATTCTAGCAGGTAGGTAGGTAGGCAACGGGTTGTAAAGAGCGTTCAGGTTTGTGTGTACAGGTTGAGTTTCGGAGTCAACCTAGGTTTGGATGTGGTAACAAAAAGGAACGATGGCCGTTGGAACGAAAGGGCGATCGAACTGGCGGTGGGGGCCCTTGCTCCCTTCGGTTGTTGATGGGGGGAATTGATTGCCGTCGTTAATGCCTTTGGAGAGGTAAAAGAGTGGTCCCCTGTTTAACTGGTTCTTGGGTGGTATTCTGCGCCTGCAGTAGCATGAATGCGTGCTGCGCGCTTGCAGTGCTTGGCCCCTTTCTTCAACTTGTTGTGTTTTCTGTAAAGATTGGGCCTTGGGTGCAGTGCAGTGCTTTGCAGCCGGTACACTAGAGGTATGTGTATGTAGCGCTTGCAGCGGTTGGAGAGAATTCTTTGAGAGGAGGGGAGTTGACAGTTTCCAAATACAGAAACTACGTCTAAGACAAAAAGAAGGACATGTCAGGAGACAACTGAACACAACGTGACTCGAGGTCGACAATGGAACTGAAGGTTCCTTATTTCAGATTCAGAGTAGAAACGGCACAGTGAGTGAGTGGCGTCTTACATCCTCATTCATCCTCTCCCCTCCCAAAAAAAAAAAAGGGTCGAGAAAAGGGTGCTGTGGTGGATGGGATGGGCAGGCACAGGCACCTAGTGAGTGAATGGGCCCGACGGATGGATCACAGGCTCCAGAAAGGTCTCCAGCAACTTGAAGCGGGCCGGGCGAAAAAAGGGATTGGTTCATAAATCAGCCCTGTTCCCTGGCGTGGTGCCCAGGTACAAGATAAGTCAAGTCCACTAACAAGCTCCCCTGCAAAACACACATGCCGCAGGCGGAGCAACCGTCAGGTCCCGTTAGTGCCTACTTGTAGAAAAGCGGGTACCATTTCGGTCCATGTCCGAAGGGACTTGACGTGGGAACGTGAGGCATCCATCCCTCCCTCGTCTCTATCATTGGTTTCGTTGTCGGTTGTACAAGAAGCCGCCTCCTGAGGGACGGATGGATGGATGGATCGGTGGATGGCAAGCAAAACCACACGGTCAGCCCCGATCCGAGGCGGACACTTGTGAGATTTGTGTCGACTTTGCCGTCTTACAAACTACGTAAAGTAGCTAAAGATGGTAGGGCGCAGCGCAGCACTTCTGGTGTGACACATTCTTTGTCTACGTATCTATCTTTGGGTATACCGGTAGACGTGTTGCCCGAAAAGAACTATCATCCGAATTCTTTCCTGACTTGACCCAATCAATCTATTGATGGATTCCATCATGGCACTTGTTACGCCGTATCCGTGTCAATGGGTCAGTCAACTCGAAAGACACTGCTTCCCTGTTCAGAGGCAACTCGTGTTTGGTTTCGAGTTTCGTCTTTTGTGTCTGATCGCAGTCGTATAGGTACTCGGATTTGTATCGAGTATGGTACACCCCAAAGAACTGGAATGCGATATCTGAACGGCAAACAACATCCCATCGTTCATGCATATCCCCAGGGGGTAGGAGCTCAGTCAGTCGACTCACTGCGCAACAGATACTTACGTCCCGGTCACGTTGTGGTGCATCATGCATACTTGGAAATTAGATGGTCATGGCTTCATCGTTAGTCCAGTTGAGCAGGAACAAAGTTTTGAAACCCTGAGAAACCATTTCCTTGTAGGGACCTACCTACGCTTGCAAGAAGAATCCCGTCCAGTTATATCGGCTCGATCCATTCCAGTGGAGAACAGAGCGGCCGACTTGTTCCAGAAGCCCTGGCGTCTGTCCATTGCACATTGAATATTTTGTACAGCAATAGGAGATCTAATGTTTGTCCTTCTCATTCCTGCACACATCTCCTAGCCTCGTTCAGAACAAGGTGATGACGATTGTCAACCGTATTCGAGTGGATCTAAACAAATGTCCAACACACTTCTCTCCTTGCACCACTTATAGGTAGGTGTCTTTAGGTTCATGGGGAGGAGGCTAGCTGTGCTGAGAGTGTGACCCTCAGAACCCGTGCCGTTGACGTAGTAGGCTAGTAGCTGTAGCGCAGTCTACCTAGCTTCGTTCCGAGACATTTCAACACATTTGACATTTCGATATCCTTCTTGGCCGTTGACATTCCTTCGGACGTTTCCGCCTCTACGGTTGCCATAACCCGTCCGTAGTCCCTTCCCTACTAACAAGAATAGCAGGTGTACAGCATACAAGGAAGATAGCGCGGGCCATCATTATCACCAAGCGAGCAAGCAAAGCAAGCAAGGGGGCCGGCGGCTGACTAACTTGCCCAAGATGAATTGTATGTAGTATGTAGAACCCATAACCCCTATCCCAAAAATCTCCGGCTCGGCTCGTTGCTAGAACATCCTTTGATCTGCCGTTACGATGATCGCTTATAGTGGTTAATGTGTTTTTACAGTAGTTTAGTTCGCTTCAGTGTTTCAAGGCTTGAACGAGGGCCTTCCGTCTCCAGTGAATCAAAAACTGCCCCCTTTTGTTTTTCAACGTCTTAGGGTTGACGGCTCCGGATCTTCCCCAGACGGGAGGACCGGCTATGGACAGCCCTTTGTGGATGTTAATTTCGCGTTCAATGCAGCCAACCGTCAGGGCTGTTAGTTCCGGACTTATGCTAACTAGGTGATTCAGAGCATGACTACAGGCCGTTGACAATGGATGGGGTTATGGTATGGGTTACATATCAACATCTTTGGTTTCTTGATTGCGGCGTTGCCGATTTGGTGATTACCATACCATCCTCCTCCACATGTCTGGAACCTCCACTTGTCTGAACAGAGTGTTGACGGATCATAAGGCCGTATCCCGACCGGATGTCGGATTTCCTTGGCCTAAGATCAGGCGAACTTGGTATGAGCATCATACACCTATCATAACTTGGATGTGCTTTGCTGCCGCCACCAGAAGCGCAGCGACACGAGAAGCCGTCACGCTGGAGGCCGGCTTGGAACATAATGTTCTGTCAAGGAGCTGGGTGGAAGAGCGTCAAGCGGCTTCCACTTCACGTGTCCCTGGTCATGACCACGGATAGGACGTTGTTTGCTCCACAAACTGTCTCAAGATGACAGGAACCATTCACTGTGCTCCTTTCTCCATCACGCATGTCGTCCATACCAAACGTTCAAGGTCAAAGTCGCTTTGTCGAAAACCGCAGTCGGATCACGCTGATGAAACAGATCGGACAATGTTGGACAACAATGGGTATCTTGATAGACTCGTCTTCTATTTTAAGGACTAGCCTATTGAGAGTTGCCCTGGGGCGAGACCTCTGCCCATTCAGGCACAGCGGTGGAAAACCGCCGCAGATTCGGTTCATCAAGCCGTCATGCCATTTTTCCATGATTTTCAAAGCCTGAACGCCGTATCCCTATGCCGAACGAGAAGATGATACTCGACGCAGCATTTACTGCTGCTGGTCGGCGAGGATGTCGGAGTCACCGGCATCAAGGATGGCCATGGTGGAGCAGCGGAAGAGCTTACCGCAGGCGGTACCGAGCTCAATCTGTAGTGGGAGGTTGTGTGTAAGCCACGGAACAGGTACCCTCCAAAGCCTGAAGACAGACTTCTTCTCTGGGTGGACCCGAAGATGCCGCCGAGGGCATCTTCAGGCCGGGAACAGAGAGAACAGCAGACAAAGATCTTGCAATCTTTGCCGTGCCACTACAAGGAGATATCAGGCTGAACTTACGTTGGTGCCAGTGTAGTGGTGGACGGCAGTCTTGGACATCATGGAGTAGTACTCAAGCTCAGACTTGCGGAGGGGAGGAGTGTTGGCAGAGATGAGGATGAGCTTGGCCTTGCCGGAGCGGAGGGCCTTGAGGGTGCTGCGGTAGCCGAGGACGACCTTGCCGGACTTGATGACAAGGGCGAGCTGTTCGCAAAGACATCGTCGTCAGCATTCTGGTGTTTTGCGATTTTGCAGATTTCGCGCACAGCGATCGAATTGGAACGTACCTTGGCACCAATGCTCTGGGCGTCAGACTTGGACTTCTTGGGGGCCATTGCGAATGATTTTGTCGGTGAACTGAACCGTGGAAATGGGCAAGGTCTCGCTGGTGGTGAGGTCTCAAGTCGTCGTTCGCTGGCTTCAAGAAGGATTCAGCAAAAAAAAGACCATCACGAATATTTCAGATCCCCCTCCCATTGCGGCAGTGGAGGCCGTGCACACTTCACCTGCCAGCCAATCACCTGCGAGCAGCTGGGCAACTGGCACAAAGCCCTAACGCCCCACATTTTCGGACCTGGCGCGCACCTGACCACGCAGATCGGCCTGCCTGCCTCCCACCCACTCCGGCGCTGGATTGGTAATCGCCCGCCAAAATCGCCTCCCCTTGATCTTAAAGTTAGAGGATTTCACTTTGTCGTCGTCGCCCTCTCAACCCACGAACAACCACCTACGACCTCGTACGTGACATCATCAAAAATCAGTCAAAATGGCCCGCCGTCCTGCGAGATGCTACCGGTACTGCAAGAACAAGGTGAGCAGCCTTCATGCCCGGATTTTTGCGACGCCAAAATAGCCATCGAGAGACCGATTTTTTCGCATTGTGTGGGGCGGGAAGCCATCGATGGTGATGGTTGCGGATGGGAGGAAGGAAGGACTTGGACATGGAGGAACATCAAGGTGGATGATGCACATGGGCAACGATGATGACATGGACATCGCAAGAGGAGGAAATGATTGATGGAAAGGGAAGCGAAAGGATTAAGGATGATAGCGATGCGACAACTCGATGTTCTCTCGATGGCTATGAAGGGAGTTACCGTCGGTCGGTCGGTCGGTCGGACTTGGTCGTCAATCAAGATCATCACCGACCGCCATGTCAACCACCTCACATCACCACAACACAAACAGTTTGCTAACTATGTCCCTCTTTCTAGCCGTACCCTAAGTCGCGCTTCAACCGTGGTGTCCCCGACCCCAAGATTCGCATCTTCGATCTTGGCCGCAAGCGCGCTACCGTCGATGACTTCCCTCTCTGCATCCACATGGTCTCCAACGAGTATGAGCAGCTGAGCTCTGAGGCCCTTGAGGCCGCCCGTATTTGCGCCAACAAGTACCTCGTCAAGACCGCCGGTAAGGAGGGTTTCCACCTCCGTGTCCGTGTCCACCCTTACCACGTCGTCCGTATCAACAAGATGTTGTCTTGCGCTGGTGCCGATAGACTTCAGACTGGTATGCGTGGTGCCTGGGGTAAGCCCAACGGCACTGTCGCCCGTGTCAACATCGGCCAGATCATCATGTCTGTCCGTACTCGTGACTCCAGTACGTTCTACTCTTTGTCCCCTCTACACGCCGCTACTGTGATACTAACCCACGCTACAGACAAGGCTTTCGCCCTTGAGGCCCTCCGCCGCTCCCAGTACAAGTTCCCCGGTCGCCAAAAGATCATCATCTCCAAGAACTGGGGTTTCACTCCTCTCCGCCGCGAGGAGTACCTCGAGAAGAAGGCTGCTGGCAAGCTCCTCATCGATGGTGCCTACGTCCAGTTCCTCGGCAACCGTGGCTCTCTCGAGCGCAACATGAAGCGTTTCCCCGACGCTTTCGCCACCGAGGCTTAAATGTCGTTGGTCGCTGGGACAAAGAGTTGTTTCTGGGTTTAGGGTGGCGTCAACGGTCTTTTTTAGGGCTGAAATGAGGACATGTTAGTAGCATCATGGTCTTGTTGGCACAGTCAATACACCATTCATCCAGATGGGTTTTAGATGATACCTAATACCGCGGTTTCCTTCCTACGCCCTTTCCCAGTATTCTTTGTCGGTGACTAGTGATGGACATTCGTTTGTTTGTTGATGGGGGCTGCTATGGGATTGGCTCGTTTGTGAGACCAAGGGGCGATCGCAGGCGTTGATTTCAAATCAGCGACCCGACTGTTGGAACACGACAAGCGGTTGGTTCGGAAGCATCGGTCAGCACATCAGCCACGGCTCTCATGGCGCTATTCCATAGGGGTACAGGCTTATGCTAGCAATCCGCAGCGGTTCCATACACATCGAATTCTAGACCTATGTAAACAACATTGCGCATTCCAGGCGAATCTCTTCAGTGACATCATCGTAAACAGTGGCTGGCCATGTCCGTCCAGCATCCTGGGTCTAAGAAAGATAAGTTGCTGATAAGCCCATCAAGGTTACCTATCGTCTCTGGACGCCATGCTCCATTTCTCCGCTTATGATGGAAAATAGATCAGATAATAACTCACAATTCCTCAACATGCTCGGCGGTTCCCCGGACTGCACATCAGCCACGCAAATGGTGAGTGAAGTCATGACTACAGTGTTGATCATGAATGGGGCTAGAAGGGTAGAAAAAGTCCTCAAATCTGGGGCGACGTCTCTGACACGCCTTTGTTCCGGCAACCAGGGATCGGTTTATGCCCAAAGGATAGCCGGTAGGAGCAATCAACAGCATCATGATCAGTGATGATCTACACTACTGGTGGCCCTCCTCAAGAACCCCCCCTCAAGGTGAAACTGACCCAACTGAAGCCAAGCCAATGTTTTTCGACTGTTGATTGAGATCTGTAACCCGTCTAGGTTGTTGCCCGTCTCGCCGGTTCGGTCCTGTCTCCGGCCGTGCTTCGGTGGTTTCCATCGATGGAGATTGTCCCGTTCCCATTAAAAGGGAAAGGGTGTGGTAGGTAGTGGGTGGGGCTTTATCGCCAAACTAACTTATCGCAGACTGATTGATTTCCTGTTCCTCTCTCATGATCGCGTGCGGTCATGCAAGCCGATAACCCAAAATACACTTTACACAGTGACATTACATCCTACCGTAGCATGGGATCCGTACATATGGACATGAAGAAGGAATGCTTTTGGGCTGTTCAGCTGAGATATTCCTTCTCAGATGCCAAAATCTGTGTTCAAGGATCCTGTCTTGAAAAGACGGCTGACGCCTCATCTTGAGCAAGCCATATGTCCGTTTCCTTATCTATCTATACAAAATGGACTTCTTTAGGTTGCCAATCATGATCTAGTCAAGTGAAGAGGAGAGAGATAACAGCGAGTTCGAAATGGGTGGGGGGTTCTGACTCTGACTCTGACTCTAATTCGCAAGGCAAAACGGGGACGGTTAAAACCCGACGGGGAGAGCACAGCAAGTCGAAAGATAATTGGGACGAATTTCACAATGGTATGGCATGATGAGGTCAGAAGCTCGGCGGGGCTCAGGCAAGACGGGAGGAAGATGGGGGAGGGGGGAACAGAGGGGGGATACGGGGAACAAAATCTCAAGCGACAAAACTGAGCTGAACTGCTGCACTGTAAGTTTAGCGGGTGAGACAATGAGAAGAAGAGGGGGGTCAAGGGGGGGCAAGGGGACCTCATGGAATACCCTACCCGTCACCAATTGAGCTTTCACTGGTGAGACTTGGGGGTCCTTTGAACCTGACGACGGGAGGAGGTAGTGTAGTGTACATGGCATTTTCGTTGGGGTTGCTTGTTTGTTTGGCGTGCAACCACCACGTAGTGTAGTAGGGACAAGCTACCACCATGATCAACCATACACCGTGTGACCCTTTGGCTTGGGAGGCAATCCCACAGAGTGATGACATCCCGTGCTTCTGTTTCTGTGTCGATGCCGTAGGGTAGTGTAGTAGACACGGATCTGTTACGGACGGCATGGCTTTGATCGACCTCCAGCCTCTGTTGATTTCGTCAGTACCCGCCGTTAGTTTTTTTTTTTTTTTTTGCCCCGATAGGTATGCTTCCGTTGCACCCTTCTCTTTGCCAAAAAACCAAAGTCTCGGGTTGAATTTCCATCGTTGCCGCGGATAAGGGAAGTTGGACTAGTTTCCAGACTATCAAGAGGAAATCAAGAAGAAACAACAGGGGGGTCACACGAAAAGGGGGCGCAACTTGAGTGGACGCAACGCAGTCAGCCAATATCCAATGCCTATCTATCTCTCGACTCTGCACGACTGGCGTACAATAGACAGCTGTTTGGAGGAGACTACTAACAGCATAGGCACAGTGGGAAGATCCAATATCAGAAACCTGTGAGATTCCGCATTCCACCACGGCTTTGTACACGGTGCTATCGACGGCAGTACCGTGCTACGGAAGCTTGTCAACTGGAAGCAGCAGAACACTCCAAAAGGCAACGTCAGCAACAGAAGCAGACAAGCTGAAGAGGAAACAAACATTAAGGCGGGATCCCGAGAAAGTGGAAGGAAATAAAAGTTGGGTAACGGACCGACCTCGAAAAAGTGACGCTGACAACGAGGGAACAAGGGGGTCAAGATATTAGTTGTTAGTCAAAGGAATGCTTCGACGGGACTTGGGAACCCCACGGCCACGCCATTTTGGCCCTAAAACATTGGATCCAATCTTCCATTTGCTCTCTTCAGGACGGGCAAGCTCCTCTAAACGGGCACCAGCGGGTACCCCGTCACCGCCTCCGTCCCCAACAAGAGAAAGCTCAGTAACTAAAAAGAAGCGCAAAAGCGGGCGCACATTTCCCTTCGTTGGCGACTTACAACAAAAGGTACCTACACTACCTAGCTGTACCGGTGATACCGTGCAGTAGCAAGCGTCAAGATCAGCAGCGGCAAGCAGCATTAGCACGTAGGTACACCTGTTGTCGATACAACGCTAGGAGATACCGCTGCGACAGGCTATTACGGGGCTCTAGGGGCGATCCATCCGTGGATGCTACCTAGAGGTACATAGCGTACTGTGCCTACACTAGGTAGCCTCCAACTGAAGTATCATCAATCTAAGGATGTTGTCGTTTCTCTTGGCTACCTCTACCTACGTATCGACCACGGCTGGGCGACAATAGCGAATCACGACAAAACAACTTCCCAACTCCCCGCGGCGATACCTTTGGACACACAGCGAGCGAGTAACGAGTTGCGGAGCCCTTCTTCCACGGGAAGCGCCGTCCTAGACGAGACCCCAGAAAAGCAGACCCCGGGCACCTGGCGCTTCATTCTTTCTTGTTCCACCTTACGCCATCCACTCATCCATCCATCGATATCTTCCTTCTCCTGTCCTTCCTCCAGTCAGCTACATACCTACCCTTCCATCTTATCTCTCTTTGTTCACCTCTCCCGTCTTTCATTCCAGCTGTACTAGGAATCTATCTACCTCTATACCCATACCCGTACGCCATACTTTTTCCTCAAGTCCCTTAATTCTTGCGCCAAGCAAACAAACACCAAAAAAAGTTCAACTGGACGACGTCAAGGATAGGGGTTACTTAGCGCGAAACCGCCTATCATGGCCTTCCACCAACCGGCCCGTCAGCTCCAGCAACAACGAAATCGCCTTCTCTCGAGCGATGGCTCTTCAGCTGTCTTCTCGCCGCAACCGCCAGGTCTGGGCGAGTCGCAGACATGGGTTCTCTTCACGCCCGGCACCGACGCCGGCACAACAGCTTCCTACCTCAGCGACTCTCTCCATGATGACCACCAGCAGGTGACACCCGGCCGGTCGCAGGTTAGCGACCTCGGTAGCTTCGACACCGCGGCCCGATCCGACCTTAACTCGCAAAACCACAATTCGGCACTGCCCTCGGATTTTCTTGAGGAAAGCGTCGCGGAGGAAGAGGACGAGGAAGAGGAGGATCCCGAGTTCGACAGTCTTGACAGCCATCTTCCAGACTTTCGAACGCCCCTCGGGCAGTCGCCGCAAAATTCGTATGCGATGCCTGTTTTCCCCAGCCATGACGGCATGGGTTCGTTTCAGTTCAAGCCTCCGGGTATGAGCAGCGACATCCAAGACAGACTATACCAGTTCGAGCTACTCAACCCCAACCGCATTCAGCGCCGTAATGATGCGCTCGAACAGATTCATATGGAATACGGTGGCCAAGAGGTGGAAGATAACGAGCGCAACCGGAGGATAGAGGCATGGCGGCTAGAGCAGAGCAAGCTGCTGCTTGAGAGAATCAGGAAGGAGACAAGGAGAAGGCAATCGCAGAATTCGCTACGCACCGCAAACTCCGCCATGAGCGTGGGCGATAAGGCCGCGAGCGTGTTGGACCAGCTCGAGCAAGACGATACGGCAAGCCTCGCAAGCGATGACTGGCATGATCACGATGACGAATACAAGGCCCAGTCCGCCAGCACAGAAACACTCAAAAAAGAGGCAACCAACGAGGAGCCAAGCGAAGGGATAATAGGCCGCACAAGAGAGGCAATCTGCAACCTGATAGGAGTCGACGACAGGCTACTCGCAATTCTCCTAGGCGAAGCCCTCCCTGACGAGGAAGAGCTGTCCACTACGCCTACGGCATCCACGACTATGAATGTCGACTCACAGGTGAAGACGTCCGAGGATTCGACATGGCAGTTGCGCATGCTAAACCGGATAGCGAAAGAACTCGGGATGCTGATTCACCAACTATCAACCTCTCCCCACCCCGGCGCGTTTTCCACCTACACCCGGGTCCAGCAAATGCCCCTCCCATACGCCGGCCTACCAGTTATACCCGAGACCTCGGCCGTTACCAACAACGATTCTTCGTCCAAGGATAGTCTCCGCACAGGCAGTAACGTGGTGTCCAACATGCCCCAGTTTCAACCGACCATCACCCAGCCCGTCACAACCCCTACCGACTCCGAACAAGGACAGGCTTCCGCTGCCATCCCCGCTCCTTCAGAACTTACATCCTCCAAACTTACCACGTCCACCGGGCCGGCCCCGTCCGACGTGACCTCCACAACAGGGGGAGCACTACCCACCACCGCCTCTTCTCTTCCCCAACAACAACAACAACAACAACTAACCTTCACCCAAGACGAATGGGAACAAGAGCTCGACATCGGTCTCATATTCCGCTACCTCCGCTCGCGCTTCTCCCCTTCCTCCCGGTCCCCCTCACCCACCTCCTTCTCCGGACCAACCCTCACCCCTCCCTCCTCTTCCATCTTTGCCACCGCTTCTACCGCCGACCTAGCAGCCAAAGCCGCTCGCGTAAGACAACACCATCCTCTGATGTCCCACCATCGTCGCCCTCACCACGCCCCCGCTACGCGCAGCTTCAAAGTCAGCACTCCTTCCGGCCCCAGCAACATGACTTCCCCCACCAACGCGGCGGCAGCGGCGGCGGCGGCCGTGGTGTCGGTGATGAGGCAGAGGGCAGGGAGCTGTGCTAGTCAGAGTACGCAGCGGAGCGCTACTAGGACGACGGGGCGAGGGAGTGTGAAGAGGAGGAATAGCGGGGCGTCGACGGCCACGGGGAGGGTGAGTCATGGAAGTAGGCATTATTGGGATCTCTCCAAGGGGCCGGGGAGTGTAAAGGGCGGGAGTGTGGTTGCGGGAGCAGGAGGGGGGATGGGGAGTTGGGGGGAGGTTTGAAGTGGGATTGGGAGTGGTAATTAATGAATGTGCATTGTTGGGAGGGGGCAGATAAGCTGGGTATTCCTTTTTTTTTGGTTATCATTGGGGTCGATACTGTATAATAGAAAGTAATATGGGTCAGCGGGGAGTTTTTGGTTGAGGTTTATGGCCTAGGCAGGGCGGCCTACGGGGAGAAGATGAGGCGAAACGGGGCGGCTTGGGAAGAGGTACATTGCGTTTTTGCATATTGGCATCACATCACATCACATTACATCGTCACATTACATTGCATTGCACTATATCATGTATCGCGGGTATCTGTCTGTCTGTCTGTCTGGCTTCATTTCTTTGTTGTTATAGTCTTGTTTCTTGGGCATGCCCTGGGAGAATAGAGCCTATCCAAAACCTTGCATGAGGCTGTGTTATTGTTATTTTGAACATGTACTTCTGCCTCGCGAGGGGCATGAGACGTAATAAATCCTGGTGTTACGAGGCGACGCGGAAGGATAGGCAAGTGCTTCCGTCCAGTTGCTGGTCCATGTGTAGATGAACTGGAGGCCAGGGCAGAGCTTCTGCCGGATGGGTTTCTATTTTTTGCGGAGCTACTACCGAGCTAGGTACTGTACGGACGGGAGCTACGGGCGGGAGCTACCTACTCTCACATTAAATACCTACCTTGGGTACCTTGGTTGAACTAAGCTTTGAGCTTTTTAGTTATTGCGACAGGAGTTCTATATACCTAGGAAGGCAGTCTCTCTAACCTTACTTAGCTCCTTAAGTACAGTTTGACCTGGGCTGTTGTCCCACTCATGGGAACTTGAGAGAGATGTTTTGATGCTATGTTGGTTCCAGTTCAAGTCAAGCCGTGAAACAGAGTCCTTTAAAGTGGAAAGTTTTATCTCATGCCATCACGAATCCACACCCCGCCCGCCTTAGCTATGGGGACGAGGGGATCCACTCCAGTCAATCATGCACTCCGACTTTGACCCCTGTTACCCCATCAGCAGCCCAGAACTAAGCAACTGAAAGTTCTGGCGTTTAGACTAGTGAAGGCGTGCAAGCATGTCCCCATCAACGTCCATCATTTGCTTCCACTTTCGCTTTTCCCATTGCGCCTCACTTTTCCCCTTCCATCGGCTTTCTCGACATCCTCGGTATATCCTCGACCTCGTCGTCGTACCGGTGATCGCAATTCCCTCGTCTACGTGCGTCTCCGCCTAGTTGATCAGTTTCGAAAAAAATAAATTGTTTGTTTCCCCCGAGCGAGTTTGATCATCTCTCGTCCCGTCTTCCCTCCCCGCTTCTTGTTTGGGACGCGCTGCTTAGGCGGCTTCTGCCTGGGCGGCCACCATTCAACAGCTTCGGATTCCCAACCATTGCATTGTCGTTGATCAAACCATCTTTAGCTTTACTTATACTAACTGAAGACAGCAACATGAACTAGACTTCCAAACGAACTCTTGTTGCGATCCGGCTTGGTCTGGCGTTGAGTCGCATCAAAGTAGGAAAGAAGGGAGCTCCGTTCCACCGCCATCACGACGCGCCGACCTCGATTGCCCAAGTCCACCCATTCGCGACTCGACATTTTCCCGATTCCTCGTCCTCTTTTCCTGTCCGACTCAAACCGACCGACCCAAATACAGCCGACGTATCCAGGCTGGAAGCAACGCGCCTCGTTCAACTACCACACAATCAGGAGATGGTGACCCAGAATCCCAATGGACGCAAATCCTTTCGACGCCCCTGGGCCCCTCCCCAGCTTTTACGATGATGGACAAGCCATGTGGAATGCGGCCTTCCCCGTGCTGCCGCGGGGTCCTTGCAACTACACAGATCCCTCTCTGCCGCGCTGTGGCTGCCGCCGCTTCTGGAGCAAGCTGAATGCTGCGCCTGATTCCGCCGAACTCTGCCAGTGTTCCCATCATGCCTGTTTCCATGACGATTTCCCAGCTCCTTCACAGCTCCCGCCCACTCCTTCCCTTGCATTTGCCGGCCTGCCCCCCACTAATGATCAGGACAAGCCGAACTCGGGCATGAGCAGTCAACGTACAAGGGGGCTCCCAAGTCCGATGGAGGAAATGCACCCGTCTTTTGCTGCGCCTGCCGTGTCTTCCCATTTTGGAGTCTCTAGAGATTTCGGCCTTATGAATTTCTACGCTTCCAGCTTCAACCAGCGTGTAATGGCTTCTCAACCTCTACAGATCGAACCCGCCCATATTCAGGATCCACCACGCCAGTCTATGGAGAAGCAGGCTACCATTCCGGATACCGCTCCTGTCGCCGCTTGGGTAAATGGGAATCAAACTCAAGAGACTGAGATTTACGGTGAAACACAGCCGTTGAGCCCGGGTTATTTACACATGCAGTCCCAGGCCCCCTCAACTACATATTCTAGCCAGATGAGATACATGGCGCCATTTTCCGGAAAGGGACTGAATACCATAAAACGCCCATCTGCACCCAGGAATGAAGCCTCGGTTCCGGAGAAGGGGGCAGAGCATGTTGAGGAACAAGCACAAGCTAACGCCCAGGATGTATGCGGCCCTATGGACTTGATGGCACCACCAGAGTACAGGCGAGACATGACACCTAGACCTGGGTCAGCACACAATCAATCTTTCCTCGCTGTCAAGGATGATGTGAAACAGTTGTCGGTTGTTGTCAACCTCCAGGAAGAAAGGATAGACAGGCTTGAGAACACCTCCTTCTCAGTCATCGGTCACGACGAGTGCTATGACAAACACGAACACACAGACCTCCGAGTTACGGAGCTTGAGTCTCGTGTCGACGAGGTGGAGAAGATTCTGAATGACAATGCCAGTGCCGCCGGCGCAAGCGTGTCCTCGGCGGCATCTAATAGCACAGTTCGCTCTTCGCAAAAGGTTACTCTTAGCCAGTTTCAGGCCCTACAAGCACAGATTAGTGAGCTTCAGGCTACATCTCTCCCAACATATAACAAGCCTTGGGATCTGGAGGTTGTGTTTCTACCGTTTCCTCTCAAGGGTATCTGGGTGGATGCCCGCAAAATCTTTGATCGGCGACAGTCAATGGGCCCCGACGAAGATGGGATACAATCATTTAACACTTTGAGCAGAGCTACGCCGGATCCCCAGGACCCGGGTTTCTCGGAATGGCCAGGACAATGTCCCGATTCTGGCTGGCTGCTCCCCAAAGCCTTTGCGAATGGACGGATGATTGACCAGAGACTTAGGAGCCGCGGCTTCATCAAGACAGTCCAAGTGAGGGGACCGGATGCCCGTGATGTTCAGCTGGCGATCCACAAAGCTTTTAGTAATATCCTCCAGCCTTCTTCCCACCTGATCTACCACAGCGAGGCTACACCCGAGTCACCACTGAATGAGTTCCTTGGCTTGCGCCAGGACTGGGTGCCTTTGCGCAAAATTCACCGAGATAACCGTCTACGGTTTCTCGCCCCGGCCGAAATGGCAACGCCAGCGCTTTGGGGTTTCACCTTTTTGATGTCCAGCGTCGTCATGAAGGCCCCCAAAACCATTGGGACGCACCGTTTGTACATCACACAGCCAGAGGCGTATATTCAAGATTATATCATGGGTAATCGCGCCCTCATGCCGGGTTGGACATGGCAAAGGATACGCGAGCTCAGTCGGGTATACCCTGAAGACTATGATCCTGAGGAGACAAGTAGCGATCACACCCCGGAGGCAGATGCTTTTGAAGAATGTTGGACTAGGAGCGACGTTCTTGACGAGCTGCCCTTTACAGACGCTACGATTACAAACCGACAGAACAGCCATGTGCACTTATCGTCCGAACGTTCTGAGACCAGTTCGTTCTACACGGCTTCATCATCCCTTAAAGCAAACGGAATGCGAGCAGAATCGCCGCGGGCAATACTAGGGAAAGAGCACAAGGCATCCTTGACGCCCTTTTCGCGGTCCCGTTCATTCTCGCCGGCTGGCCCTTCTGGCGTCTCATCGACCGGGAGTCGTCACAAACAGCTGTCCTCCACCCGCCATGCGATGAAACCATACGAACGACCTTATGATCGGCGATCCTCTCCCCTTGTGCACGAGCGCAGCCCTTTTGTTCCAGCGGAGCAATACCGAAGACGACGCAGACAGGGTCTGGCAAAACTTGACTATCCCCGCCAAACCACGCCTCAAGATGATTATGATCGCAATCGTGATCGGGTTATGAGCCGCTCGCCTTCCCTAGCGCCACCTAACCGGAGCGATAGGAAGTCTACGCCTGGTTGGTATGCCACGCCTCACAGCGAACACCCTTCGTCTGAGATCGGCTTCCATCGCGGTAGCAGCCGCGGGCCTTCGCTTCTCACGGACGATCATGCCCAGGACAGCGATCAAGAGATGACAGGACTATCCAGCGGCAGCGATGACGACAGCAATGAGGATGACGAGATGACGGACTGTCCGATCGACGGTGGGGCCACCCCAAGACGCTCCAAGTCCGTGCAAGTACCGCTTGCCATTCCCGAATCTAGTTCCAGTTCGTCTGAAAGCGGCAGCGACTTTTTCGATGCTGACGTGGACAACCTCGACCAGGACGACGAGCTAGATGGGGCTAAGACGGACGGCGAAGGTCAGGGTCAGGTCCACGGTCAGGCAAGACCGTTGAAGTCTCAGGATATTCCGAGAGAGGGCATCGAAACGGATGACCAAAACCTGGGTCCTTTCAGTCAACACAGCCAGAGTCTATTCAACGACACGCAGGAGGACTTGGATATTGACTTTGATGAAGGGGCCCAAGAAAATGGCAACTACGACGACGATGGTGATGGTAATCAATCCGATGAGTCAGAAGCACCAAGCGAGTATCCTAGCAAGAATATCTCTTCTGTTCTGTCGCCGGAGACTACGAAACTACCTAGCCCGTTGATTGCCTCCGGAAGCGGAAGCCAGCAGCAACAGCAACAGGGTCATCAACAGCAGTATCCATACCCACGGGCGCTCACTAATAGCCAGAACCTGGTTTTGAAGATTGAGGATCTGATTCGGCCCAAGGGACATTTACAGCCAGAGCCACAGTCATTACCACTGCCACAACATCAGAGCCAGGCATCGACTGAGGCGGGCAGTCAGGAGCTAGGTGAGATCTACATGCCAGTATCTTCCTGGACGGCTTCCACCACCACCACCGTGGCCATGGATGTAGCTGCCACCACAGCTACCGCCATGCCTACGGCTATGGCAACGGGGAAAGAAACGGAGATAAAGGCGACGACGGAGATTAAGGCAGGAACACCACCTACGACTTTGGCGGCGGAGATAGGACCGTCATGGGTAACGTGGGCAGACACCGCAACGGGGAAGTGGCCGGGTTTTGAGTTTAAGATTCATGAAGATGAGACGAGGACTGAGTAGACTGGCAGATTTGGAGACGTCAATGTGAAGAAAGCTAGCAAACGAATTAGGGAACCAAAGCGGGAGATCGTAAAAAAAACTCATCGTATGGTCCCTCTCTTTGGGGGGAGTTTCCTCTGTATGCGGAGGCAATGGTTAGCTATAGTTATAGTTATGAAGGGGTTAAGATAATGAATATGAGTGGGTAACATGGATATATGGAGTTTGTTGCTGATTTCTTTGGGGGCTTCAAAGGTTTCAAACTAAGTACGTAGCGGGCGTTCTTGTGTAGTAAGAAAAGAGGAAATATTGGGCGTTCAATTTCACTTGATTTGATGTGATGTTCGGTTAGATATGGATGGATTCAGGCGCAAGTTAGTATGTACAACGGAATGGATCGAATGTATGCGAAGCGTTATCTAGTATCTGGCACCGGGTAAGTACCTAGGTGCTGAGTCTTTCGTCTGATCACTGCGTTATTACTACCATTGTTATTACTTTGTCTTATGGTTCATTTCTATCGATTGATATCACTTCTGCGGTTGGGAGATCAGGTTCTTTCTACTATCTTTATATATAAACCTATCATCTTGTCTTGTCTTGTCTTGTCTTGTCTTGTCTTGGGGTGGAGGTGGGAGAGACGGCGTAGAACCAGGCTAGGGAGGTATATAAAGTCTGCTTGGTTGGCCGCCATGGGTTGTTGGAGCATGCATGGATTTGTTTGTTCACATAACCACACGCTGAGAGAGAGAAAGACCGGTTGGTCGGTATAATGCAATGGACGTTTGTTACTTATTCTTTCCATCTAAAACAGAAACCCATTTTCCTCCCCACAACTCTCCTACCATACCTGCCTGGACGTGATCGTGTTTGTGGGTGGATTACTGGAGACAGTGCCTGGTGTTGATAGGTGACGACACTGTGAGTGAGTGAGTGACATTGAGAACAAAAGAAAAAAAGAGAAAAAAAAAGGAGAAAAGAAAAGAAAGAAGGGAAAAGAACACTCGGTAATATATGCAGATATCTGCAGGTGTCGTGAGAATACCTACCTACCTACCTACCTACCTACCTACCTAACTTTGTTGGTACAAAACGGTAACGTAGGTAGGTAGGTAGGCAGGTACGTTAGTGAGTGAAATTTGTCTACTCCTTTGATGCGCAAACTCCCGTCCGTTTCATTCAGCCTTAAGTACAGGCTAGGTAGTGGTATTGGTATTCTAGGGGCACAGATTTAGGTTCGCAAGCACGCTTTGTTTGTAAATTTTTTTTTTCACCTTCTTTATGCTGCTACTAGACTAGACTAGACAATAATGGGATTTAGTTTGATTTGGGCTGGGGTTGGTTTGGTTTACTTTGAATTGTCAGTTGTGAGTTGAGACGTAGACGTAACGTATCTTGACTCGTCCTTGGCCGTTGTAAGGGAGAGTACTTTGAATGATGGGATGGGGACTATCATACCATAGGCATCGATCGATTGGAATCTGTTGGTTCGTTAGATCAAAACGTAGGTAGTGACATATAATTTCCGACAGATAGACATGTATATAGATAGTGAGCTAACAATGATCACCTGTTTGATTTATCGCAAGTTGAACATGTGAACGCAAAATTCATCCATATGAGAGCTTCGTTAAGGTTGGTGCGTCGAGCCGGACAAGACAGGGACATCAGGATTGGGGCTGTAGCCAATCAGTCAGTCACTTGGCCTTTCCAACACCAAGATCCATGTAGGCTTAATTTGTCCCAAATTCATCAGTCAGCCAAAAGGCGACATAGCAGCTGTATTGATTGCCGTTGCCGTTGCCGTTGTCCTGGCTGCGAAGTGAAATGTGAAAAGAGATTTGGGTCTTGCTGACTGTATGCAGATGTTGTGGAAAATAGGTATGAAGGACCAAACATGCCTCCAACGAGGGAGAAGCATATTGAGTTGTGTACGGTACGGTCTACTATGTAGAGATGAGTCGGTAAACATGCATCATGGACAAGTCTCTTGATGGTTCTCTTAACTGTGGTTTGGCGGTTAACTTGATAATTTCAGCCCAGTCATTCTTGGGCGAATCAGGCGCGTTTCTCTATATCTATACATAAACATCTCTGTTAAAGTGGAATGGATATCTAGGAAGAGTTGACGAAAAACATACTTTTGATAAGCCCGCAGTGTGGTCGAGTGTCCTGAGTGATGGTGCTTGAAGCTTCCGTTCCGTTATTAACTTTCCCTTATCTTATCAAGTATATGAACCCACATCTGCAGTAGACACGGCAGAAGACGTTCCAGCTAGGCTTTAACAAAGTTATATCGCAGGATCGTCGTAAAGCAAGACGAGAGACGACATAGTCGACGATATTGATTTGGCCGCTTACGCTGAGAGCCATTATCCGTGTTGACATAAGGCTGTACTCTTTGGGTCTGGTCCCCTTATCTTATCGCCAGGAACGCTGTTGACATTCGATAAGATCTACGTCTGGGATCAGTGGAATACGAATCTGGAGATTGGCATGGGAATGGAGTCATGGCCAGCAAGGTACAAACGAGGCTGTGCGAAATCAAAGTGAACGCGACTTGAGCGCGTCGCAAACGGAGATTGTGTTGACAACTCGGGGTGATGTTTGGGTTTCAAGAAACGCAGGTCAAGATGACGTCGTATCATGACAAAGTAAACAAACACGAGTCGTAAACACTAGCGCAAGTTGGAATCAGTAACAGGTAATTTGTCTTATCTGCCTTTTCTTGAGTTGTACCAGCTCGTCTTCCAAAACGGTGAGCAGGAACCTCAGGTCCGGGTATCAATCGACCATCAAGATCCGGGCGCGCTCTCGGTCGTAGAGTCGGATGTCTACTACGGTGGAAATCCGTCGCTTCAACAAGTGGAGAGCAAGCTTCCAAGTGTTTTTACTTCTTTTGCTCAAAAGCGCATCTTCATTGTCCGTGTAAAGCTACGCCGATGAACCGAACCCCTGATATCATAAGCCTCCCATAACCGAAGTCGTATGTGCGAGAAACCGTCGCAGACCCATGCAAGCTTTGGAAGAACAAATTGGAAACGAGAGGTCATGACCAAACCAGAAGAAAGCCCCCTTTCTTCGCTTAGTCGAAGAGACCGAAGCCCATATCCTCGTCGGACTCCTCCTTCTCTGTAAAGTGCAGAACGCAGGTTAGTAACTGGCAGCAGCAGCAGCAGCAGCAACAGCCCCGGGAAAGAGCTTGGGAGTAGATGATTCCACATACCCTCAACCTTCTCCTCAGCCTTGGCCTCCTCGGCGGCACCACCAGCGGCAGCGGCGCCAGCGGCAGCGGGGGCAGCGGCGGCACCACCGGAGCCGACGTTGGAAAGGAGGTCCTTCACATCCTTGCCCTCAAGAGCCTATTTTCGCAAAAGAGACTCCAGTCAGTTTATCGTGTTCGCGTTTCTCTCAAGATATCGTTTCTTTTTTTTCGGATTGTCGTCGTCGGTGGTTTCATCGTACCTTGGCGAAGAGGGAAGCCCAGATAGGCTCGACATCCTCGATCTTGGCAGCCTTGATGATGGTCTGGATCTTGTCGGCCTATATCATGCGAAAACGGGTTTGGTCAGTCAACATTGTTCCCCCCAATGTGCTTGTTCATATCACTCATTGTCCTCCACTCGGTTTGCCCCTCGTCCCATGTTTCGTCATTTGTCCCGGTCGTTGAAAGCGCATGTCGAGCAATAACCGCGTGTACATGGCGCGCCTGAATATGTCCCCAATTCCCGAATCCACCCAAATCTCGCCAAAAAGATCATGTGCATTGGTCGCAAACTCACAGTGATCTCAACGCCGTCATCGGCGAGGATGAGCGCCGCGTAGGAGGTAGCCAGCTCAGCAGTAGACATTTTGATGGTGTTGATTGTCGAGGCGCAAAGATGCTGAGTCTCGGGAGGGCTGTTCGATCGTGGGATGATGTCCTAGCTAGAAATTCGCGGGAAGTGAAATTTAATTAGTTGTGGGCAATCCAAAAAATGCCCTGGGACCCTACAAAGGCGGGCAGCTGGCAAGCGACTGGCAGCGGCTTGGAAGCCAAGACTTTTTTCGAGCTGCTTTCTGCTTTGTGCCTGGTCTGTGCACGCTGGGAGGAACAGCCCCACGATGTCACGGTCCAAACCACCTAGCGGTTCAGTTCGCAACCCGAACCCGAGGGTTGGTGGTAGGACTGGGTGCAGTGCTGTCGCACTTGTACCGGATCGGGACGACTGATGTTCCCCCACCAGTTGACCTGGAATTTGGGGAAGCACCTCGTCGATTCAGGTCAGTTTGGCGCCCAGCCTTGCCAAGACGAGTGCCCTGGTCCGACAAGCTTTCCGCCAGGCCTCGACCCTTGTCGCAACGAAGAACCCCACCATTCCTTTGGCACCACCATGGAGCTCCTTCGCCCCGCCGGGCGCTATTCATGCATCCACTGACGTCGCCGCTGTGGATTCGGGGCGCCATAGGCCTCTTCTCCTGCCGTAGCGGAGTGCCTGCCGACACGCCAGCCCGTCCCGTCGGGTGTCTCTGAGAAGCATCCATCTGCACCTATTTCAGCACTCACTCCAGCAATTCCGCAAGAACCAACAAGAGTGAGATCAACAAGGGAAAGCGCACGAATCAGGAGGCAGCGTTCATCACTATTGTCAACTCCTCCGTTGGAAAGGGGAAATAGAGATACTTGGAGAAAGGCCATCAACAACTGGACTTCCAACCCGCACTCTTTGCCATTGTTGAGGCGCATTACATTACATACTCGTCGGATCAAAGAAAGCTTGACTTGGACAAGGAATCGCCCGTTTCCAACATTCATTCCCTTGCTCCGGCAACACCACCATCCTTTTCCCAATTGCTTGGCTGCGTCTTTCCCTTCTCAACAATCCTTTCGCGCCTTTTCTTTTCCTTCAACCAACATCGACCCTCGAACGGCATCCAAGCAACGAAAACGAGCCAACTCTCGGACATCGCAACCGACTTCACCGACTTTTACCCATAAACACCCAACACAAAACAACACATCACAACAAACACATAGCGACAATGGAGACTCCGGCGATGCCCATGCCGAAAGATGAGCGGGAACAAGCCATTCTCGACAAGCTCTCAGCCATCCGCGATCAGCTGCTGCTCCTCAAGAGAGACCGAACAAAATACATCCGCACTCAGGATGTGATTGTACACTATGATCAGGTTGTCGAGCAGGTCAAGGAACTCAACGAGATTAGGAAAGGGGAAAAGGTGACCGAGACCAGAGGTACGCCCATCCTCCATAACAAGCTGCCAATTGAACAAGGAAAATCTAACACAACCCCCCATAGTCGACAGAGTCCTTGAGAGCTGCCTACAGCTCCTCTCCCTCTTCTTCATGACCATCGGCCGCACACAAGAAGCCCCTGCCGCCTATGCTTTGACCTCGACCATCAAGCGATTACTCGACCACCTGACCGAGGCCGACCTCTACTCAGCCAAAGACCTGAACAGCATAGCCCACACCCTCTCGCAGCTCGACAAGATCATGACAGCCTCGGACCCCTCCGCCCACTCGCCCTACATTGTCGAGCTTTTGGCCAACCGGCTGGAGCTCTGCCACAGCTCGCTGGATAACCTGAAGAAGAGGGTGGACGAGCTGCAGGACCCGCTACAGAGCATGCATGAGAGGCTGATCTCCATACTACGGTCCATGTCACTTGCGAACACCAAGGCCAAGGTAAGGACGCACAAGGGCGGACGGATACGAGAATGGTAAGCTAACAGGTTACACAGTTTTCAGCATCCGAGGTCCAGAGGCTACAAGCGCAGGTCAAGGAGATTGACGAGTCGAGGGTGGATGGCAACTTTGTCGGGCCAGACGGCCAGGTTCTTCGCGGTAGCGAGAGGGTATCGCGCCTGGTGGATGTCTGCCTCAGGTGGTCTGACATCGTTCTTGAGAGGTACGTACAACTATCCCACATACCATTGCCAGCCAGTTTCTGACCCCCACCTAGGAAAGGAGTTATCCCCGAGGCCTTCAAGGCTAGGCACGAGCAGCTTGTCAGCATCCGCAATGAGCTCGAGAAGCTGTCCATCACCCAGGCCTGGTCACTGCGCGAGACGGATCTGTACGACTACCAGCGCAAGCTCGACAAGATAGATGAGAGCCGAGTGGATGGCAACTGGCTGGACGACGAAGGAAAACCCGCCGAGCTGTACGTCCAGCGTACGCTGCTGTACCTCATCAGGAGGAGCTATGGCTACATTTACTACCTGATGATCTCGTCGGAGCCGGTATCGGAGGCCCTACTGCCCATCTATAACCAGCTCCAGACGCTGAAGCGGTGCCTGATCGAGGTGAAGGACTCGGGCGGTGTCAGCTCGGTCAGGGAGCTGTATCCCTACAGCATGAAGGTATGTTTGTCATTCTTTACCCCATGGACACTGGACATTGATTAACATTGGCTTATAGCTCAACTCCATTGACAACATGCGCGTCGATGGCAAGTTCATGGTCGGCGGCGATATACCCGAGGGCCAAGGGAGCGTCAGCGCCTTGCTGGCTGAGTGCTACGATCTTTCCTACGAGTTGAAGGTCATGGCTGAAGAGATGGAGGAGAAGGAGAAGGATAGCTCCTCGTAATCGATCGACCCTGAGCGAAAGTTTCGATATCATAGACTTGAGGGCTTTACGGCATTTTGTACTGAATAGTTGTGGTTTCCTTTTTTTTCTCATCCAGCGGCGTCTGCTTTTACTTATACACATTATGGGATGTTGAAGCGAAAGGACTCTTCACCACCAGATACGCTGCATCATTTCTCTATTGTTGGCTGACAAGCTAGCAGCTAAAACTTGACTTTTTCTGTGTTTGTCTGGCGACGAGATCGTTACGGCTGCTCTCTCCCCTAGGAGCATGAAAAGGCGCGTGAAGGCTTGGTGCGATCACGGTCACGGCTTCTGTTTGTCAAGTGCTTGTTGTTTTGTCAAAGAAGGTTCCATCTAACACATCTCACGTCTTCAATTGTCCGTTTAGTCCACGTTCATGATATCTCTGGGGTCTCTGCTGTTTCTCCAACGACAATCGCTTCCGTATTGCATACATATCCATTGAGCGAGCCGCACCCCCTCGCTTCTTGCTTGCTACCAAGTCTTTTCTATCTCGTTTTGACCTCCCATTCATCACTGCTGCAGAGGAAAAATCAAACCAATGGAAAAAAAAAAAAAAAAAAAAAAAAAAAAAAAAAAAAAAAAAAAAAAAAAAAAAACGAAGGGAAGAGGAGAGAACGAAAGAAGAAAATTAAAAGGATAGTGTCAGTAGCAGAGCACAACTATACATGCGCCTCGGGAAAACCCCCACGTGTCAGTTGGTATTCTGCAACCCCATCCATCCCCGCGTCTTTGCTCTTACTCTTGCTCAAAAGAGAATTCTTATGTGTGACCGTACCGTGACATTGGCAAACCGAATAAGTGAGGGAATGAGTAGAAACACGGGAAGGGGAAGACGGACGGATCTCTTTCGTTGACGGGGAATATGGAAGGTGGCACGGTGACGGTGATATTGAACGGTCTAACACGTGGATGATTTCACTGAGGCAGGCGGGGGGAAAAGAAAGAAAGATGTAGTCATGTAGTTAAGAGCAGGATGGTGCATGGGCAACGGCAAGGGGGTATAACTACTATGCTTGATGGATGAAAGATGTTGACTTAAGGTTCGAGAAATTGAGGTTATCGACATGTGTCTGTCTATGGTTTATCTGTAATTTACATATCGTCATTGACGCAACTGCATGCATGAATATGGTGTAGTAGATTTTATTTCAAAGCAAGTAATATTGGTATCAAGCTATATCGACTAACTGACGTGAACATCAATCATCAAAAGGAGAGACAAAGACAAAATTCATTACACCCACCACCACCATCTTTGACATCAACACACAACATGTCAAACATGAAGCCATAGAAAAAAGCATAACGTCGTATCTAAGTATCAGGTGACCAAAAGGTAAAATCATAAAGAAGAGTATCCAAAGCAAGAAACTGAAAGAAAAGAAAGACATGACAATGTAAGAAAAGGATCATTAATCATCATTAGTCATCATCCTGTCCCATCCCATCGGTGACCATCATCTTCGTCCATCGTCATCATCATCCCCGCCCATCATCAACACCATACTTAGAAGCCAACATCAACTCGTCAGACATTCAACACCATCATCACCACCACCACATCACCAACAGCAACCTCAACTCATCGCACCCACCCACCCCCTTAATCAAACCCCAAGTTTCGCCATCCCCATCCCCATCCTCCTCCTGCTCCTCCTCTTCGGCCTCGTACTTTCAACCTCCCTTCCCCTTCCCACTCCCACCTCACTACCCTCCATCAACCGTCCACTCAACAACCCCATAACCAACCCCGTCCAACTTCCTTTACCCTCCAACACCCCCTCCACCTTCCTCACGATCCTGTCTACCGCCTGCGCGTCCGTCCCGCTGACTCCCCATTGTCCCGTACCAGCTATTTGCTTGAGTCCGTTCCCGTGGTGATCATGGTAGATGAACTCGCCTCTTCTAGAGGAGTAGAGTTTACCATTGCGGGGATCACGAGAATCCAACGGTTGGCCGTCGGGTGTGAATCGGTCTGGGAGGATTTCGAGGGTTGCGTCGCTGTCGGAGTTGGAGTCGTCCTTGTGACGGGTTGAAGGAGGGCGGTCACGGCGAGATAAAGCGTTGGAGGAGGAAGATTCATGAGCAGGGACAGGGGTAGAAGAGGAGCGGTATTTAGCGGGCACCAAAGCGTTGAGTTCTCTGTCTAGACGGTCTTCAAAGTCCGAGACGTCCGAGGTATCTTCATCGGGGTCGACGCCCGAGCCCGAGGTGATGCGCTTGGCGGTTTCTTTGGCCATTTGCTCTTCGTGGTGGCGCTGGAGGGTCTGAGAGGATTTGGGGGAGAGGGGGATGAAGGTTACGGATTTGGAGTTGTTGTTGTCTTTGGGGGTAATTGGTGTGTGAGAAGGGGAGTCGGTCTCTGAGAAAGAAGAGGAAAAGGAAGAGTCGGTTGGTGTGGGAGGGTGGAGAGTGGTGGTTAGACTTAGACCATCTGTGAGAAAAGGGCTGTTAGTATCGTTGTCTAAGAGCGGTCATATTTGGGTAGAACAGGGCGAGGAGTGAAAGGGGCAGAAAAGGAAGGGGCAGCACGAAACAAGCAACTCAAAAACAATAGCCAAGGAAAAGTGATCAAGAAAACGCACCCTTCTCTCTTATCATGCCACTGCCACTGCCGCTGCCACTATCGGCACCGACATCAACGACACCAGCACCTCTCGACCGCCTAGGCCTTGACCTAGACATGTGCATCGAGCGGTGGCGGCGGCGTTCTTCTCGGTCTTCCCTCCTGCTCCTCTCATCACCCAAACCCGTAGTAGGGGACCTTGGCATATCTCTAGAAGATCTGATACTCACATCTTCAGGACGGTTCCTCCCAATCACCGACTGCGACTGCGACTGCGAAAGATGCGATGGCGCACCCACCATCAGCGAAGCGGGTACCCCTTGAGGAGCCCTCAGTGCTGGGGGAACTTCTTGCGGGGGAGGAACTCCCTGGGGAGCAGAAGCGGGAGGTGGTTGTGCTGCAGCAGCTGAAGCGCCTTTGCCCGGGACAAGTACCGATGGTACTTCGGGACCTGGAGGGGGAGGATAGCTAGCAACGTATTCTCGTGGATTGTACGGTTGGTATTGCTGCTGTAGTTGCTGGACCGGTTGTTGTCGAACTGGTGCTGGTCCCCGTACAGGCATCGGCATCGTCTCCGGCCCCATCGGGTATGGTGTTTGGATATTATTCAGGTCAGTGAAGTTGATGTTCGGAAGTTGCGTGAACCCATTTGACAAGCGATGCGGCTGTAGTTGTGGTGGTGTAGCTGTCGGAACAGAAGCGGCAGCAGAGGCGATAGCAGGAGGAGTTGGAGGTACTGGGGGATATCCGCCTGACGCGTGAGGAGGCGAGGGTTGCCGCTGCTTGTAGTAAGGGTCGGATGGAGCGGTTTGTTCCTCGTAGCCTGTGTTCTCGTTAGGATCGATGATTCCAAGAAGAACCCCACAGAAAGACTGATGATAAGCAGAAACATCACTCACGTCGACGTTCGCGTTCCCTCTCCCGTTGTCTTTCCATCCTCTCTCTATCGCTATCCCTACTGCTTCGTCTCTCCTCCAGCCCAATCTCCCTCTCCTCTCTCTCTATCTCCCTATCCCTTCTCTTCTCCCTTTCTCTCTCTTTCTCCCTTTCCTTTTCTTTTTCTTTCTTATCGATATTATTCTCACCCAACTTCTTAATCCCAATAGCTGCTGCCCCCGCGGCGGCGGCGCCAGCAGCCAGCCTTCCTAACCGACTCTTACTCCTCGCCGGCTTCTTCTCTGGACTCCTGCTCTCCTTCCTTTCCCTCTCTCTCCTCGAGTCCCTACTCTTCGCCCTGCGTCTTCTCATCCTCTCCGCTTCGCTATCCTCACTATCAGAGTAATAACCAACTTCCTCCTCCACCTCCTCTCTCGCTCTCGGGACCAACAGCGCACCACCTCTCTCCTCATCTCTCTCCCTCTCTCGCTGTCTCCTCCTCATACTCCTCTCGCGACGGCGTTCTTCCTTTCTCGCTCTCTGCTCCTCCGCCGCCGACTCGTACCCCGTGGCAATCCCGTTATCATCGTAGTCTTCAACAGCAGATAGTAACTGTGGCGTCGGCGGTGGTTCCTTGTCGCGTTTATGTCTTTCATGTTTTGCCGCTGCCGTAGCCGCAGCAAGCGCTGCCTTTCTCTTACTATGCGGCTGCTGTTGTTCATTCTGAACGGGCACGGGGTTCGTTCCGTACTCAACCAAACCTAAGAATTCAGGATCATCAGCGACGGTCCTCTCGAATTGGGCATGGTTATTCTTATTAGAAGAGGAAGAGGGTAATGCGGACCGGACTTGGCTTCTGCTCCTACTTCTGGACCTATAAACGCGTTCGCGGCGAGCGTATTTGTGGTCGAGGTCGTCGTCGTCGTCATAGTACTCACGGTCACGGGAGTCGTCGGGGACGTGGCGCGAGCGCGAGCGCGAGTGCTCCTTCTTTTCCTTGTGCTTGTCGTACATCTTCTTGGCTGCGGCACCGGCTACGCCAGCGGCGACAATCTCGGCTCCGGTCTTCAGCTTCGAGTGGTGTCCGCTGCGATCGCTGCTGGAGCTGCGGGATCGCGAGCCATGGCGGGACTTGCTGCGTTTGTGGCGGTAGTGCTGCACAACACCGACGGCGGCGGCGGTACCGAGGGCCGCCTTGGCTACAGAACCAGCGCGGGACTTGGACCGCTTGCGGCTGGGCGAACGGGAGTAGTCACTCTCGCTGTAGCGACGGGCAGGGCGACCGCGCTCCGCCTCCTCCTTTTCGACCTTCTTGGATTCGTAGTACTTGGCGGCACCAGCAGCGGCCAAAGCCACAGCGGCGATGCCCAAGCCCGTCTTGATGCGGGAGTGCGAATTAGAGCGCGAGCGAGAGCGGTGGCGGTGCTCGTCGTCCGAGTCATCGTGGCGTTCCTTGTAGGCGCTGTGGGCGCGGCGGACGGCTTCGGTGCCCAGGGCGCCTAGAGCAGCGCCGGCGACGATCTTGCGCCCGCGGTGCTTGTCTACCTCACCTGTTTCCTTGTCGCGCCGCGAGGCGATCAGAGCAGAGACGCCGGCACCGGCGAGAGCGCCCTCGGCAATGTGGCGCTTGCGGTGGGGGCTGGCGGAGGAGGAGCGGCTACGGCTGCGACGCTCGTCGCGGCGGGAAACACGGGTGTAGTATTCGTCATCTTCGTGGCGGTGATGAGAGCGCGAGTGGGAGTGGTGGTGACCGTCACGGTGGCGGCTGTGGCTGTGGCTGTGACTGTGACTGTGACTGTGGGGGTGGTCGTCGATGTGCTCGACGATGTACTCCTCCTTGGTCTCCTCGACGACGTAGGGAGCAAAATCATCGCGACGCTCACGGAGGACCACCGTGGGAGGAGCAGCCTCTTGAACAATGATCCTTTGCTCGGCGGGACGTTGACGGATGACGATGGGCGGCTGTGGTGCAGGCTCGTAGTACTCGGTTTCCTTGCGGTAGATCTCGACGTCGGCACCGTGGTCGTGATCGATGTGTTCACGAATCCGGCGCTCCAGGATGACCTCGGAGCCGTCCTCACGGCGCTCTACCTTTCTCTCCACACGCACCTCCGCATCTCTCTCGGCATCGTAGTAGGAACGGCGCTCCCATCCGTCGTTGTCCCTGGTTCGGCTGGAATCGTGACGATAGTGGTAGTCATCGTCGTCGCGGGTAACCAGACGCTTCTCGACCACAGTGCGCTCGCGATCCGGGATGTTGTCGCCATCCCAGTCCTCCGTCTCTCGGTACCGGCGCTCGACGTAGGTACTGCCCTGGCCGGCGGTCGATCGTGGCCGGTCAGGATAGAGACGGTCGTCTCTACGATCAAGAACAAGCTCGCCGCCGGTGGGACGGCCAAAGAAGCGGCCGTCTAGACGGGCACCCTGGCGGTCATCGTCGATAACGTCAATCTCGCGCTCATAAACTCTCTCGTGGCTGTGGCTCGGCGCATGCTTGTAACGGCGGGAGCTTGACCTTCTGTAGCCCTCGTCGCCCGAAGGAGAAGAATCCCGGGAGTACCGGGCTTCGCGGTAGACCTGGGCCATGTTTCTCTTGTATCTGAATTCCGATGAACGGGTGGTCTGAGCTCTTGTGTAATCCGGGGATGGTCAAAGTAGGGAAATATCCACTATAGCTGTTAGAGCGTGTGAGTGTTTGTTTAGTACGTTCAGGGGTTAGAGATCGATGTTTACCACGAAAACAACAACAACAACAAAACTCCAAAGAATTCAAAGTTTGGGTATCTGGTTAAGTCGCAAAGTAAGAAAAGATATGGGAAGAGTCGATATTTAGAGCAAAGTCAAGCAAGAAAAGAGAAGTGGGATAGGCAGAGCGGCTGAGTCCTTGGTATAAGAGCAAGAGCCGGGGGGTCAAGTGGGCAAGGAGGGGTGCTATACGGGACCGAGTGGGAATGGTGGAAAGGGTGGGAATGGGGATGGCTGGGTGGGGCTCCGTTACGTCGAACGACGGTGAGCAGGTCTTGGTATGTGAGACCGTATTCTCTCTGGCTGGGATAGTCATACATACTACGTAGGTTTATGCCTCGAGATGGTCAAAGTTTGATCAGGCAACCTGTTTCTTGTTCGTGGTCCCCTGGCCGGCTGCAAGCCAAGGTACAAGTATCTTTGTGTGGGCACATGTCGGTACTCTTTTTGCGTCTCTTCGTAGGGCCGACGGCAGTTCCAGTCATTCCATGCTTGTGGAAACCAACCAGAAGATACGATGATCTGAACGAAGCTGTTGGACACAGAAACGTTGAAAAGTTGGCCCACGTTTTCATGGCGGCGCAAGTGTACCTGCGTGGAAAATCGCCAAATCATGGCTTTCACATGGCTTTTACAAGGCTGGCCAGCTCGAGCGTTCTGGAATCTTTTGTGTTGGCCCATAGGCAGTTGAAAGCTTGTGAGGGTCTCATCAAAGGGTTCGACAGTCTGAGTCTAGATGACGTTCGCATCCGTTTGTTGAGAAAGGGAGGTATGAGACGAGTCACTTTGACAGGCGGACATCAACCCGTCTTACACATGTGATTCATACCAACAGTCTAAACCCTTCAGCTGGCTGGTTAGGCAACGTCGAGATGTGCTCTTGTCTTGTCTGACAAAAGGCCCAACAGCAAAAAGGCCCTGCATTTTCCGTGACATGAAGCCGTCCTGCTAGCGGCCGGAAGAGACCCTTTCTGCATACATAGTTGAGTGATCAGTGGGTATACGTAGGTACTTGTCTCACGGTGGATATTCTTCCCAGGAAGCAGATCAGGAGATGGCGGCGTCCAGAAAGCCTTGGAAGTGTGACTGCTACACACAGATACGGTGCTTATTGAGAAGATGATACTCTCTTGTCGCTGTAGGTTCTCGAACACAACAGGAGGCAACTCTAATGCTTTCTGTAGGGTACCGAGAGAGGGTAAGGTGTTCTCTGTAGGTATCCGTGTCTCTTGGAGTCCTGGCAAGGCTACCTTTTGGAGAGATGTCGTGGTGTGGTACCAATAGTAAGTACCCACCTATATGTCCTTTACTACAGTTCGGGACTTGTAAAACCGGGAGAAACTTTTTGTTTCACCTGAGACGGACCCTGTCTTTTTCCTGAACAGTCTTGTGACCCGATCAGCACGAGGATGTGTGTACAGAAACGAGTCCAGTGGTTTGTTTGTTCGAGTCCTCTGTGAGAGGAAAACGGTGACTCCTCCATCCATGCCTCCCTTGGACGAGAACGAAGTCTCAAGCAGGCCGCGGCGGCGGATGACCCTCGACGGTGACTTGATGTGCAGGGCACCTGACGAGATGTTTTTTGGTTGGATGTTGCTCAGGTCTGCCCCTCCCCCGCTTCTGTTGTTGCCGTCATCACTCATTCTTCAGTCTTCTGAATCCCTTCGTAATCCTTCGTTTCTTGATTCCCTAATTCTACCGAGGGCGTCGATGGAAGTTATCCATATCCGGCGCATAATGCATCTTGCATTTCTCTTCGGATCGCATGGAGCTTGTTCGGGCCTTCGGGTTGAAATGGAGAGACGAATGTGGACAAGTGATGCGCTGAAAATGACTTGCAGCAGGGGACTCTCCGTCTCACACACACACAAACAAGCCCGCCCAGGCACCTGGCAGCAAGGCCCACTTTTCTTGGCCTGCCGACGCTTGTGCCCAAGAGGGGGGGCATTTCGTCATCGGTCAACAGGCCAAGGAAACCATTCCATGCGAAGTCCCGTCCTGGTCTTTGGTCTTCCATTCTTTACCACCTTTCAGTTTCATGGCCACAACCAAGAATTCAACCTTCCAGTTTGTTGACAAGATCGTGTCTCGGAATATTCTTTACTAGCACCTTCTTCTGCGCTCGAAGGGGGAAGGACATCCAGCCGATCAGGGCCTTACCCTTCGATGATCTTTCACCTCGCTCCGTTTCATCCTTCCTCTCCCCCGTCCACCCAACATCATTCCGTTTCTTCTCCATCGTGTGGATTCCGCTGACGGGAGATCACCACCACAACTCTTTAAATGACCCCTGCCCCGTTTCGTTGTCCACCAACAAGTGGCTGAGGCATTGTTGAGCGAACTCAGCCTCTCTGGGGCTTCTACATAGTGTACACCACAATGTGCTCAGCCCGACCTCAACTACGTACAACCACTGACATGCCGATGTTTTGTGAAACTTGCCAAACCACATGGACATGCCGACATTCCCGCCGCGTGAGCGCCCACGAGCACGAGCCGAGCTACGAGCGAGCGAGCGAGCGAGCAGCGGCTTGAGCGGCATCGATGTTTCTTGGCAGATCACTGGAAGCGAAAGCCCAAGAGTGACGAAACGGAGGGGACTTGGCGAAACTTCCAGAGTTGAAAAGCTCCGAAAGAACGGCCTTAAAATCCCCGAAGCCGCTGACATGCCCCTGGACCTCTTCACCCAGAAAAAGTGGGGAAAAGCTCATTAGTACGTTGACATTCTCAGTCTACACTATACCTGTTGTCTTTGTCGACCACAGCACAACCACACAGAGAGAGAGAGAGAGAGACCTGAATGATGTGCAATGTCAACGTTTCCTATTACCTGATCGTGGAAGAAACATCATCCGCGAATGAAGTTATAAGCTCTAGAATTTCTGACAATCAGTCCTCTCTCTTTATTCACAACAACCTGTTGCCCTCCCCATGTCATGAAACAACCTTGATGAGAACAATCGTCTTTTTTTGCTAACCACAAGCCTTGTCTGCCTATCTAAGGTACCATCCAAACGGACAGCTACCAAATCGCCAGATAAGTTGTGTTTTTCCTTCTTTCCTTCTCTCCATGTCATATATTGCTGACGCTTCCTTCCCTCCAATACTTATCTGCAAGCACTACCTATCTCTGGGTGGCACTCTTCATCAAAAGCAGCTGCTTCATCAAGGGAACAGAGCTGAAAGGAGGTGAAACCTTGACTCCAAGCTACACGGCTGTATACTTACTTCCGTTCCCTGACGGCTGATCCCGAAAACTCTCAATCGTCAATACAAACCCATTGTCACAACCACGGCATCTTCCTTACTGCGGTACCTGTTCTGTACTAGATGATGACGGCATGTGCCTGACTGATTGACTGACTTCCCGTCTCCCCTCGTAATCTAATCATTGGGTGGCGCTGGTGTCGGGCTCTTTGTCTGGAGACCGTTAGGTATCAATCAATCTTTGATGATGACACACAATAGGGTTGTGTAACTATAAGCGGAAACTGGCTGAAGTGCTACTGAAGAAAAGAGACAATAGACTAGGTAGCTGACCATGTAGAGGGCAAATACACTCAGAGTAGAGAATAAAACGAAGATTTGACTAGATAGCTTTCTGAGCCTCTGTCATAGCTTAATGAAATAATAACAAGTGGATGAAAGGATCTGGATAGATGAGGACTGTATTCAGAGAATTCTGGATACCGATAAAGATACCTCCACGCATTCACTGGCCTACAAATCTGGATATCCTTGCATATTATCAAGTATTGGTATTTCCATCCTACAGTCCTACAGTCCTACTGGCCTCCTAGCATAGCATAGCCTAGCCTAACATAGCATAGCATAGCATAGCATAGCATAGCATAGCATAGCATAGCATAGCCCGCTCGTTATACCCGGAGCAATTTGCAGAACCGGTTGTAATGAACACACCACAAAGAGACCCGCATCAGCTCGTCCACCTCACCTCACCTCACCTCACCTCACCTCACCTCACCTCACCTCCTCCCCTACGAGCAAGACAAAACCGAACCCCGAACCCACGCGTGTTTGTTCTCTTGTCTTCTTCCTCTTCCTGCGCTGCCTACTTCAGATCCTAGAATACACCCCTGGGCCTGCCACTCTATCCACTACCCCCGACGACAAAGGGAATAAAGACAAAGTTTTTAGTAGTGAGTGAAACGATATATGAAAACCGAGAAACGAAAAGAGAAAAAAGGACAGGAAAGGATTACGTTGTTGTATTGTGTGAAACCCCAGGCGTACTGGAGGAGCAGCAGCCTTCGCGATGACAAGAAAAAAAATGGAACCGGGTGTTTCGTTGCAGCACTAGAAGAAGATATAGGCCAGCAGGAAGCTAACCAAGCAGAGGACCGCCGCAATCTGGACTGGCACTCCCTCAGTGCCTTGCCTCGCTGATTGCGCGAGGTCCTGAGCGGTCGCCTGTACGTTCGACGCCTGCTCGCCCACCGCGTCAGCCACAGCCGCCTTCCTCTGTCTCAGGCCGCTGGCGGCGTCGTTCTGGAGAGATGCGATGGTCGCCTGGGCCTTGGCCAACTGTTCCTTCAACTGCTCGTACGTCTCGGAAGCGGTATGCTGTGCTGTCGATGCGACGGCGGCAACAGTCGACTGGAAGTTGTCGGCGACGTCGGGCTCTTGTTTAATATCGCGGGTGTCGACCGTCGAAGACCGGGTCTCGCTGGGCGATGTGAAAGGAGCAGGGGTCTCCTCGGCCTGCGCATGTGAAGGTTAATTTTATTTTCTTGATGGTCCGTTGCCAGGGGGGTATGTAGGCGAAAGGTAAACGTACCCGGCTCGAGGTCGAGGGGCGGATAGGGGTGGCAGCCACGGGGGAGGTTGTCTCCTCTCCAAAGGGTGGCAGCCAGAGCACGCGAATCTTCTTCTCCTGAACCTGGGACTTGTCGACACCATCCCACTGTATGACGTATTTGTCAGCACTCATTTTCGTCCTCCTCTGTTTGAGTTATACGCACAATCTGGGCAACGTTGGTGAACTCCTTGTCACCGGTGATGGCGACGGATTGGACAAGGAACTTGTCACGGCATCGGGCGTCCGAGGGGGGCTCCTGCTTCATGGCCTGGAGGAGGACTGAAAGGGAAGTTAGTCACGAGACCATAGGTTTGGACATGGTGTCGGCGGTTCGTGGACTGACCGGAAACTTCGACATCGTGACCGGGCTCAATGCGACCCGAGTTGGGGCGGACGCAGTATCTGAAGAGGGAGTTGGTAAGTGTCTGTATCCTTGGACCGGTGATTCGTTTGCGCTACGGCGCATTGCTGAGGAAGGGACGTAGACGTACTGCTTGGGGGCGGTGGTTTTGACCTGTATGAGGGCAAGTTAACACATGTGTCGAGCGACCCTCAACCACCACGACCAAACGCGTGTTGATGTCCACACATACCTTGAAAGCAACCGGAGAGGTATTGGGATTCCTGATCCTGAGGATCTGCGAAACCTCCACAGTAAAGGGCCCTAATTTCTGGTCAGACGATGGGAGATTCTAGAGAGAATCTGGGCCGATGGTGCTGTTTGCGAAGGGACGACGTACTGCGGAAACCCAGCTCGAGGGGATCGATTTCGACGGACATGTTGGCGATCGGTTGGGCTCTACGTGGTTTGGTGGTTTTGGGAAAATCTAGAGCGACTTGGATTTCGCGATGGGATGACGGGAAATGTTGCCGGGGGATTATTGGCCGTCCCTAGTATGCCCGGTGGGGGGGAAATAAAGGGATGGGGGATGGAGTTTGACGTATTAGACAGGTTCGCGAAATATGCCAGACAAGGGCAATGTGAATCTGATTTATCGGGCCAGACAGCGAGACCGCGGAGAGTTCAGTAGTCGTCGTCACAAGAAAAAGTTAGGTAGCAGCCCAGGGTGTAGAATGGACGGTATTGTGAGGTGTGGTAAAATACAAGAAGAAGAAGCTGGAACCTGGAGTGATAATATTACGAAGACGAGAGAGGGAGATGATGTGTTACGACATTCAACAGTGACGGCGGTCCGACGCGCGCTGGACAGACCAACCTAGTGTACCTAGCCTAGGTAGGTGTTTCCAGGAGGGCGCCAGCCAGGCGACGAGACTGCAAAAATGCCCGGATTCAAGCCAAGACCCAACCGAGCCAAGAGCATAAAGGTAGGTACCTATCTGGGTCCGTGCTGATCTCATACTGGACCCCAACCCCGGCAGAGGAATGAACTGGACCTTTAGAATCTCAAAAGCTCCCACAGCAGCTCTTTCCCGACCCGAATGCTATGTCCTCTGCCTGGCCGGGCGAGCCTTCGGTTGGATAGGTAGACGGGGTAGGTTGTCGCGTGGGGTCCACGTATCTCTACTGAAATTAAGGGTCAGAGTCTCCCGGAGAAACAGGTGATGCCGACTGTCATTTGGCCACAAATTGGGCAATTGTCAGTTTGTCACTGGCCATTTCCAGCTGCCGGCAACGCTGGCACCACTGTCAAAGCAACCCACCCAACGGACAAGGGTGTTGTGTTGTGTTGTGTTGTGAATGACGTGCCCCGGGCAGCCTGGCCATATCGCGAAGCGTTCACTTTATTGATGACGACGGCGACGACAATAACAATAACAACAACAACATTCAGGTGGACAGTCTGAACATTGTTGGAAGAGCAAGACGATATCCTCAAGTTGGGCTTATAAAAAAAAGGTCAAATTGTTCGTCTGTTGAAACCTGGCAGCGTTTTAGTGCAGGGAATCGCTACTACCCGTCCGTCTGCTTCTATCCGAACTGTTGACAGCTTCGCATCTTTTGATTGAACCCCTCCTTATGGTAGTGTACTTGACTGCACCACTTCCAAGTTGCCACTATTTCATCCCCAGCAACAATCTACTATAACATCCAGGACCTATCCCGTCCACTCCATTTGAACACCTAATCTATAGTAGCAACCATATCTTTCTCGTCAACCAACCAAATCAAAAATCATTAAAATGGGCCAAACAGATCTCGAGGTTCTGATCGACATGGGCTTTGAGCGCGCCCGCGCCGAGCTCGCCGTCAAGAAGTCCGGTGGCTGTTAGTCCTCCCAAACGCTTACCTTTGTGACGCGAATGTGATGTTGACAAGTAGCAGTGCAAGGAGCCCTCAACTGGCTCGAGGAGAGCCAGGACAAGTCCTTGGAGGAGCTGCAAGCCAGCGCTGCCTCTGCCGCCACTGCCAAGGCCGACGACGACGAAGAGGATGATGGCTCCCCCATTCCCGAGGGCGCCAAGTCCCTTGTTTGCAACGATTGCGGCAAGAGGTTCAAGAACGGAGATCTTGCCGCCTTCCATGCTTCCAAGACGTCAGTCTCTTTACCAATGTGTCCGTGTTTGTGGCACCAAGCTAACTCTACCATAGTCAGCACACCGACTTCTCCGAATCTACCGAAGAAATTGCTCCTCTAACGGAGGAAGAGAAGAAGCAAAGGCTGGAGGAGCTCCGCCAAAAGCTCGCGGAGAAGCGGGAGAGGCAGGCACTTGTTGACAAGGAGGAGCAGAAGCGCAATGAGGTACGGTCAGACCATTCCCAGTTCGCATTTAAAACATGCTAACAAACATGCATAGCAAATCAAGCGCAAGGCTACCAAGGAATCACAAGACATGAAGGAGGAGCTCGCGCGTAAAGAGCAAATGAAGGAGGCTGCTCGCAAGCGCCAAGAGAAGCTCGACGACATCGAGGCTAAGAAACGCATCAAGGCCAAAATCGAAGCCGACAAGGCCGAGAGGAAGCGCAAGGAGGAGGAAGCGAAGGCGCTTCGCGAGGGTAGAGCTCCGGCCGCTCCTTCAACCGCCCCTGCTGCCGCCGCCGCTGCGCCGGCTGCTTCGAAGCCGGCTGCCTCCCACAATGAAGCTCGTCTGAGGTTGCAGACTGCCAAGGGAAACGTTATGAAGACACTGGCCGCGGATGCCACACTGTTTGAGCTTGCTCAGCAGTTGGAGTCGGAGAACGGAGTCCCGGTTGCGAGCTTCTCTACGACGTTCCCCCGGAAGACGTGGCAAGCTGGAGTAGACTTTGGCCAGACGCTGAAGGAGGCTGGGTTGGTTCCCAGTGCGGTGCTCATTGTCAATTAGGGTGGACGAGTACCTACTAAGTGCTTGAAAGTAAACTGGGGTGGGGGGGGGGGGTGGTCATAGTATGATCTCAAGCGGAGTTGAAACGCCAGAGCGGGAAAAAGAACGGATACGTCTAGAAGCTGCTTTACGAATGATGAAAAAGAAGTCAAAGTGCCAGTCAAACAATCTTCTGTGTAATTGTTATGCCAACTGTGATTTCTAGACATGTCGTTCGTAGTGCAGATAGGTATGTACCTCTACGGCCACATTAAACCCACGCTACGCTAGACCCACCATCTCCGGATTACCCCGGAGGATACAGTTCAATGCTGGTTTGACTGTTAGCTCGAGACCTAGTATCAACATCCTTAGACGTACTATATTTAGTTGATTCGTGGCATTACTCGGCGAAAGTGGAATTGGATACGAATATGCTTTTTTTCAGATAAAATATAACACATTACACCTTGTTGATTGGTTTGAGACAATACAGATCGGATCTCATCCAATTTCGCAGAAATATCCCTGGGTAACGAGCTAACAAATACACTAGCACCAGATTGTACTCCGTGGCAGTGCAACTAGCAACCAAAGTAAACAAAAGCCAACCTCTTCGGCTTCCTTCGTTGAGACGCTGTAACATTTAGCTCGGGTATTATCCCGTATACCTACCTAGCTAGTACAGTAACCCCTCCTTTTTTTTTCTCGCAACGCACGCAACTTTTGTACCGAACGTATCCGTCCTTGATTCCAGTACTGACTTATCTCTATAAGTCAGACCACAACAACCATGGCCTCCTCCTCCTCCTCCCGATCTCGCACCCTCCAACTCGGACAAGCTCTCCACAGCAGCTTGAACAGCCGCTTTAGCCGCCGCCCATCATCATCTTTCTTTCTCTCCTCCACGTTATCATTCTTCAACCCTTCAACCACCGTTACGAACCCCAATTCATCATCACCCCGCATCTCCAACAACTTCTTCTTTAGTCAGAGACATCATCATATCCGAACAATGGCTACCTCTACTACTACCACCGCCGGAAAGAAGATTGAGTGGCTTGTTGTCGTCCCGGACTTTGAGGGCGTTGGCGAGAAGAGGTTGGAGGTTCGCCCGTGAGTTTGCACCCATCTGTCTGATTACAGTACCTAGAGAATGGATGCGAGGAGGTTACTGACTGAATGTGGTGGGAATATGTAGTGATCACTTTGCCGGTCTCGGCAAGAACGTCGATAATGGGTGTTTCCAGATGGGCGGTAGGTCTTTTTTTTTTTTTTTTTTTTTTTTAATTATACTTCACATCACTTCACTCCATTTTCGTTCACTTTCACTTCACCTTAGAATACCTTCAGCGTATACCTCTCCTGGGCTCCATGGAGTCTGACAACTTCACACCTGCTTGATCTCATACATGTGCTCTCGTCTTACACACACATGAACCCTTCCCTCGTATTTAATGGAGACGAGTGCTAACAGACCAAAAAAAAAAAAAAAAAGGCGCCGTTCTCTCCGAGCCCCCACCTCCGACGACCCCAAGACCTTCAAGTTCGCCGGCAGCACCATCGTCCTAGTCGCCGAGAGCCGCGAGGAGGTGATCAAGATCCTCAAGGACGATGTGTATGCCCAAAAGGGCGTTTGGGATGTTGACAACGTAAGCTTTGTTCCCCTTTCTTCAGTTCAGTCTGTCGCATGTTAGAAAGCTACGTAGTAGAAGTCTTGACAATCTTGGGGGAACGTGATGCGTCAAAGGTTTAGATGTGGATGCTAATGCGAATTGTAAATGATATGATATAGGCTCAGATGTGGCCCTTCAAGTGCGCCTTCCGCTTCCCTGTCCCTGGTCAGCAGTACCAGCAGAAGCAGTAGGTGTGGAAGGAAGAGTCAAATAGAGATTATCAGTACATAAGATACAGGTTTAGTGATTTTCGGTAGCACTCTTTGTCTGCGCGTGATCAAGCTGAGTGCTCGGAATACATCTCTCGAATGTCCACAACGCAGGACAGAACGATCTACACCATGAACTTTGCAATGAGGTGCAACATAGACCAGTGGTTTGTACACTCAGCATCAAAATCAAACCTCATTATATTTGCCCTGAACTACCTAGGTAGGCTCGGTCGGTAACCATGTGAAATCCAAGATCATTACCACAATTTTTACAATTCACTGACCAGACGCATAGTAACAAGAAGCAACAAACACACAATCTGCTCTATTTAGCTATCATCACTACCATTTTCAAAGCAAGTATATACCCAACCCCAACACCTCCCTACTCTCCCTACTCTCCCTACTCTCCTCCCATATCTCCATATCTCCATTCATTCCATCCCACCTTCATCCTGCCATCAGATCATGTCAGATGAGATCCTATCATAGGTATCAGATATCATTTCCTGGTTCCCGTCCTTTTCCATGTCTATCTTTCTTTTTTTTTTCTTTTTTCTTTGTCTTTCTTTCCCTCCCACTCAATACCCGCGATCCACGTGCAATCGGAATCAGCCTCAGACCGACCCGTCCCATAATCCGCCACAGAGCCGTCCCTTCCTTGACTGTGGGACTTCAGTCTAATTATGGTCATGGTCGTGGTCGTGGTTGTGATGCTCCCGAGGTTGGGATTGTTCGGGCTGCTGCTGTTGTACCCCTGGGTAGTGTCCATGGTGCCCCAAATGATGGTGTTGACGAAGTCGGCAACACAGGTGATGGGAACGTCGCTACTACCGCAAAGACTCGGGGGGGCATTGATTTTCAATTTTTCCTGGGAAATCCGGCATGGTTAGACATTCATTCACATGTGCATTTTATGCCTTCAGAAAATACATATAGTGGGGGAGACATGTTGTTACCACCCCAGAGTACTCACTGTGAATTCGATTCCTCTGGTACCTCTGTCTTGTCTTTTCCTACCTACCTACGTATCTCTTCTTCATGAGCGCTGGAGGGTGGGGACATTCAAATCACCGGCGGTCTTGCACACACAACTTCTGGCTGGCGGCATGAACGTTACCTACACTATGCTTAGCTACAGACTACCTATGCCAGATTTCCTCCTGGAAGTCGAAAATACGAAAATCGATGCCCCGAGTCTTTGCGGTACTGCTGTTGCCTCTATTACTACCAGATTCCCCCTAATGCTGCCACTGCTAACTCCTGCTACTGCTCCCTCTGGCGACTTTGCCTGACTTCCCTAGCCCGACAAGCCTCTTGCAACTCGGCGCGGAGACGGGCACGGTACTCCCATACTAAGCGCATAGTTTCCGCATTTGACACCGTGGCTATTGACGCCCGCCGTATGATCTCTGCTGCGCCTGGTTCGGGTTCGGCGTTTGATCCCTGATGTCCTTGTCTTTGCCTTTGTCTTTGGTAGAAACAGTCCTGTTGTCTAGCATGATAGGCATCGCGTATCTCGACAAGTAGGCTGGCGTGCAGCTTGGCCATGGAGAGGAGGGTCCTCCAGGGTAATGGCATGACGTGGATTCTCAGGTCCAAGTCTAGGATGACATTGCGGATGTGACGCTCGTAGTCGGAGAGGTGGTCATCATCATCGGTGATGTAGTCGTCATCATCGTGTTCCAAGTCATCATAGAAGAAGAAATCCTCCGAGTTCGAGACAAAGTCCCAGTCGTCCTCTTCCTCGTCCTCTTCCTCGTCCTCTTCCTCGTCCTCTTCCTCGTCCTCTTCCTCGTCCTCTTCCTCGTCCTCTTCCTCGTCCTCTTCCTCGTCTTCTTCCTCGTCTTCTCCAAGGTCTTCAAGGTCGTCTTCAAGGTCGTCTTCAAGGTCTTCGTCTTCAAAGTCCCACCCTTCTTCCTCATCCTCGTCATCCTCTTCTTCGTCCTTTTCGTTCTTGAGGTCTTCGTACTCTTCAAGGTCCTTTTCATCCTCTGCTTCCTCGAGTCCTTGACCTTCTTCCTCTCTCTCAACAATCCCAAAGTAATCCATGACAAACTCTCTAAAATCGTCGAGGTCTCTTCTCTTCTTCCATCTATTCAAGAGGCGCCGGTTATTGATCTCCTCCTCCATACCCATATAAACATCATCAGGTCCCTTCACGTTGGGGAGGGGTGAGTTGCCTTCTTCACGTATCTTTCTGTAGTAGCAGATTATCTCCTCCGCTTCAGCGGGCCAGACTGTGGGTATCATTGTCGGAAGAGGATATGCGGTGGCGGCGGGGGCTGGTTGTTCTTGCGGGGGGCTAGAGGAAGTCGTGGGGGTGTCGGTGGAAGGGAGGAGGGCTTGGGAAAAGTACGAGGAGCGTGCGTGTGACATTGTGGTGGTAGTTGACTTTGACTGGTTGGATTATTGTCTTTGGCCGAGCGAGCGGATGATTCGAGGTCGGAGCGGATTCTCCGAGTGGACAATAGATTGAGGTATGTGGACGATGGTCGTGGGTTTGTGGACCGTGGGTGTACGGACCGTAGGTGTAGGTCGTAGATGGATAGACTATGGGATTATGATCGGAGGTATTAAGCCGTGGGGGCTTGGACCGTAGGAGTATGGAGCAGTGGCTGTATGTAGTGTAGGTATATAGACCGTACTTGTGTAGGCCTTAGAGCGTAGACCGTGAGGATGTAGAGCCGAACAGTCACGTGGATGGTGTGAAAAGAGAGCTGGGGAAGACGGAGAATGACTCTCTCCCTCTCTGGAAGAAAGCGACTTGATAGACAAGTATCAGTATCTGAAGGATCCTGAAGTAAAGAAGAGCCGTTGATGTATTGAATCATGTGGAAAAATGACCATAGGAGTGAGGAACCGAGTACGTAGACGGATGACGAGGAAAATGGAGGAAATTAATTCGAGTGGAAAGAGAATGGATGGGCAAGTTTAAGTATCTGCCAGACTCCCAGTGCAGGGAGATGTATTTTCCAGGGAAATATATTTCTGCGCGCAGATCAAGTCCGACATATCAGCATCGGATGTCCGCAGCGGAGGCCCCGATTCCTGCTTATATACGATATCATTACGTGATGCTGTACTGCACTCGTCTAGATCCTCAAGTTCGATGGCAGCCCAGCAAGAAAAAGCGACACATCTTGTCCCTTCACCCCATCTAACCATGCCCGTCGAAGCCTCTGCCAGCGTCAAAAGCTGCTGAGTCCGGCACATCCGCAAAACCTCGTTATAGGGAGTACCAAAATATGCACGAGTTCATGGGTACAAATGTGACTCTTCAGTTGACACATATGCAACGCACGATGTTGTATTGTCGAAACGCATTCTGGTCGGCCAGGTTGAACCAGAGACAGTCGAGAGGTATTTGAACGAGTATTGCATTGGACCGGCAACATGATACATTACTAACCGCGTCTTTTTATTTTCTTCATTTTTTACTCTTCGGCTTCTAAGGCAGATGCAAAGACAAGCCCATATCTTCGAGCTTGTAATGGTCGGCCATGATGGTGGCAAGGTGATCTCGTGTTTGGGGGCCACTGTGAAATTGTTAGTGTTGGGGTTCTTCAGTGATCGAAATTATAGGTTCAGGGCTTACAGGTTTGTTAGGTATACATCGACGTATTGGGGTGGCAGGTACTCGCCCACGATGTTCTCTACCTCGAGGGCATCGACTGCCTCACCGTCGGCATAGTCGACATACGTCGAAGAATCGCCCTGCTCGAACTCGGTCCCATCGTCCGACGGATCTACGGGGCAGAACTTGTAAACACCGCTTAGAACGATAACAGGCTTGGAGTACTCCTGCGCCGCCCTGGCAGCAGTACTGCACCCACTCTCTGTGGAAATACCGCCGTTCGCATATACGGCCTTGGCGCTGATAACAACCTTGTTCACCCTAGGCATGTAGGCCATCAGGCCGTTGCTAGCCAGGCTGATGGTGTTGACCCCGAGACCGTTGAGCTTCTTCCGTAGGGCAGCGTGGGGCACCTCGCCGGGTTTTTGACGCTCAGCGCTGGCGAGGAAAACGGTAAATCTCCTCTTTGCTGCGGCTTTGAGGAGGAATCTCTCGACTGTCGGGGAGGGGAGGTAGGCGAGCACGTAATCGCCGGGGTGAATCTGGATGTCCGCGAAACCCGCGATCTGGTCGTCCGCCTGGCTGATCTCGTCCATAATCTCTTCGATGCCATCGATAACTTCGGACCGTAGGGCATGCATGTTGGCAGATGCGCCCTGGGACATGGGGGTGGATGCGCCGGTGACTGGTGACTGTACGGTCTCTGAGACGCAGAGAAGGTTGAACATCGACTTGGACATGGGGAGAGTCGCGGCGCGGAGGGGCGTGGGGCCTGGCCTTGTGGAAATGGTGGGCGTTGTGGGCAGCTGGGAGAGGTCGGATACTGAGTCGCCCATCTCGTCGGCATTTCTGTCCTCGGAAGCCTCATCACGAATAAGACCCATTACTCGGCGGACGACATTGCCAATAACTTGCTCGGTGGGAGCAGCTTGGGCGAGTCTGTGGCCGGTGTTGGAGACCTTTGCGAGCAGCTGGTCGACGTTCTGCCACTTAGACTTGGCGACGACCTGGAGCAGCATATGGGCTGTGGCATTGGCGACATCATCGCCCTTGACTTGGCGACGTTTTAGGAGGCTGCCCAACCAGGTTAGGATCTGATATAAGATGATGGATATGAAGCAGGCGTAGGCGTACTAGATAAGAGCCTCGATAGAAGCCTCCAAGGGCTGAGTGTTTAGAGACTTGAGGAGCTTGCCCAACGTGGGGGCATAGCTCATTTGCGACGGCGCCATGGTGATGAGCTGTGTACTTTGCTACTGAGATATTGCGGCGGTGATGTCGAAGTGAGAATGCGACTGTTCCCTGCTCGAGGCTGTATGGTCTTTACAAATGGTACTGGACGGATATCTATGAAATCGATATAGGCGGGGAATGACAAGGCTGGCTGCTGGTCGCAAAAAAGGTCTCCAACAATAGCTTCCAGAATTGGGCCAATATCGCTTGGGATTGTGGACTTTTTGCCAGTGAATTGTCGAGGTGAGTCAATGGCTCACACTGAATGCGCTTGGAGGTATCACAAGCTCTAGAAATTTAGTGGGGCAGGCAAGCAACCGGGCTTCAAGGACAAAGCACTGCTGTATGCCAGTTTGCGGCAGGCTAGAAGCAGGCCTTATTCACTAATTCCTGTCGTACTAAATGGAGAAGCCCCACCGAGCAGAAGGTGGAAGTTTAAGATATTTCTTATCGCGTGCTTATCCAAAAAATGGTTTCTCTTATCGCACCCAAATCCAGACACCCACCTGCATTATCGGCGCCCGGGCGGAACGGCTTTACAATTGGCCTACAAATTTTTGGTCGCGTCGCTCTGCTCTGATTGACCGGGTCACTTGATGGACCCAGTAAAATCTGCGTTGAAGAAAGAATCCGTTTCTGCGATCAACCCCATCACGACGGATACCAAATACCTTGACGCCCCAACCCAGTAACTTTTTTTTCTCTTTACTGCAGTGGTTGTCTGTATAACACTATTCCCCCCCCATTCTTTAATTCCTGTTTGATACCCCCATCCCCTCAATCACCAACCATATCTACACACACACCCAACCACCACCAATAACAAACACACATTTAATCCGATAAGATGGGTGCCACCGACAAGATCAAGGAGAAGAAGGACAAGTCCGAGAAGAAGGACAAGAAGGAGAAGAAGATGAGCGAGGAGGCCGGTGTCAAGAAGGAGAAGAAGGACAAGAAGGAGAAGAAGGAGAAGACCGAGAAGCTCGCCAAGGCCGTCGAGGCGCACCTCGAGAAGGAGGGTTCCGTTGACCCTGAGGATGTTGTCAAGACCGCCGAGGACCTTGTCCCCTTTGCCCTTCCCCTCGCCGACGACAAGACCCACAAGAAGACTTACAAGTTGATCAAGAAGGGTACGTTTTGTTCCTCTCCAATTGCATTCATTGCCAAGTCCAATCGCAACCCACGACTTGTACTGAACCCAAGCTAACTTTTGATAAAAAAAAAAAACAGGCGCCAAGCTCAAGTCCATCCACCGCGGTGTAAAAGAGTGCGAGAAGGCCATCAAGAAGTGCCCCCTCCGGACCGCCGCCTCCCCTCCCGCCGACGCTCCCGGCCTCGTCATCATCGCCGGCGACATCTCGCCCATGGACGTGATCATGCACTTCCCCATTCTGTGCGAGGAGCACGGCGTTCCCTACTTGTACATCCGCTCGCGCGCCGACCTCGGCGTGGCCGCCTGCACCAAGCGCGCCACCTCGGTGGTGATGCTCAAGCCCGAGGGCAAGAAGTCTTCTTCTTCTGGCAAGGAGGAGGCCGGCGACGACAAGAAGGTCGACCCTGCCGAGTACCTTGAGGCCTACAAGGAGCTGGTCAAGACGGCGCAAAAACAGTGGAACGTCCAGGTCGAGCCCTGGGTCAAGGGTACTCACCCGCTCCAGATCGAGGCCAAGGTCAAGGGCACTGCCTAAATTGGCGGGAGCAACGACACGAGCGAAACAAACACACAAAAAATGAAAGACTGCAACGACACGATGGCGACAGCGGGGGCACATGAGACCATGACACCACTGTTGGTGTCGGTGTGATTGTGCGTCTGCTTGTTGCAAGAGTGTTCGTGTGCGTATGTGCTTTTTGCTCAGACAATCGGACTGTCTTACCGTTGAGAGAGAAGAAAACAGGCGACCGATCATCTTGGAGATTGGACGCTGGCGGGGAGCGCAAAGACTGTTCTTGGATGGACTTGTTGTGCCTGGGCTTGGGGAACAGATGAAGGAGGAGCAAGTTTGTGACGCTCTCATCACAACCTCTGTCACTCTTTTCTTCCCTCCATGTCGATTTCTGTCTCCGCTTCGGGCTCCTCCCACCTCTCGCTCTCATCACGAAAAGATTGTCGGATATCGGTCATCATCTCTTCCGCATTGACCACATCCGGTCAGCCCCCATGGGTTGACTTGGTTGTTCTGGGCTTTTATCTAAGCTATAGATAGAGAGCATTGATGGGTTGACGGATTTAGTCTATCCTGGTTTCGGTTATGGATTTATGGCGCTGGCTACTTGCTGTCATTAAAATATGGAAGGCGTTGTGGGGTAAACACTTGTATTTTGCACGGTATATATGAGAAAGGAATACCAAGTTCATCAGTTCTCATTTTCCAGTTCGTATGTGTTATGGCACAACACACATCACAACACCGTCATGGCCAACTACCGACGCAACACTCATATCAGACGTAAGACAACTACAGGTCACCAGCAAACAACAAGCACACGAGCCAAACAGTGAGGTATCGCCAGCGTCTTCCATTCATCTCAGGAATGCTGATCCTATGCTAATAGCTTGATACAACACAGAGGGTACCAAGAAAAAAAAACAGGAAATGCCCAGGGACACGCCCACACTCCAAATTGTAGGTGCGATACTCAAGTTCCCATTATCATTAACTTCATTAAACCGTCCCAGAGTTCTCCTTACTTAAAAGACCCATTTACTCGGCGCGCCAGCTTGACCGGCCGAGAGCAGGGGAGCCGGAGGTAGCAGAGGCGCTGTTTCAACCATGTCAGCAGACTGTTCCCACAGGATATACCGAAGTATAGTAAATAGGTTCTTTTACAATAGGGTGACCCACTACTCAAAAGGGTTGGTGCGCGTTCCCCACCAGGTAAGGAAGACGGAAAGGCCGACAGTCTCAAACAGCTTAGCGAGGACGTTGATGCCGACAGTCTCAAAGGCGCGCTTCTCAACGAACAACTCAGAGATGAAACCGGGAGCAGAGGTGGCAGCAAAGATGAGACCGCCGAGGTAGGCGGCACCGCGGTAGCTGAGGGTGCCGGTGGCGTTGATGAGAGCGCCAATGCCGTACGACTGCAGGGCAGAGCCGACGAGGGAAGAGCCCCAGGCCATGACGGCCGAGGTGGCCTCGCGCGACTTGATGAACTCCTCCTTGCTGTTGGAGATCTTGGCGCGCTGGTAGGTCTGGCCGAAGAGGGGGGTCATGATGGCCAGCTCGGTGGCATGGTTGAAGATGGTGCCGAGGGCAATGGCCGAGGGCTTGACGGGGGGGAGATCTGGAGGGAGTGAGTTAGTATCATTGTTTGGTTATGCTTGTGGAGACTCATGTAAATGGCTGTTGATGGTGGTGGTAATGCTTGTGCGTTGTGCTGCGGTGGTTCATCTTTGGTTCATCCCAAATTCGCAGTGTTTGTTGCTGTGTCGGTGTTGTTTGACGTGCATCCCGTGGTGCGCCCCGCTCGCATCCCCTACGTCATAGGCTGCCGTCCGCGATTTCTCATAGCAAAGCAACCACACACCCGAAACGCGATGCTTTTGAGCAGAGCCGGTGTCGAGAAGAATGAAACATTGGGGGGAACTCGAGATGCTAGTCATCATGTTGGGATATTCGATTGTGTCGTTGTGTTGTTGGAGATGATGCCCGGAAATGAACCACCTGACGCGGATGCAAGGTGAGAGTGACAGGAGGGGAAAGAGGGGGCTACTAACAGTGAAGAGACATGATGGCGGTTGGTATTGTGTAGTAGATTTATGAAATAGTTGTTCGTTTGGGTATCGTCGTCGATGAATTCTCGTTTGGAGAAGTCGTTGGTTTTCACTGGTTTGGAATGAAGCAAGCAAAAGGGAGATGGAGGGGAGGGAGGACGTGGCGGTTATAAAGTACTACAGAGGACGGACGGAAGGAATGGATTCTGGGCAAGGCCGGGCCTGCTGCCAGGGCGAGATCACTCATTACTACCTAGGTTCTTCTTTGTGCGTCACGATTTCAGTCAACCGAGCAACCAGGCAGGAAAGCATCCATGAGCCCAGCCCAGCAGGGAGAGGAGCCAGTCAACTACTAGGCCGAACAGGCAACGAACAGCGACGGGGAGCAAGGACGGATGGAAAGAGACCTGGGACAATCACGATTGAACGCTCCCGGTGTCTTTCTCTCTTCCTCGCAACGAGATTCCACGGCTCTAATTGGTCGTCATTCAGAAAATCCTCTGTAAATTGCCCTGGTTACAGAAGGAATCACATCATCGCCTCTGTCGAGCTTCCCCGGACTGCATCTTATGCAAGATGATGTCACTCACTCATTCCACGCTTTCCCCAATGCGGAATGGTCAGTAACATCCCATCCACGGGCACCCGCCCTGTAACAGGACCTCGATTCAACAGGGCAAATTTCACAACGAATCTTCTGTCTGCTCTTAGAGGTATTGTTGGGTTCAGTTGGTGAGCGAGGGGTCAGTCCAGCTGTTCATCAGTCGGACAGACAGGCAGTTAGACTTTAAAAGTCGTGGATGGTATCGAAATAGTGTGAAACAAAGCGAGGGGTTACCGTATTTGCATGATTCCCCTCCAGCCGGTAGGAAATCAGAAAGTCAGGTCGTTTCTAATTTGCTTTTTCCGTCCTGTGCTATGCCGAATTACAATTCTCGTTAAGCCGTCGCTGCCCCTCTCTTCCATGACAATTGTTTACTTCCGGTGGCCCATGTAAAACCTGTCTTACTGTCTTTGATTCCACACCATCCGAAGCTGAACCTCTCTCTCTCCACTCTCACCATGACCTTCTGGGCCTAGAATTGCGAAATTGCACGCTTCTGACGCTTCAAAGTGGACTTTTTTTTTGAGGTTCAACCAAGCTGAAGTTGGGGCAGTGTAGTCGCTCTTCTTCCAAGGCCAAGGCCGAGCTTGAACAGTCAAGGTAATTGACATCGTAATCGAGTTTCAGTCCGGAAGTAATGGAGCGGATACTTGGCTTTTGCGGCTGTTCGGTGGCTCCGTAAGTGGAATGGGCAAATCACTAACAGGACTGACTGGCTGTAATTCTCTCCAAAAACTCTTAGTGAATTGGCTCTGTACACCCCAATTCCGGAATCACCTAACTGCGTACCAAACATAAGTGGAATGAAACTGCCCCTCTTCTTCCTCGTTCAAATCCATGGAGCAAAAAGTTCCCACAGTGACGTTTGCCCTCCGAGGGCATCCATCCAGTTGGGATAGGTAAGCGAGCTAAGGTACCTTGCTCAATAGTGTACACTACTAGTTATGTTCCTGAAAGTTGACTGTCCTGTCCGGGAGGTCCAACATCTTGTCACCTACACCAACGGTCCACAGCCGCCGGCCAGCTTCCTTTGAGCTGCCAGGAATAGTTACACCATCACCATCACCATCACCAGCGACGATATGATGAGCTTGGTCCTCTTGGTCCTCTGAGATCCCTGGATCTAGAAGTCCGGATCGTGAAATCAACAAATAACCACCGAGTGGGACCGTTGAGTCCAAACTCTCGTGCTTCCCATCTTAGTCTTTTTATTATCCTGCGCAATGGGATTATTGGGAATGCAGTCTGAAGGGTTTCACAGAAGCTAAGGTATCATGTGTCAGCTTAAAAGGAGATCCTCGACCCGTTCATGCAGAGAACTCTTCGAGAACGGGCAGGCGGCGATCTTTGGAGCGGAGTGAACGAGTGGGAGGGAAGAAGGATCTCAGAGTTGTCCTGCAAAGCCCAGATGTGGGTAACATGCTCGTTGGCTTTTCAAAATCATGCAAGTTGCCAGCGATAAGCGGGAGATATAACAGCCCTAGGCAGAGGAAAAAGGAAACCAGGCCATGATTACACTACTTCGCTGTTCCTCATCTCTAATAGTCCCGTCGTGTAATAATACTGTCGACATATAGTATATATCTTGCTTTCTCGTCCCCTCTCTCTCGCTCATGCTCCCTTTCTCTCCTTTCTTGATACTAGTGATCTCCCCACTTTCATACAGTTCGCAAAGGCAACCAAATAAAAAACAAACAAGCAAGCAGAAAGTCAAAGATAAACTCAATTAAGCCGTATGCTGCCCATCCTCTCCGTCTCTCAGAGCCAACAGGGCTCTCACGTCCGACACGTACTGCAGACCTTCGAGGAACGGTATCAAGTACATCAAGTCGAGGTCTGTCGGGTCGCTGATCCAGCCTTGTATGGGTATCGCATTGTCTGTGTTTTGCGTTATTCCCTCTTGTCAGCACTTGTTTCCCTTCCAGCAAGTTGTACACGAGCATACAACAGAACAGAAACAGAAACAAAACTTACCCTGATGAAACATATAACTCAACGGGCTATTATCCAATATCATGACCTTGCTCAGATCCGGCTCCACCGAGCTCAGATCCTTGATAAACGCCCCATGCCTAAACGTGCAATGCTGCCGATAATACCTGGCCGAGAAGTACTTGCGGTCGCTCTCCAGCCAGTCGATCACGGGGTCCGCATACTCCTGCACCGACGCCGTGAACACCACCAGGTTGTACCATTTGCTGACGCGTCGTAAGAACTCGTCGCAATGGGGGCGCTTGTGCACGTAGTAGAGGATGGGATGCTGCGGCCCGATGGTCTGTTGCCCGCCCACGCCCACATAAGTCGTGTTCAGTCGCACTTCAACCATGTGGCCCGAGGACATGCGGCCGCCTTTGGACATGGAGTGAATTAGGGTCTCGTCGAGGTCGAGGATGAGCGTCTTTTGGTGCTTGAGGTTGGCTGGATCGACGGCGCTGATCTTGTACGAGGGCTGGCGCTTGGGGATCAGAGGCCTTGGGGGCGCCGGCGTCTTGGGGTACTTGGTCAGGGCACCGACGGGCGATGTGGGTGACTTGAGCTGGGCCGAGATGTCGTTGCCGGGGACGCTAAGGTTTTGCTGACCGGACCCGCCGTTGCCGTCGCTATTAGTGGTAGATCGGCCGGAGGCGGAGGAGCGGTCCTTTCGCTGTTTGCGCTGTCGTAGGGAGTCGGCGTCCGAGTGAAGCTTAATTCTTATGGAGCGTCGTGCCGGTGCGATTTCTTCAGAGTCCTGGGATGATTTCGACTTAAGACGTCGTCCGCTGCTGCTACTACCTGTCCGGCTTTCCACCTCCGATTCGGACTCGGACGAGAGTCCTGACGATGAGGAGCCGCTAGAACGGAGGCGAGACTTTCGTGACTTGCGAATGCTTCCTCCGCCACCTGCCCCGTCCAGGTTGGCGTCAGACAGGGCAGCCGCCTCGTGGTAATCCATTGCCATTTCCTTGGCGTTTCCTCCATATCGACCAAAGAGTTTCCGTAATTGTTTGGTAGGCGCAAAGTTGCCCTCGGCATCGTAGAACAAAGCGACCAAGTAGAGGCCAGGCGCAGCAATCGTCATGAGCAGCCAGCGTATAGACTCGACAATGGCAAACGCGAAGCGCTTCGGGAGGGATGCCCATGTGGTCGGCGACTTGGGCTGATCTTGGGCTAGCAGAGGGGTCTTCTCGTCGGCATCGTAGTGCTGTCCATCGTATCCCCCTTGTGCAGCCGTCTCCTTGTCCTCGGGCTCTTCTGACAGTGTGTTGTTTTTGTTGGCTAGACCCAACAGCTCATCGTTGCTGCGCGACCCATGATGATCGTCCTCCTCTTTGCTGCTAAGATGGTGGGCCAGACTGAGTGCGCTTATAGAGTTCGATCGAGACGGGGTCGGGCTGGACGTTGGTGATACTCGGGCCGAGATGATGTTTAGGGAGTTCATCTTGCCAGCGCGGGGAAAGCCATGAAGGACGCCAATGCGAACCGCGCCCAGTGGCAGTTGCAAACTGTGTGACGGCGACAGCGGGGACGGTGGGTTTATTCGAGCAAAGATCGATCGATGATGTATGGTAGTCAATTCCGTGCGGCCCCCTACTGTAGAACAAAAATCGTCGGACGTGGGATTGGGTTTGGGCTTGGGGTGGCCTGCAGGGTACGGGAGGGGCGTTTGTTGCCCGGCCGAGGTTTGGTGTTGCGCGGCGACCGAAAGCTGTTCGGTTGCTCTGTGACGGGGAACTATTGCGGATGGCGAGGATGGTTGAACTGAAAGCCGCAAAAAAGAGAGCGGGCGCTGGAGAAACGAACGGTTACGTGGATATGGCTTGTTTCCCGTTAGGTTAGGTTTGTATGATTTGTTGGCCGAGATCCGGTTGGGGAACTTTTTGGGGAAGATCGAGAAGCAGCGAGCTACATACACTAGGGCCGGAGTCTGGAGACGGGCAACGATCCAATGTTGGGGTCAGAGCCTGGAGGTCTGGAGACTGGAGACTATGGTACTGGAGACTCGGGGGGGTCGCGCGAAGAAGGGGCCAATGTCGTCAACCGCACGCAGTGTAATAACCTTTTCTGTGGTTTCCAGAAACAATCGGTTACATACTCTTTCTTTTCTTTTTGAAGTTGTTTCCAAAAAGAGTTGCAAGTTCCATTCAGGTTGCAAAAACTTAATGTTGCCTGTCGAACTTCGAACAGCGCAAGTGGTGAGATGGGATGTCCGAGGCCCGCCCAGATCTGCTTTGTCTGGACTTGGTTGGCTACTTATCAAAAAATACGAACATGACACCCTTTTTAGGCAATCGATAGGGATCGGAGTAAGAAAAAAGAAAAAGAAAAAGAAGGGTGGTGACCGCCCAGTTCCAAAGATCGACCTCACAGGCAAGATACAAACAATGTTAACAACCCCGGTTTATTACAACTTCACGAAGCCCGGCAAGTGCAATTAAGCACTTATATTTCCCGGTCATGATATGTACATGCACCGCCTTCATATCGGGGTTTCAGTTGGTGATGCCGTCGTGGTGGTGAAGAGCTTCCGTCCTGGATGTTTTTCACTCTTCTCCAATTATCGAGTGGCGCCCAGCGATCACAAACAACGACTTTACTCCAGTCCAGTCCGGTCGCCAACACAACGGGACGCTAGCCGAACAGCACGGGGATGGCAACGACTAACGAGACAACAACGGCGGCGGCGGCTCAGTGGTTGTTCTCAGCAAACTGATGATGGATCTTACACTAAAAAACGGGCATCTCGACGGGGTTTCCAGGGGTGCTCAACAAATGCCATTTCATCCACTGAATCCATTCACGTGTTCCTCCCGACTGACTTGACAACGAGCGGCCGAGCGAGCGGGAAACCCGATCGACCTGCCTAGGCCCCTCCGTCGTCCGGCCATCTCGATGAATGAATGGATGGGCCATGGCGGGGTGGGGGTTCCACATCCACAATTCACAGCGCGAGGTGCTGCTGTCAGTCAACAACAACAACAACACTGCAGGCAACAAACTGACCTAACCACTCAACATCAGCGCCGACACAACATGGGACCTCCTTGGTTGGATTTCTTTCTTTTTGTCTGGAGGGGGATTAGCGACGCCAACCGATGGAACGTGAACCTCTTTTTTGGTGTTTGTATCCTCTCGGTCAGTCTCCCGACTATGTTCAGTTTGGTCTTAGAAACAGTCCGTGCAAAATCTAATAACACGGGACACAATTTCACATGTTCGTCTTTTCCCTCTCTTCAAAACATACCCATGCTCCATTGTAACCGACCAATTGATACTACTATAATAACCTCTTTCCAAAAGCGAACAAATGGCGAGACCCTGACAACCAATGCAACTCAAGCGAAAGAGAAAATTATGTCTTCAAAACATATGAAGAATGACAACCGAGGTTGTGGAAAAAGGGGTTGCCCGTTCCTGCATTTGTTTAGTTTTCTTTTACCCCTGAATGCCGCGTTGGTTGGGCTGATGGATGTATGGCCGGATTTCTTCACCGATCTGCTCTTTCTTCCACGAGCGTTTCTGGAAAATTGCACTGCAGCTAATGACATGACTAGGCACGATACCAATAGTAGTTGAGAACTAACATGTACTTATGCCTACTTTGGAATGTTACCCTGGAAATGCGGTCTGGAAGTTGGGGCTTTAGTGCAGTGCAAGTTTTAGTTTTGGATTTGAATATAAAGTGGCTTTGAGTCTACCTCCTGTCATTGTTTGTTGAATAGCTGTCGAAATCTACGGTGGTGAGATATGTTCGGGAGACCTGAGTATGCATTTGCATGTGTCTTTTCTCAGTTAAAAGGGCAGTGGATCTGGATGGCAGGCTTGGGATGATTTGTTCCCCTCCCAGATTGGTTGTTAGACCTTGAGCTGATGACCAGAAGGAGGATGAGGTTGAAGGTGAAATGTTTACAGTCCTACTCGTGGAGGTGAGAATGCTGAGCAGGGCTGAAGAGAAATTGTATATGAACTAGGACATTTGGCTTGACAGGCGTGGTGATACGTCATAAGGCGAGGCGCGGCTACAATTTGAGCCTTCCAGCGTCTAACAGGTTTCCAGAGGTGAGAAACAGAACCCAACTTCATGAAGGCAACCGGTTCATCACCTTATGGTTCTCCTCGCAAGAGCTAGTGTAGCCAAGCGAGCGAACAACAGTCATTCCAGAGACTAGCTTCCGGACCGGCAAAATGCTCAACAATCATACCCAAAAGACAAGAGAGCTGGAGCTGGCCAAGGGAACGTCCGGATATGCGTGGATAGAATGGGATCCTGACAAGGCTGGAAATCACATGCGATCTGTTGAGCCGACCGTGAACAAGGCTTCAGGTGTCGTGTGAGATCCAAAACCAGCACATGCGGATACTCATAGAGGAGGTCCATGTCTTGTCTATGCCAACTCCAATTCGAACCGTGTGGGAAGAAAGATGGTGATATGCAGGTTAGTCTATTGAGTACTAGTTCTCTCTCTCGGGAACTGCACCCTGGTTCCGTGCCCAAGTATCGTAAAGTCCATCGCTTACTCCTCCTGGCCAGCGAACTCAGCACGACCGGCCTTCGAGTTGAGGTAGTGGTTCCTAACCAGCAGAATCCCCTGTTAGAATATGGCACTCTCTTGAACGACGACAACAACGGTCCCTCCTTTGCCACCCCGTGATCGAAATCCCTCGGGGCTGTGGGTGGTGGTGATGCAACGTACCGCTCGACAGCCCAGTTCATGATGTAGTAGCCGGCAACAAGGGAGGGGGCCCAGTAGAGGAACTGGGAGCTGACACGTCTGAAGGTGTTGAAAACGGCGTCGTGGGCAGTGCCGGCGAGGGGGTTCTGGCGGTTAGGGCTGATACCGTAGGAGATGATGCCCCTCTGCTTCAAGCCACCTATTCGTCGGGAAGAGAAACAACATGGGTTAGATGGTCTTGTTCTGTCTCTGGGGTCGTCTCATCGGTTCGTCAAGGGTTCGGCGTGCGGGCGAGTAGGCGGGCGGTCATCAAGGTTCTTTGTCCTCTGGCTCGGCCATCTCTCGTGCCCTCATATTCCCATTCCCTCCCATCCCGGTATTTCCCGTTGTTGAAGAATTGCCGTGTGTTTGGTGTTTGGTGCATCGTCAATTGCAAAGGTTCCTACTCACCAAAGTTACCCCAGCCACCAAGGTAGCTATACCAACATACACGTTAGCTAACGTTCAGAGCTGGATCGGAGGGGGAGCCGGCGCAAAGGGAAAAGGGCGCATCGCCAGTAGCTAGTGCCATAAAGTCCCGGGCTCTTCCAAATCACAAGTGGGAAGACTGACTGGTTGTACTTGCCGATGGGGGCGCCGCCGCCGCCACCGAGCATGGTCTGAGTAGGACGCATCTTGAAATATGTGTTGTCACAAAACGCGCTATGGGGGGTATCAATCGGGTCGTGGTGAGGACGCAGTCGTCGTAAAGGTTCGGGAAGAGCTTCGCGCGGCCTTGGACCGGGTTTGACGAAGTTCGAACTGAAATCGGTCGACAGTGAGTGGCTGGCACTTCAGTTGCCAAGTGCCATGGAGCCGTCACTGGCAGTCAGAAACCCGAGTGCTGGAGGCTCAAAAGGGATTAGCATGGAAAGGTACAAGCTGCAAGTACCTTTACAGCATCATTCTCTTTCAGCCTCCTTCCGACCTGCCCGCGTGTTGAACTATGTGCACGGACCATCAGGACACCCTCTGATGGGAATCTCACTGAACGCAAGCACTGAAAGACATCCCCGGGCCATGCGGGGAGCTTGAGAGAGCTGGGCCTGGTCCGGGCGACATGGCACTCCACTTTTTGCAGAAGCTCCATCCATCCATCGCAGAGGAACGACTGCTGCTTACTGCTGCAACTGGGGAAGCACCACCACCACCACCACGATCCACGGTCCACGACGTAGTCCAGTGTGTAGTGCGATAATCTTACAGCCCACCTTCAGGTATCCCCGGAAACGACGTCCACGAATACTCTCGAGTCAGATCCCTCACCACCACATCAACCGAGTTCGATCCCCAAATCTTAATACAAACCGATATTCACAATGGCGGCAAGAGGGTTGGACATGATCACCAAGTTCGCCATCCCGGCAACTGTTGGTGTGGCTCTTCTCCAGAACTCCATCTACGACGTCAGAGGTGGTTCGCGGGCGGTTATCTTCGACAGAGTTGCTGGTGTGAAGGACACGGTCGTCAACGAGGGCACCCACTTCCTCATCCCATGGCTGCAGAAGGCCATCATCTTCGATGTTCGCACCAAGCCTCGCATCATCCCTACCACCACCGGCTCCAAGGATTTGCAGATGGTCAGCTTGACGCTCAGAGTGCTGCACCGTCCTGAGGTGCAGGCTCTGCCCAAGATCTACCAGGTGCGTTTACAAGAACTTGCCCCTTCGGACGGCTACGACGGATCACAACGAACTTATACTAACTGGAATCCCCACAGAACCTCGGCCCAGACTACGACGAGCGTGTTCTCCCCTCCATCGGCAACGAAGTACTCAAGTCCATCGTCGCCCAGTTTGACGCCGCCGAGCTCATCACGCAGCGTGAGGCCGTCTCGCAGCGCATCCGCGCCGACCTCGTCAAGCGCGCCGCCGAGTTCAACATTGCGCTCGAGGATGTTTCCATCACCCACATGACCTTTGGCAAGGAGTTCACCAAGGCCGTCGAGCAGAAGCAGATTGCGCAGCAGGATGCCGAGCGTGCGCGCTTCATCGTCGAGCGTGCCGAGCAGGAGCGCCAGGCCAACGTCATCCGCGCCGAGGGTGAAGCCGAGAGTGCAGAGACCATCAGCAAGTCTATTGCCAAGGCTGGCGATGGTTTGATCCAGATCAGAAAGATTGAGGCGTCGAGGGAGATTGCCCAGGTGTTGGCTGCCAACCCTAACGTGGCGTACCTGCCCGGAGGTGGCAAGGGGACAAATCTGTTGATGAACGTTGGCAGGGCATAAACGGGAGCAATCAGTAAGGGAAAGAGACGAAGATGGTTCTGCAGAAAGGGGACCAGAATACCTAGGCTACGGAGGTAAAGGGAGGTAATGACCAAAATGGGACTGTATTATTATGATATGAGCATTGTGTATCTTCCCCGCTTAGGCACTTGTTACAATAGGAGCATGTTTTTTGAACTTGACTTGTCTTTTGTCACTCGAGATGACATCCGAGTGAATACCTTGACGGACGTGGTTATGGTGAAGGAATAGTGGCCACTCTTTTCCTGAGGCTCCCAGTTCTGGCAAGGAAAAGTCACAACCATCCGATATAGGATTCCTGAGACGTGAGATGCCTTACTAAGTGTATATTATGAAAGGTGAAAACGTTAGATACCCCAGACAGACCTCACAACGCCAGGGACGCATGGATCCCGTAACGCTTAGCGGCGGTTCGGTGGACCAATGACCGAACGCAGGGGCCTCAGCTACCCGCCTCACGGGCATGTTTCCCGTTTCTTGGCTTAACCTCGAATTGTCATCAGCTTCATCTCAACAACACACTGAAAACACTCACAAGACATCAAAAACGAGGAGTTGAGAGGCCGGGCATCTCTAGACTATCGCTTGGCCTGTACTTGTCAGATATACTTTGTAGTATACGGTGCTCACCGCTGGCGTATGTGTTGCCCTCTGCTGGCTTTTGCATTTCATCCCTGCCTCTGCTGCCCATCTCAACTGCTGCAACCTAACCGGGCAACCTTTCAAAGACTCGGTTCATGCTGTCATCCCAAAGGTTTAAACTTTGCCGTTGGTCACACTCAAGGTTGACTTAACGAGAAGAGCTGGAATATAGACCCACAACCTTTACCTGCTTCTTTACGTGATTGCGCCAAAGTCCACAAGCTGACGTTCTGTAGCCTCTTTGGATCCCACGATTATCTCGGCGCTCCCTCTTTTATATATAACACATTCTGCGTCAAAGTTCGTTGCTTCAAAGACAAGACGAAATCAATACCACGCTGCGTATTACGGCTTTCAGGTGGATATTCGGTCTGACTACGCTGAGACTATAAAGTGAAGCAGCGAGTGAGTGCTGTGAACCGAGCCTTCCTTGTTTGCCCAATTCGTCAGCAAGTCGGTTTCACCATTTGATATCTTCGATTCACAACCTGGAAGCTCCTACCCCTTCTTGACAACGACATACAACAACATACCTTACCATATATCGATCTTATTCAGCATCTCACCGGGGCCAACTGACAAGAGTCTCCCATCCAAGTCGGCTTCTCCCAAGTGGACATTTACTTCATCAACTTCCAGAGTTGCCTACCATAGCACGTTTTCCAAGCTTCACGCGCGAGGTCGCTAATAGACTTTCAAGATCCCGTCATCTTGTGGTTCTATTGCCCTCAAGACCGCCCTTTCGCTCCATTAGCAACACGTCTATCCAGCGCCGGGACGACTCGCAGGAAGCAAACCCGTTGGCAAACCGTGACCCCTGGCCAACCCGCGCTCAAACAATGGACACCGTTTTACAGAACTTGGGGTCAATCCCCTGCCCGCACGGCGACAGATGCACTGAGTCCGGATGTCTCTTTCAACACAGCTGGAACAAGAAACCGGCCGCTCCAGCCTCAGCCAAACACGATGGTCCGGACGCAGATGACAATCCGCGAAAGCGTCGCAAGTTGTCTACAGAGCCTACCCAGAGTACACCGCCGACAGCGGCAGAGTCTTCGCAGCCCAACCCGGAGCCTGTGACGGCCAAGAAACCTGTGTCGCCCCCGCCACTGGGCCGAAAGCCAACAGTTGTGTCTGTTCAGTCAGCTCCGTCTGAAGCTCCCGCTACCCCAGCAACTAAACCGGCAGCCGTCTCATCACCCGCCAATCCAACACCCGAGAAAAGCGCCGAGAAGAAGGTTCCCATTCGAAAGGCACAAGCTTCTCGGAAGGTCGAGACACTCAATCCTCGCATGCTCAAGGGAGTGGCACCTGCTACGTTTGAGTTCCGGTTCAAAGCATTGACGATGCTGCACGAACAATTCGTCCGACTGAACAAAGAGATGGAAAAGGCGGCCGGCAAAGATGCGGAGACCAAGAAGTTGATTCTTACTCCGCAAGAACTAATATGGCTTTCTCTGGACTTGGAGGAGAAGATTGCGATGGACAAGCCGTCCATCTACAATAATGTCATCAAAAATCGCATCATGGGCTACAAGAAGATGACGCCCAAACAATGGAAGGCAGAGCGTCTTGCAGAGATTAAGAAGGAAGAGGAACGCAAAGCCGCTGCGACTCAAGCAAGTTCCAAGAAGCAGGCCCTCCTCGGTCCTCCCAAGGAGATCAACACAGGTCTGACGCGGCAAGAAGAGATCGCCTTCCTACCACATGTTCTCACGTCCATCACCGAACTCGCCCAACATGGATACGTCCCCAAGCCGCCATCTGAAGAGGAAATCAAAAAGGCACGCGAGGGCGTTGAGGCTGCCATGGGCTGGGAGACATGCGACCGCTGCACCAAGCGTTTTCAAGTCTTCCCCGGCCGTCGCGAAGAGGACGGCGCTCTCACCAGCGGCGGTCCCTGCACCTACCACTGGGGCCGACTCATCTACCCAGAGCGTAACCCAACCAGTACCGTCCAGCAAGAGAGGACTTACCGATGCTGCAAACAACTCGCCGGCGATTCAACCGGCTGTACAAGCTGCAGCACTCACGTCTTCACCGTCAAGTCCCCCGCCCGTCTAGCGACCATTGTGCCCTTTATGGAAACCCCCGAGAACCCCTCCGTACCCAAGGACCGCGCCGTCTGCTTCGACTGCGAAATGTGCTACACGGTCAACGGTCTTGAACTCGTTCGCTTGACGGCAGTCAACTGGCCTGACGGCAAAGAACTCCTTGACATCCTCATCCGCCCCATGGGCGAGATTCTCGACCTCAACTCCCGCTTCTCCGGCGTCTGGCCAGAGGATCTCATCAACGCCGAGCCATGGAAGCCCGTTGCTCCTCTTAGCCCCGTCATCGACACCGATTCCTCCCCCAAGCCCCCAAGCACAACCAACAACCCACCAGAACCAGACCAGCGCAAAAAGATGCAAATCGTCCCTTCCCTCGCCGTCGCCCGCGACTTACTATTCAGCCTCATATCCCCCGCCACCCCGCTCATAGGCCACGGCCTGGAAAACGACCTCAACGCCATGCGCATCTGCCACCCCACGCTCATCGACACCGTTCTTCTCTTTCCGCACAAGAAGGCCCTTCCCTATCGACACGGGCTGAAGATGTTGATGGAATGGAACCTCAACAAGGCTATCCAGGTGGAACCGGATGGGGATTCCGCCGATGGGACGACAGGACAGGGTGGAAAGCTACTAGGGCACGATTCAGCAGAGGACGCAAGGGCGGCGGGAGATTTGGTCAGGTTCAAGATCCAGCATACGTGGGCGAGAATGAAGAGGGAGGGGTGGACGTTGAAGGATGGAGAGTTTGTGCCGCCGAAGGATTCGAAGGGGAAGAAGAGTGGTGGGGAGAAGCTGACGGAAGTGAGGAAGACGAGGGACGGCACGGAGGAGGGGGAGTTGGTTGAGGTTTAGAGACGGAGTGTCTCGTCGCTTAGAAGCTGGGAGGACTGGAAAGTATTTAGTGGTGAAGAGAGGATTCAGTTGGCTTTGGGGCTCTGTTGCGACACAGAATCTACAATATGGTCTGTTTGCCAAGTTCGCGAGTTTCTTGAAGTGATACGCGAATTTCAAAACGATAGGTACAATCAGTAGACGAAAGCTGTTCTTATCCATCACTGCTCGGACTATTTGACACACAATGGAAGCGCTCCATTGTGAAATTGATTGTGATTTTGCTAGCCCTGTTATGGGTCCTTCTACTTATTCATTGTTTACTTTGCCCCTTTTCGTCCAGCAAGCCAGCTTCATTTGATTTTATCCGTACAGTGGGTATTTACAGACCGAACTACTCTCAAATTGACTACATGACTATTCACATATTTTCCATCCAACTCACTACGCTGGGTATGCATCCATTTCACCATTTTCGAAGTGATCGCTCGGGCAGGGTCTAGTTCTAGACGCCCGTCTCCTCCTGTAAATCAACAAGAGTCTTTTCTTTTTTTCCTTTTCCCAAACCCCAGCCAGTGATGCCAAGTCTAATATCAACGCTCTTCTTCTTCTTCCCTTCTTTACAAGCACACCGTCACAGCAGCAGCAGCAGTAGTTATATCTCTAGTGTTTACTCTCATCCCTCTCCACCAACTCACCCACACCTAACCCCCTACCGACCTTGACCTTAACCGTCTTATCCTCCTTTTTGTTGTTGTCTGCTTCAGGATCACGACCGACATCACCAACCGCCTCACCCTCATCCACCCCTTCCGATGATCCCTGCTTTCCTTCCTCGATTTGTGGCTTCTTCTCGTCCTTCTTCTCGTCCAGCTGCTCGGCCAAAAGCGCCTCGCGGATGGGCGCCAGGTCGAGCTTCATGCAATAGGCGTCCTCGCCGTCGGCGTAGTACTTGGCTTCCGTCTTCTCCGTCTTGAAGCCCAAAGTGTCGCGGTACAGGTGGATGGCGGCGGCGTTGGAGACGCGCACGTGCAGAGAGACGTAGTGGGCGCCGAAGGTTTCGACCATTGCTTGTTCTGTTTTCACCCCGCGTCCAACAGGTCATCGGAAAGGTTAGTGGTGCTCTAGTAAGGAGGGTAGAAATCGAGCGGAGCGAGGAAAGAAAAAAAAAAAAAGAAAAAAGGAAAAAAAAAAAAGGAAAGCAAAGGAAGATAAAGAGAGAAAGGGGGGAGGAGGGGGGAGAACGACGTACGAGACTGCCTCATCAGCTTCTCGGCAATGCCGAGTCGCCTATGGGTGCGCATCACGCTCAAGCTCGTAATGTGGCCGTGCTGCACTCCGTCCGTCGGCTCCTCCTCCATCTTGGCCAGGACGTAGCCGACGATCTTGGGGTAGTCGTAGGCGCTCTTGGCCGGGCGGCTCACGTCAACGGCGACATACGACAGCTGAGGCCATGAGAGCGCGTGGTACAGGTAGTACTTGAGGAAGTAGTTCTCGGGCAGGTTCTCGATGTTGGCGTGCTGGATCAGAGGGATGTCCGAGGGGCGGAGGACGCGGATATCCATTGTGGCTATTGGGATGGGGGGTTCGGTCTGGAAGAGTGGTGTTGGTGGTGACTTGGAGAGTGGGAGGGTTGACGACTTGGTGATAGCTTCAACTTTGGGATGGATGGTGGGCTCTGGGAGAAGCAGTTGGACTGGTTAGTAACAGCTATGACGACGGTAGGATATGTAATACCGGCAACGAAGAGTACCCAGAAAGTAGAATACGGAGCAGTCTTCAAAGGAAGCCGGACTTACAAGAAGCGAGTCGCCTACGTCGGGGATCGGTGGTTCGGTGTTGCGGTCGCAGTTCACAACTTGTCCATGTTGAATTGGAGACTGCTTGACGCTGCGCTACCTACGGTGGTGGGAGGCTCTGGATCCACAATCCGCACTCCAATGTGGGGCACTTCCCGTGTGGAATCCAGACGGGCCTGACCCCTGGCGGCACAGCTTCACGGTTGGATGATGGTGGGACGGCTGCTATAGCCGCACAAATCGCGGGGCAGACAAGCCCGGGAGCTAGGGGCAGTCAACACCGGGCCAAGCGCGCCGTGGGTGCAGTGTGATGCGGGGGAGCTTCGTCTCAAAGCTCCATTCCCCGAATTCATGACAGTGATAGCCGACGATGCGGAAGCTTGACAATGTTCTCGTGACGGATTGGAAATGTATATAGAGAGCTTTCTACTCCCCTTTGCTCAATTGACTTTGGCTTTCATTGTCATTTTCTCTGTTCCTGTGTGTTTGAATGCTGTGATACCCTCTTGATACCCAGCCTCCAGCTACCCCACCCTAGGTCACTTATACCCGTCTGATCAGAACGACAACACCACTCACAATGTCCCAACCACTCAAGGGCAAGCTTGCCATTGTTTCCGGCTCTTCTAGAGGTTAGTAACTCTTGTGCTGCTTGAATTCACGTTCAAGACACTTAAGAGTCTTCAGGCATCGGCGCCGCCATCGCCGAGAACCTCGCGTCCAAAGGCTGCAACCTCATCCTCAACTACACCACCCCCTCCTCCGCCTCCCTAGCCTCCGAGCTTTCCGACCGTCTCAACAAGACCTACGCCGTCTCCTCTGTGCCCGTCCAAGCCGACATTGGCACTCCCGAAGGCCCCCAAGCCATCATCGCCGCCGCCAAGTCCGCCTTCTCCAAGGCCGATGGCTCCCTCCAGATCGACATCATCATCAACAACGCCGGCATCGCCCGTAACGACTTGATTCCCAACGTCAAGGTAGACGACTTTACAGAAACCTACCGTGTCAATGTCCTAGGCCCCTTGCTGCTCGTCCAGGCCGCCCAGCCTTACCTTCCCAAGGACCGCTCTGGCCGCATCGTCAATATCTCCTCCGTCTCCTCTTCCACCGGCTTCATAGGCCAGTCCGTCTACGGCGGCTCCAAGGCCGCCATCGAAGCCATGACCCGCACCTGGAGCCGCGAGCTGGCTGAGAACTGCACTGTCAACGCTGTCAACCCGGGCCCGGTCGAGGGACCCATGTATGCGTCCAACTCGGAGGAGTTCCTGGAGGGCATCGAGGGGTGGATCAAGCACACGCCGCTGATGAAGGCGCGGGAGGATCTGCATGGCAAGGAGGCCGTGGAGGAGGCCAAGCAGTGGCATGGCAGGCTGGCGAAGACGGGAGAGATTGCGGGGGTGGTGGGCATGTTGTGTGGTGAGGAGGCGGGGTGGTGTACGGGACAGGTTGTTTGTGCTAATGGGGGGATGTTGATGTTGCATTAGGTGGGTGTAGAGGAAGATGAAGTTGGTAGGGTTGTGATGTTGTCCAGGCCTCGAAAGATGAATAACCTGTACATAGAGTCGAAATTTATCATTTCATGATCAACTAAAGGTTTCGCGTGATGCTTGAAAACCGGTCTCATGGCCGTGTTACCCATGGCTGTGATTCGTGAAGATGGATCGATGAAGATGAAAAGGGGAGTTTGTTTTGTTTTCCTCAGGGGTCGACCAGTTGGCGGATGAGCAACTGAACTGAGTTACAGCGGACTAGGTACCGCTGGATAGGCGCAAAAGTGGGGTCCAAACTTTCCTTATCAGTTGCCGTTCAGCACGCGGCAACGGCCCCATGGAGATCGCGCCTCGGTCTCTCGTTCAACTTGAAGTCATTGTTATTGGCAACTCCAATTTACATTCTTCGTGTGCTGGTATATTGCCGATTTTCCTCCCATTCTCAATTCTGTCGTCAAAGGCGAAGTCATCAATCAGATATCATGTCAGGACCACCTCCCGCGCGAGGAGGCCTGTCTCTCTACGCCAACCTTCTCGACCCCAGTGGCACAAGCGATTCGACATCTGCCTCGAACGATGCTGTCGCAAACAAGCAAGATGACGCCCCAGCAAAGAAGGCCGTAAATCCAGGTTAGCATCTTGAATCGGCTCATTCATTGCCCATGCACAATACTAACAGAGACCTTACAGCATTCGCCTTCCAACCCATCCGCCGACCACAAGTCAAACAAGCAAACAAGCCCAAGCCCACCCTTCCCAAAGCGCCACCCTCCATCTCCATAGCAGCAGTCGCAGCAACCGTCAAGACATCCGAACCCGAAAACAATGGCACAACTGATGTCACAACGACGTCAACAGCGCATGCCGCAGCGCCCCAACAGCGCAGCACCTTAGCCGACTGGGTAGCCACCGAAGACGACGAGTACCTCTACAGCGGATCCAACAACCGACGAGAACGCGGTGGGCGCAGAAAGAAAAAGAAGAAGAACGATGACCGACAAGTCGAGACGAATTGGGACGAGCTCTATGATCCAGCGAGACCGACAAATGTCGAAGAATACCTGCGCAGTGATGAGCGCATCAGGGAGATTCGTGATTGGAAGGCGGTGTTGTATGCGCATAGACGAAAGAGGAGGGATAGCTTTGATAGCAGGAGGAGTGATGAGGATGAGGAAGAAGAGGATAGGAGGGTGATGAATAGTACGTCCAGGATTCTGGGACTCAATTTTGGAAGGGTAATGCTGACAGGACACAACCAACAGACCAGTTCGCGCCGCCAGCTTCTTTCTCGTTCGCACCACCACCCATGTCACCACCACGAGCTACAACAACAACAACGACATCAGCACCCGTGCCTGCGGTATCAATACCAGTAGACGAATCTGCTGACGAAGCCTATGCTCGTAGACTAGCACTGTCAGGCATGGCACCACCACCACCACCACCACCACCACAACCACAGCCACCTGCAGCCGAACCATCAGTACTAGGCACCGCAACAATCTCCCGCGCCCCAGTCCGCTACGAAGCCCCACCACAACCCCCCTCCGCTCCAGAAGGCTCCGGAAATGACGCCATGGATCTTGACTCGGACGACGAAGACGTCAACTACGACGCCATCCCCGTCCCCCTCGGCACCGGCTCTGCTTCCCCTGCTCCCGAAGATGCGGACGCTCCCAAATCGAAACTACCTGGCCAAGCTGGCTTCGCCGCCCGTCTCATGTCCAAATACGGCTGGACTGCCGGCTCCGGTTTGGGAGCCTCCGAATCAGGCATCACCACCGCCTTGCAAGTCAAAGTCGAGAAGCGCAAGAAGCGATCCGATGCTGAAGGCGGCGGGTGGGCGGAGCCTGGTGGGAGGGGGAAGATCATTGCTGGGAAACCTGCTGCTGGTAGCTCGTCAAAGGGGGAAGAACAGGATGGTGGCAAGTTTGGTAAGATGAGTGAGGTGATTGTGTTGGATCATATGCTGGATGGGATGAGTGATGAAGAGTTACGACAGGAGGTGGAGGGGGGAGATTTGTACGAGGAGATTGGGACAGAGTGTGGAGAGAAGTACGGACGGGTGATGAGGTTGTTTGTGGAGACGGAGGGGAGGAGGGTGTTTATCAGATTTACCGATGGGGTTTCTGCTTTGAGGGTAAGTCTTCTTCTCTACTCGGGATGGGAATGTTGATGATGTGTTTGCTAACTGGTGATAATTACAGGCTGTCAATGCACTCGAAGGTCGCATCTTCAATGGCAACGCGATCGTTCCGAGGTTTTATGACTTGGAAAAGTTTGAGGCGGGGGTATATAAGTAGTGTAGTTAGTATGTCCCAGTGTCGTTGCCCAGCAACTCGATCAAATACCAGACTTATTAAATCCCCCTGAAGAGCCAAAGAATCACACCCGAACAAACATTTATGTCTCGTTAGAATCCCATAACTCCTCCATCAGAAGTCAAACTCCCGTCGTCTATCCCTAAACCTCTTTTCAGTCCTCCATACACCTCCATCACATTCCCTGATCCGCCGCTCAAATTTCACTCATTGTCTTGTTGCAGTCCAGTCCAGTATCATCCCATCTTCAGTCTCAGCTCAATCCCCCATCACCATCAATTTATAGTCGATATAAACAGCGCTTGCTTGCTTATCATCTCTCTCTCTCTCTCTGGTTCATATCAACTTTGATATCAGACAGGATCCTCATACTCGGATGAAATAACCTTGAGCCGCCGCGCTTCTTAAACTTTTAAGAAGCTTCAGTCTCAGCCGAAGCCTCAGCCCCAGCCTCAGGCGCAGCAGGGGCAGCAGGAGAACCAGGCGCAGCAGGGGAAGCAACCTCAGGCGCAGGAGAACCAGGAGAAGGAGAAGGCGACGCAGGCGTATTAGGCGGGGCCCTTGGGGCAGGTGCAGGACGATGACGACGGGGAGGTCTCTGTCTGGGTCTAAGAGGGGGCCAAAACCAGGGACGGGGGTGGAGAGGGAAGAGGGTGGAGGGACGGTCTTTCTTTGGGTGGGCGGTGGTCATTTTGGGTGTTTTTGGTTGACTGGTTGATGGGTGCGGTTGTTTGGGTTGTTTGGGTTGATGGGGTTGGGGTGGGTTTGGGTGGAAGCTGATGGCTTGTGTGGTTTGATCTGGTTGTTTGAGAGCTTGTGTGAAGGTTTGATCTCGAGACGAGGAGCGAGGGATGAGGAGGAACTGTGGGTGCTTTGGTGGTTGTGAGGAAAGGAGGAGAAAAGAGTGTTTGGTAAGAGGGAAGAAGGAAGGTAGATAGAGGAGATATTTATACAAAAAGTGGTTGGATGATGTTGTGGAATATACAATAAGATCATGTTGATGGAAGTAGTAGACGATATGCTTGAAACGCACAATAGCAGGATTAATCTGCTCTGAATAGATATTCCCCCTTACTTTCCAGATACCGCCGCTCGCTCCGGGAAGCTATAGATGAATAATCTGAACATGAACAAGACAAATCCAGTCCGGGATGGACACTCTAGCCAGAATAGGCCGTGACAGTCTTTGATGTGCATGTGACAAGGTAGGAAACACGGAGATGCGAAGTCCACTTGGTCTTTATGTCTTGGGAGAGAGATGTAAAAACATAATCAAAAGGCGTGATGGACACGAGGGGATACGTAAGAGAAGTCACCGGAGGTGTGATGGCAATTATGTTCGGTTTAGTTTTGTTACTACTTTAGACTCGCGTCTTTTACCTAATTCAATGTCACTGATTCTTCCTTTTCCTCCATTCACTAAATTCTTCCTTCATTCGCGATGTCACTTCTCCGAATGCCTCCTATCACGGTACTCTCGGTCTTGCTGGTGATGTTGCTGTTGCTGGTGCTGTTGCTGATTTTGTTCGCGTGTGAGTTTCTATCAAATGAGAATCAGTATTCTACTTGTACTCTAAGTATGTCCTAAGCCACCATCGGATGAAAGCACCACGGTGACAATCCCAATATTATAGTTCGACTTGGTGTATGAAAGCCATATGTCCCAAGTAAAGTGATAAACTCGTGATGAATAAAAAGGTAAATGACTTACAGCATTCATCTTCGCAGCCTGAATAGAATGCCTCGTATACGCAAACAGGACCCAAGCCATTGTAAAGGCAGCCAGGGGCGCCATGACTGTCTGTCGTTGATTGATTGATTGATTGTGTAAGTAAGTGACTCGGAGTGCGAGTGAGTGTCTCGAGGTAGGTCGTCCGTCAGACATTGACTGGGTGGGGGCCGGGGACAAGCCAAACCTTTGGGTTGATGTTCCTTGATGTCTTCATTGTGACTTTTTGTCTTTGAATCAAAAACTGTGTGAGCAGGAACTGCAAGACTTCGTGAGGCTGACTTGACAATTTTGAATTTTACGTGTTGTTGTAGATTGGGGATGGGATCAGAGATAGTGTTGGTTGAATCGTTCGACGTCCGTTTCATTGCAACCATAGAGATCGTACTATACTGTGCAAGATGATTTACCGCCATGTAAGTGGACCGAGCGTCTTTTCCCCTTTTGCCAGTTAGAACTCGATTAACGGGAACCTCCTTTTACGCGCTCATTATTATGAAGTAAAAGTAGTATTTGGTAGCAAATTGATGCAGAAGCCATCTTTCAAGTCTTGTAAGTTGTGTGGGCAAGATGGCGGTCTGAAGGCCGGCATTACTCAATAGCCAAGTGAAAAACCCAGACAGACAACCCCTGAATCAAGAACCAGACAATTCAGCTGAAGCATGTTCAACATAAGACTATATATGCTCGCTATACCGGTATGCCAAATGTATACATGTATGAAGAATCCCGAGTACCTGTACCGCCCTTCCGGGGTATCGCAATGTGATCCTATCTTGCCCCCCGCCCAGTCCCGTACCGCTTTTCCACTTTGCACGCGCTCCGTCGCTGTGTATGTGTGCGTCTGTGTCTGTATGTTCGCTCCACGCCATATATAAGCTACGTATATGAAGATCCAACTTTCGAATCCTTGACCCACTCCAAACATGTGAGCATCCCTCGATTCCATTGCACGTCTCTAGCTGCTGGTGCTGCTGGAGATCTCAGGCCTCTCGACGCTCTCAGCCTTCACAGCCGTAGCCTCGGCAACCTTGGCCAGCTTCTCCCTTCCATGCTTCCTCGCCTGCTTCAGGTTGTTCATCACGTACTCGTACGTGAGCATGGTGACAGTCGCCGCGGGGACGGCTCTCATCATGTTGGTTCCCATACCAGCGTAAAATGCCCTCCACCCTTCCTCCTTGAGCATGATTTTGAAGGTGCTCACCACGCCTCTGTACTTGGGCCCTGATGTTGCCAGCTGCTTTGACTCGGCGCCGTTCTTGGAAACCACTCCCAGACCCTGCAAGTGCTCCTGTCCCGGAATCGGCCTGCGCTGTGTCTGCAGTCTCGTCCTGATGACCTCGTGGGGATACGTCGCACTGCTGGCGATAATCTTGGAGAGGACGGAGGCGGCAAAAGTGCCCATAAAGCTTGGCTTGGCGTTCTGGTCGCCGGCGGCGCCGCCCATGCCTTGTCCAGTAAACTTGGTCTTGAGGAACTCGTAGGTGGGAAATTGGACGGCCACATGAGAGAGACCCAGAAGAGCAGGTGTCAATCCGGAGTAAAAGGAGAGAAGGCCCTCGGTGGTGTACATCTTGCGCGCGGCATCGAACGTGGACTTGTAGTGCCAGTGGGAGTGCATCGAGGGGCGCGCGTCTTGGAATGCCGATTGCGACATGAGTCGGGTCTTGATGACCCAAATCGGGTTCGTCGCAATGGTGCTACTAGCGCCCGCTATGATGGATGCGCCAAAGTTGATGGCAATTGGCTTGTCTGTCACATCTATGTTAGCCTTGAACGTCCCGTTCCGTGCCAACACCAAAAGAAAGACATACCCGTGTATTGGCGTAGCCATATCTTGCTCTTATTGTAGACTGTGAACCAGACAGCCCAGGTGGGCAAGTAGCCCATTATTATGGGACCCAAGCCCCTGTACATGCCGCGAATGCCCTCATGCCTCCATATTACCTTGGCCGTGCCTACCAAGCCATTGTACATCCTGGGCTGGCCCACATGCTGTCCCGCGCCCTGCGCTTGCAACTTGGTCTTGATGACGTCCAGCGGGCAGGTAACGACGCCCGACATGAAGCCTCCCACTGCGCCGGCAAGCGCATTGAACTGCGAGTCCGAAGCATTCATTGCCCATCTTTCCAGGCCCGTTATCCGGTTGGGATCCTCTTGCATTGGGTCGGCCGAGGCTGTGTCTATCATGTCCTCCGTTATGTCTTGCCCTGCTGCTGCCGTCTCCTCCAGCTCTTCAGTCACCGAGTTGGCGGGCGCAAAAGTGGCGGGTGGCCGGGCGCCTGGCAAGGAGCGCACGCCATATTCTGCTGCCGAACTCGCGGAATCTGGTCCAGAGTGGGAGATGTGGTGTTGGGTGTCTATAGTAGACATGCCGCTACCCTTCTCTCGACTCGAGTCGGAACTGGGACTGGGCAATCGAGACGCGGGGATCGAGACGAATTGGTGGTGCGTCTTTGTTCGAGGGGTCTCTGCTGGTCGCAACTCAGAGACCCCGGAGTAATCGGTGACCCGTGATGCCGCCGTAGTGTCAGAAAGAGGGTGGTGATCTCGGCTTGTTGGAGCTTTGGAGTCTTGAGAGGGTGGTGTTGACCAGGAAGCTGATGTTCCCGGCTTAAACGGCGTACTAGCGCGGGTGCGGGGAAGAAAGAGGTTCGCTTGGGGGAACCGAGTCGAAGACCGAGGTGTTGATAACAGGAGTTCACCAAATATCACCGTTCGTCCGTGAGGCTCGGGGCAGCCGGGTTTTTGCGTAGGAGAGAAAGAGGCCCTGGCGCGGATCGTATTTTGGGAACTTGTTGGATTTTTCGCAATTGGTGAGCGAGCACACGAGCAGGCTCGCTACCGTACCTGTCTTTGGTAGAGGAGCTAGACTAGTATGCAGGTGAGTGGAATGAAGGAAAGGATGGGCGAATGTGGGGGAAGTCCCGTTTTCCAAAGACAGGGTTTCTTGGCAAAGAGGTACAACAGGAACTTTTTTGTGTGCGAATGCCAGACGGAGGCCGAGGACGGATGGATGGTGATGTTGGTGTGTAGATAGGTTGGTTCTTGTGAAGGAAACTACGTAGTTATCTACAGAAACAGCCAACGCCAATGACGGCGGGACGCGAGCGGATGCCAATTATGGTTACCAATTATGTCACCTCACTGCAGTGATTGTCCATACCTAGCCCGTGACTCCCGTAGGCAGTGAGTGGATGAACAGCAATTCCGGATGCGCTGGGAGCTGCCTCGAATTTCCTTCCCCTCCGAGTCATGAAGACACAAGAAACAAAGTGTTAGTCTAGGGGCCAGAAAGTGTCCAGATAATCATGTGTTTGCCCAAGTCTCGGGAGTTTTAGACTTCAGACCAAAGACCCCCAGTATGGCCCGTTTTTAACCTTTCCCCAGACAAGAGATGATAGCTATCAGTCGAGATGCCGTTTCACTGCAGCGAAACAGCGCCAGCGGTCACCACCGTCGCCCGCCAAAAAAGCGGCTGCCCTGGTCGTCGTCTCCAATTCTAGACCCACCGCGGCCCATAACATCGACCTCATCTCTGGCTTGGCATTTTGACCGACCCAAACCCTTGCCAAGAAAGCCAATTCCCTATTCTCGTAGAGCCTGAGCTTTGAGGCATCAGCGACTTGGACACGGCTTTTCCCGGAGCGACGGCAGACGGGAGACTGAGACTGAGAAAAACGCACGGAGCACCCGGAGCTTCTTTCTGTAGTTGGACAGTGCGCTTCTACTACTGGCTGAAATGGCTGGCTGACTTTCGCGGGTTTGCTGATTTGCGGGTCGCGGCAATTTGTTAGCTCTCTCCGACCTCCATCTTGAATCTTGACCTCGGTGTTTCCCAAGTGTGTAGAGACCAGACGACAAGAGAGTGTAGACTCCTCACCACCTCGCCTACCTATCACCGACTATCAACCGCCACCCCGGTCGACAATCACCCATCACCATGTCTGCCCCTTCTCTCGTCCAGGCCGTCGCTAAGCGGGGCTGGTTGAACAAGATGCTCAAGCCCGTCTCCAACTGGTACATCAATGCCGCCGGCTACCGTCAGATGGGTCTCCGGTGAGTTTTTATTGTTTCTTTTATATACCTCGATGGCCAGCAGTCCGGTCCGGGACCCTTGTGACGTAGGCTCTACCTGTATCGAAACCATCGCCCTCCTATGTGTCACGTCTATCCATCTGTCTCTCCTTGGCCCGGTTCTACCTCAATGGCTCGCGCCCCAGCCGCAGTTCCCTCCCTCCCTTCCACATCCCCGAGCAGGAGGACCACACCCACCCACTTACCTACCTGCCACTTTACCTATGATATATAACCGACCAACAACCCATAAACTAACCAATCCCCCCTCCCCAAAAACAGCGCCGACGACCTCATCTCCGAGGAGAACGAGACCGTCCTCGCCGCCCTCCAGCGCCTTAGCCCCAAGGAGTCGTACGACCGCATCTACCGCATCCGCCGCGCCACCCAGCTCTCCCTCACCCACAAGCTCCTGCCCAAGAACGAGTGGACCACCCAGGAGGAGGACGTCCCCTACCTCCGCCCCCTGATCGACCAGATCGAGGCCGAGGCCGCCGAGAAGGACGCTCTCGACACCCTGGCTGTCGTCAAGAACTAAACGCGGGACTTATAAAGGTATGAAAGGGGAAGGAAGGATGGGAAAGGATGGGAGGGAAGGTTTTTCCGTTATCCGCGCGCGGTGGGAACTGGACTGGCCGACTTTTCGACGGGAACCGAACCTTTTTTTTGGGGGAGAAGGAACCGAAGAGAAGGGAAAGGCTGGAGTACTGCTACGCTACGCTTAGGATTTGGAAGCCGAAGATACCAAAGCAATAAAGTGGATGCGCTCAAAACAAGAAAAAGAAAACACTTGTCCCCTCGATTTTTCTGGACCCTGGAACTCTTCGACAACTTGCTGCCAATTGCTTCCTGGGAACAAAAAAAGGGTTGAAGGGGAGAAGGGGAGGGGGGAAGATGGACAGTTTGCGATGCGACGACAATGGGCAACAGCCAGATGTTCTTGTCAATGTGGTTATGTTCGCATTCCCCGGACTCGCGCATATCTTTGAAGTGAAAGGGGGGAAGATGGATGGAGAAAAAGACTGCCTATACATTACTTAGAAGAGAGAGAAAAAAAGACAATGGGAATAGACTCTAACCTGGGGTGTCAGACAGAGAGCAGGTAGGAAGGGGGGTAATTTGTTTTTGTCGATGTGGTGTTAAGGTACCTACGTTGAATGAGTGTATGGATAATTCGAGAAGTAGACCAAAGAAACTCCGCTCAATGTCTTTGTATTTCCTAAAGTAAATCCTAGAGGTGCTGAGTGGCGCATGGAGTCAAAAAGACGCGCTTCTTACTTGACGGGTACACACACCATGGATGGGGAGAAGAGAAAGTGAAGAAAGCGAGAGATGATGACGGCCATGACTGGCTGCCTGTGATATGCTCAAGTACCTAGTCCTACTATACTTCAGGTTTATTCATGTCTTAGGATCAGATATTGTGCGTAACTACGCGAACAATCGATTGTGCCTCAAGACAGTTGTTGACAACAGCAGCGGTCGATCGGGAAATCGGGCACGAGAACCATGAACTGTCTTCTCCCCAAAGGAAACGACTTTCGAAACTTCCAGCTTCCTTTCCGCTCGCAGAGCCTGGAGAAGGTTACGTAGCTATACAATAGTCATGGACTAAATTACGTACCACGAGGTTGACATAGAGGTTGAAGTGCTCAAGTGTTGAAGTCTTTAAGTGACAAGTCAGTATAAGTAAGTGTGAGTAGTGTGATATCTGATGTGTACCAGTCCATCCAACGACAGAGCAGACAGTGTACATACTCTCATGACTACGTTAACCAAAGCTGACCAGGTCTAAGCAGGAAGAAAAAAAAAAAAAAAAAAAAAAAAAAAAAAAAAAAAAAAAAAAAAAAAAAAAGTAAGCTATCCTACAACAGAAGAAAGAAAAATAGAAAGAGAGAAAACACCCTCCGCACACCTAAGCAAAACCCCCCTTTTTCTATGGTGAAGCAATGACTGTCTGCCTGTAAACAAAAAGGTACACAGCAAAGTTGTGTAAACAGGAAAACCAGTATAGTATATTATGTCTTAACTTCATTCTCTTCTTCCTCTCTCCGTTTTTTTCCCGTTCGGGGAAACCCAAACCGCCAGCCAACTGTCCAACTAAACCAGGGCAACCAAGAACTCGCTGAGAAGAGGGGGAAAAAAAGGACGTCCGCTATAAGCTGGCTGTCCTCTTATCTCTTCAGCACACGCCTTTTCAAAGCAAGCTCGAGCCTCCAACACAACTTTTTGCTTTATCCATTCATGATGTATACACATGTCCTTCTCTCATCGCTTTTTGAGCCGATGACTCATCATCCTCGTCCTCCTCTTTACATACGTTAACCAAAATGTTTTATTGACTGATTTTGTTATGACCCTTCCTGTATACGTTACTTCGTCTGCTGTGTGCGTTTCCGCTCATTAAGGTGTGGTAGCTGTTGCCGGCTTTCGGACGTTGACGTCAACCTGGGGTTGCCACTTTCGAGCGAGGTAGGGACGGCGGGCGGGCTTTGTGGGAGGGAGGCGGTCGATTGGAAAGCCGGGGTGGAGTAGTGTGACTGGAAGTTATTTGTAAAACGAAGAGAAAAATATCCGAGCCGTCCCGCCGTAAACCCCATAACGCCGGTTTGTCACCACGCTGATGGCGAAGAATTCGATGAATCTTGGTATGTGTGTGTCGTGGGCTTTCGTACAGTATGTAAAGATCGTGTTTCCCCTTCGCCGCCGCGCGATGTTTATCGGGTGTGTGCAGACAGGATGTTGATGCAAAGAGAATCCGGTTACAGACTCTTTATGCGTTACCACCCTTCTCCTCGGTGTCAATGTGCCAAACAACGTAGTTGGGAAGACCGATGACCTGGTAGCCGGCGCGCTTGGCCATCTTGGCGAAACCCTCCGTCTCGGCCTGGTTCTCGAAAGCGTAGCAGGGGAAGTTGATACCTATGGTTGTTAGCCGGAGTTATCCTCTCTCGAGCGCAAAAAGATGTTGACCTACCAGAACGGTGGACATCGGCCTTGACAAGAATATTCACGCCACCGATACCGTCAAGCTCAATCTCGACGTCCTTGTCGTCGCGCCAGTCGCCCATTCTAGCCATGTAAGTGCGGCCGGTGTCGTACTCCTTGTAGCCTGTGAACAACTATGTTAGTCGGTGTCAACTCCCAGGACCTTGGGGTATCTGCATACCTTCAGCGAGAACAACATCCTTGTCAAGGCTAGAAGCAAGTCTGCGACCCTTATCGGACTCGACCCAAGAGTTGTAGTCGACTGTGAAGCGGTTAGTGACCTGGAAACTCATTATCAGGCAACGGTCCAAAACTCACATCTGCCCTCGATATCGCGGCCGTTCTGGTAGCGGTGGAACCAAATGTCTATCACATGTTAGCTCTGTTGCCCGTGTGGGGTCTTTCTGCGGGGAGTTGTTCTTACTGGGAACAAGAATGTCCTTATCGTGGGCAATAAAATCCTCTAGGATCTTCTTGGGGCTGTCAACAATATCCACATCTCTCCAGTAAACCCAGGAGTGCTCGGGCTTCAGGGCAGCAGAAAGTAGGTAGTTGCGCGCACGACCCATGGCCTTGCGACGAGGACCCTGGGCAGCGAACGAGTGGCGCTCCTCAACATTCTGGCTCAGCTTGAAGTCGAAATCCTTCTCGACAACCATGGCGCTGTGGAAGGGGATCTGGTCGGGGCGCTTCTGGATGCGGTCCAGCTCGGAAGCGAGGACAGCAAGAGTGTCATCGGTAGAGTCGCTGACAAGGAAGGCAAGATCGATGAGGTGGTGGGGGTAGGTAAGCTCGGCGATCAGCTCGAAGTACTTGGAGAGATACCTGGAGGCGTCCTTGAGAGGGGTGAGGATCAGGATGCGCTCCTCGTTGGCGACGGCCTTGGTGGTGGACTTGACGGGGTTGAGGTCGACGTGGCTGATGGTGGACGAGTTAATTTCTAGCGGAGCGTGGTGGTTGAAGATGACAGGAGTATGGAGGTGAGCATTCCAAGCTTGTTGCTCGTTAAGCGTCATCTCCATTGGCGGTTTTGAGGGACCCCAGCAGTAGAAACTAAAAGGCAGACGCAAACGTTAGCACACCGATGGCGGAAGTAATGGACAGAACAGCACATGGGATGGCACCAACCTTTGCATCTCGGAGGCGCCTGTGCTGATGCCGCGCCATAGTAATAGCACCACTCCTGTTACGGCAACGAGGAGGAGGAATCGTGTCTTTGTGAGGATAGCCCATAGTGCCCTTGCGGGAGGAAGCTGTGCTCTCGCAGCCTTCCAGCTGACGCCGCCTTTGGGGAGAAGCATTATGAAGAAACGGGGTGGCCCACGGCACCACCCGCTGAACGGTCGAGGAGGATATTAAGTCTAAAAATTGGAGATGGGAGCAGTCTATGTAGCTGCCGGCTAGGTGGACGACGCGATGCGCAGCGGCGGCAATGGTACGGAGGGTTGTTGCGACGTGAAGAGCGGCTGAGGTATGCGGTATCGCCGGGTGTAGCAGCAAAGGAACGATTCGCGTGGGAATTCGTGTGGCGTCGTGGAGAGATTACGGGGTGTCGGTTGGGGTGGAAAAGCCCACGTCTCCTGAAGCAGCAGAGCGAAGGCGGTATCTCAGAGAGAGAAGAAGGATCCTACAAGCGAATGTAGCAATGGCTTTCTCGTCGTCGTCGTCGTCGTCGTCGTCGTCGTCAAGAAAGTGTACAAGATAGAAGCAAACAAAGTAACACCGACGCGGTTGAGTCCGCGTATTCTGATGTGTGGTCGGGGTCGGAACTCTCAACACAGGCGAAAGACGCACGGGAACGGAGACGGGACGGATGGAGGCTGAGAAAGAGAGATTCTACTATACACTACAAGGGAGCTCCTGTTCCCAAAGGTCACTGCCCAGCCCGCCAAATGGTTCCAGAATCTCTTGTCCTCTCAGCGAGAAGGGACACCGCCCGCCGCCCATGCCCGCTCACAGGGGGGGTCTGTCGTTCACCCCGTCGTCCACTTCAACGGGGGGGTCGAACATACCTCGGTCCAGGATAGCCTATCAGGGAGCCCAGATTTGGGGGGTAAACGACGGACCCGCTTCATTATGTTGCGTACCACTTTCATCCACTCAGAGCGCTTCCATTCTCAAGGGGGGAGAGACTGGCTTCCCTTCCACTTGAGACTGCAGTGGGGAGGAAGGAACACGCAATCCCCCCATTCCGTTTCCACCATTTTGCTCCATCAACGGTCGCGATCAGCCTGCCGACTGCACATCATGTCCTTGTTATCAAATCAATGGAAAAGAATTGTTATGCTGTGATGTTGTCAAGAGGGAGGGAGGGGCGCAGGAATTATATGTATTCCGTTCCGACACCTATCACCCACCCTCCGAGGCTTCCACTTGGGTCTGAGGCCCGGACAGCGAGGGCTTTCTTCCACTTCATTCCCTCCACCCTCATCTCGATCCAGAATCTCTCACCACGGGTTTGAGCATGTTTTCCCCAGGACAAGGATGGCCAGGATGCCCCTCTAGCTTCACCTCAACCCGGTCGGTGCAATTCCCTCCGCTCCCCGCCGTCCGCTCTGGCCCTTGCCCGCCTTGTCTCGTTGTTTATGCGTAGTGTGTGGTTTTGGGAGCGGAGCCAATTGCCGTCTTCTAACTACTCCCAAAAGATGCTGCAGCGCCGTAATGACAGCGGACCGGTGGAAATGGATTCGCCAGGTCCGGTCCGTCAATGTCTGAGTCGCCGTTGCAACCCTTTGATATCAACATGGCCCGGGTTTGAAAAAGGGGTAGCACTGCATGTTGACCGGAAGGAAATCCAGACCACAGTCACGAAATGTATTGGAGGTTTCACGTATACAATCATATAACCAGTCACGATCTGGCATGCACACACATTTCGGTTCCAGAACGAGCACAAGCAGATACCTCCATGGCGATCTGGGCTGAGCTGAGCTTCAACCGCCGCACTTGTACCTATGTCACAGAAAGCCAAGGTATGTAGTGTAATCACTATTCGCTGCTCAAGTCTAGACACTTGGCTAGTTTTCAGAGGGCCTCAATACGTAAAAAATCCTCAGAATTTCTGCATCTCTCAGGGGTACTTTGAAGCCACAACTAGCGAAGACGATTAACGAAGAGCCAAGCATTTGGTGGACCCCCTATCGGCTACCACTAGCTAATCTCCAACATCTTTCCCTTTCTTCCCCGGACTTGGTCCCGACCTTTGCACCACTTGGCTCCGTGCCACGTGAGCAGGCGACACCGACGGGCCCGGAACGGCCATGACGTCGATCAAAGACGCGTTGTGAATGCTACACTGCTGCCTGTGTCTGTTATCGTGTATTATAGTGTTACACTTGTGCTTTCGTCTTTGTTTTGGTGATCCCTTCATGACTCGTTGATCCTCGGTTTCGAATTTCCATCTTCTTTCTTTCCAATACCCTCTCTTGGCATGATATTGAGCACCTGTCAAGTCAAACCGAGACTCATACGTCAGGCATTGGGTCGGTGGAGATTGACTCTGGAGTCCTCAGGCTGTCACACACTTACAACTTACCGTGGTCAAGTTGTCGGTCGTCGCACACTCACCACATCTCCCAGTTGCCTTCAATTGACAACACCCACCGTAAAGATGGCAACCCGACGATCTGCCCGGTTGAGTGCTCTGGCCGTAGCTCAGCTCAACGACGCGGCTGCTCCCATACTTCCTCCTCCGGCACCTGCTCCCAAGTCCCGGAAGAGGAAGGCCAGCGTCGAGGACGAGGGCGCGCCAACCACAGAAGAACCACAACTGCCTTCAACTCCTCAGAAACGGAAAGTCTCAAAGAAGGTAACACCACCACCCGCAACTCCAACACCAGCCGCCGCAGCTCTGCTCTCCTCCCCGGCTGTTCAGAAACCCAAACCCGCCGCCGTCTCCCGCCTAGCCGACCCAAACAAGACCAACGCCCCTTTACTCTCCCCTCAAACCTCACGCGTGGTCTCTTCCAGCCCAATCAAACCCAGAGATATCCAAGATAGCCTCTCCCCATCCAAGCCCCAGGCCCCTGGCAAGGCAACAAAAGACTCCGAGAGCTTCACAACAGAAAACATCCTCGAAAAAGCCTGCGCCCACCTCATCGCCATCGACCCGCGCATGAAACCTCTCATCGACAAGCACCCCTGCCGCGTCTTCAGTCCCGAGGGACTAGCAGAGCAAATCGACCCGTTTGAAAGTCTCGTGAGCAGCATCATTTCCCAACAGGTAAGCGGTGCGGCAGCCAAGTCGATAAAAGCCAAATTCGTCACTCTCTTTGAAGACGAAAACGATGATCTCCCTCAAGATCAAGAAGACGGCAAGGAGAAGAAGACCCAAGAGAACGATCCAACGCCAACAAAACGCCGCTTCCCTACCCCCTCCCACGTCCTAGCCAAGGACCTCCCCACCCTCCGCACCGCCGGCCTCTCCCAGCGCAAAGCCGAGTACATCCACGGCCTCGCCGCCAAATTTGCGTCGGGCGAGTTATCCGCCTCGCTCCTCGCCTCGGCGCCCTACGAGGAACTCGTCGCCAAACTCGTCGCCGTTCGCGGACTGGGGCTCTGGACCGTCGAGATGTTTGCTTGTTTTGCGCTCAAGAGGATGGATGTCTTTTCGCTGGGCGACTTGGGTGTGCAGAGGGGGATGGCGGCGTTTGTGGGGCGGGATGTGAAGAAGCTCAAGAATGGGGGGAACGGAAAGGATAAGAAGTGGAAGTATATGAGCGAGGCGGAGATGAGGGAGATTAGTGAGAGGTTTAGGCCGTATAGGAGTTTGTTCATGTGGTATATGTGGAGGGTGGAGGAGACGGATGTTAGTAGTATGGAGTAAGGTAGTTGGGGTGGGAGATACGGGTTGGGGAAAGGATAGAAGACTTGAGGGCCGGCGAGACGTTGCTGGTACAGTACCTTTAGTATCCGATGAGACATGATATGTTGACGACTTAACCCCAGGGCATGAACTATCATAGTAGACCAGCTCAGAGTCTACAAAGTTACGGACCTCGATCTGATATGATTTACAAAGGAACTCTACCCTGAACTACACGACCAATCACTCCCCACCCCTTCGTAAAAAAACACCGATAGATAACATGTGAATAAACGCTACCTCCCCTCCTCCCCTTTCAACCAAACCCATGATCCCAACCGGCCGCCTACAACAGTCTCCGTACCACCTCGCATATCTCAGTATCACCATGCTTGTACCACAAACCGCCGCAAGCAAGACAAGACAAGACTAAACATGCATGACCTGACCGTAAGTACTTCCCTCATAGGCAAAAAGAAAGCGATCCTCATCGAGTATTACAGGTATGGTAGGCACATAGTCAGTGAGTAAGTGAGTGAGTGCACTTCGCCGGTTAGTGCTGCAGTGTAGAAGAGCTTGCAACACAGCAACTTTACACAACCTAACCTTTTGAAGTTGGTATGGTAAAGAAGTGAAGTGATACTTGAGTTACAGGTCGTTGTCGTCAGCTGGTCTGGGGTTGTGGGACTCGTGAGGAAAGCTGAAAGGTTGTGTGAAGCTAGCTAGGTAGTTGTGTTTGGTGTGTTTGAAAATTCAACACTGTTTTTGGAATGATGGATGTATTTATTGTACATTGTTGGCGGCTCTGCTACGCACTATAGGGATCTCGGATTCTTGACGTACACTAGGTACATACGTGTTTTGGTCCTATTCACTCAAAACGCTATAGCGAACTTCATGGCAGTGGTTTTTGTTTCTTTGGATCTACATTATTTGTCACTACTATGCATGACGTCTTTGACATTGAAAAGACAGAGAAGAGAAGAAATGTTGCATCCCACACGTGCTGCCCGTGCGTGGTTAATAACTCAAAACGCGGAACTTGCAGCGATCTTTTCCCACTCTTCCCTCTCGATCTTGGTTCGTTCCAATACTAGTGTACATAGTGTAGAGATTAGCCGCGCTATGTGAAATTGATCGCCATCAATGATCAACCTACTAGTACCACTACACTAGACCTACAAGCATAAGAATAGTATACCCTCGTGGGCCAAGCACCACGACGCGTGGCTATGCTGAGGCTCAGCGTCAAGCTTTTCTTTTGTTTTTCTTTTTTTTTTTTTTTTAATTTTATTTTCTTCTTTGGGTGGGCGTGGTGGGGGTTTGTGAGGGTGGAACCTGCCCTGTTTGTTTGGTAAGATTGAGATGACGCGGGACGTCGTTTGGTTCAAAGATGTTAGAGATGTTCGTTATTTCCAATGCAATTGTGGATTCTACCTCCACAGATGTAGTTAAGAAGATGGGATGAGGAAGGAAAAAAAAAAAAAAAAAAAAAAAAAAAAAAAAAAAAAAAAAAGTCCAGATGAACACCTACACTAGACTACAGTCTGTAATACATATGGAGATAATGCAGGGAAAGTTTGTACCCCCTCTCTTTTAACTTGACTTGACTTGCATACGCACAAGCAATGCGATGTATATGTAATGTTTGTACATTAGTGTAGATCTTCTGTTTGTATTTGTAAGTGAAGAATGTCGGCTGTAGGAACGGCAACATACTGATGCAACGAAGTATGCAACTGCTTTTGACGAC